GGCCTCTCCATGACGTGGCCCCAGACGGTGCGGCAGACTGACTCCGAGAGTCTCTCGCACGTATACGTTGCGTCCCATGAGTGCGAGAGAGACAGAGCTGCTGTCCGAGGCCCGTCCAGGCCGAGGAGGGAGGCCCGCTGAACAAACACGCACCGCCCTCGGCCCCTGGATGCTGAGGCTGGATTTTGCTCGGAAGGCATTCAATTATACATCGGGCTGCCGAATCAATCCCGCAGAGGGGCCGAATTTGCGGATCGTTTCTCCCGGAGGCTGCGGGCCCTGCTGCTGCGGGCCGGCGGCGAGAGGGACAGAGACAGAGAGAGGCGAGCCGCCCGCACATTCCCGTCTGATCTTGCGGTGGATCGACGGGACATTCCCCGAGCGAGCCCGTCTCCCGTCTCTCTCGCTCCCCCTCCTCCTCCCTGGCCGCCGCGCTTCGACGCGTGTGCATCGGTTCCGGTGATGGATCGGCCGGTGCGGTGACAGCTCCACCCCCGCTCCACTGCCGCTACACTGCCGCACCGCCGCAGCGTTACAGTGTACCCCACGCGGCGGGGTGTGGGCCGTGAGGGCCGTGTGGACCAGCTCGGCGGCGCGGACCGCACGTCCAGCTGCCGCTACAGTCCCTATCGCCACTTACCCCCGGCCGGCGTGTGCGTGTGTGAGTGTGCGTTCGTGTAGGTGTGCGACTCGAAAGGGGTGCTCCCTGCGGCGGGGCGGTGGCAAGGCGTGTACAGTCCCCCCAGCAATCGGCGGCGCGGCGGTGCACTGTACACTCCTCCGAATTGTCCAGCCAGCAGCACGATGGGCTTGGCTGCTCCGCGATGTCTTATTCGTCCTCCTCAAGGAGATCAGATCTCCGGCGGCCGGTTCCGCGGCGCAGATTGTAGCGACGCTTCTCCTTTCCTTTGTGCTCGTCGTGCTCGTCTTGCTCGTCGTGCTCGCCTGACCGAATTACTGGCGCGCCAAACGGCATCGGGGGAATCAGCAGGGAGGAGGGAGTCGACAATGTCTCTAATCTCTAATCCGCGTCGGAATTCCATGCCGGGGTCGCCGGGGTCCGAGGCCAAGGCTGGGCGGACGCAGCGGGCGTCGCCTGACGTCGCCGTCGCAGCTGGACGCCGCGTGCCAGGCCCTGCCAGGCCCTGCCTCTCCCCGGGGTCCTCGTTACGGCGCTCGTTGTCCTTGGCGGGGACGCCGAGCCCTGCCTGCAGACTGATTCCGAGAGTCGCTTTCGTCGCTCTGTCTCACTCGCACCTATACGAGACGCCTCGTGAGTGCGAGAGAGACAGAGCGACGAAAACGACTCTCAGAATCAGCTTGCAGGCCGAGCTAGGCCAGGGGTTGCTGTCACTTCGACACCCCCCGCGGACGTCATCACGTCGCTGACATGACGTTCCCTGACGTCGACGCGTCCACGACGGCGTGGTCGCGTTGCCGCCGCGCTGCCGCTGCCGCCACAGGTAGGTGAGCCAGGCGCGGCAGGCCGTCGGCGCCGTGGAGGCAGGCTGCCCGGTGGCCAGAGCTGCGCGGCGGGACTGCCCGCCCGCCAGGCGGTGGAGCAGCGCCGACCCAGCCACGCAGCGCGCGGCCGCACAGTGGGCCAGCAGACCGGTGGAGGTGGTCAAAACTTCAGACGCGACGCGGCTTGAGCTCGTTCGAAGAGCAAATCCATTGGTGGGGTCACACGCGTGGTTCGAGCCTCTTTTAGTTCAAACCGCGTCGAGAGTTTTGGCCGCCTTCTGGCCCACTGTGGACCGCGGTGGACAGCGCTGCCCCTTCACTCCCCCGCTCCTTGAAGGAGAACCCGAGGCTGGGGTGGGAACCGTATGCTTGCGGTGCTGGCTGCGGGCCGGGGAGGGTCCGGGGTCGAGGGTCGGCGCCGAGGCCCTGGCGGGGCGGCGGGACCCGTTGGGCGCACCTGCCCCGTTGTAGTGGGTTATGCAAATAGTCCGAGGCGCCGCGAGGTTTATCATAACGCCCTGGCCGCGGCCCCCCACCCCCTCCCTTCCCCTCCACTGCCAATTAGGCGGCCGATTCGGACGCCAACTAATTGCAGTGGCGGCGACACCTGACCCCCCGCGGATCCGTCCCGCGTGCCGCCCCTGCGGACTGATTCCGAGAGTCGCTCTCGTCGCTCTGTCTCTCTCGCTCCTTTACAGGACGCCCCGTGAGTGCGAGAGAGACAGCGCGACTCTCGGAATCAGTCCGCTGAAACTGGAGAGCGCTGGAGAAAGCGAGAGCGGCGAATCTGTCTCTGTCAGTGTCGCGCCTCCAGCGCGGCCGCGGCCAGGTAGGCGTTGTGGTTCATTAGCGTGCATGTAGGCCTTGATGGTGGCGGCCCGGCCCAGCTCGGCCCAGCCCGGCCGGGAAGTCCCGCGTGGCGCCGTCCCTCTCGCACTCCCGCGGGGCGGTGCGTCCCGTAGGAGTCCCGTAGGGGTGCGAGAGGGACAGAGCGAGGAAGCCTGACCGAGTTTTTGCAGCCCTTCCTCTTCCTCGCTGGCGGCGGCGTGCTTTCCGGATAATTGAATCCTAATTGCGAGGCTGTTTCGCTCCTAGTCGTCGTCGTCTCTCTCTTCTTCTTCAGAAGGGAGTGCAAAAAAGGAGCCGAAAAAGTCCGGAAAGATGATGCCGAGGATGTTTGCTTTTCATTCCACTATTTGTTCCCCGAAACACGAACTCGGCGCGGCAAAGCCCTTCTTTGGCAAAGCCCTTCCGACTTGCGACTTGGCCCCATCGGGGGCGGGGCGGGGCAGGGCGGCGTTCGGATTTGCCTGTTTCATTGAGCACCGCTTGGAAAGTCCCTCCGCGCCGCGCCCCACCACGCGATGCGACGACGCGATGTGCGCCGGGAAAAAAGTGTCAATAATTTAAGCGCCTTTAACGCGACGGAGACCGACGGGGACGACGGCGCGTCGACGGCCAGGTGCAGGGGCTGCCTAATGTTGGGTGAAATAAATCGGGCGAAACTCATAAAAAATGATAATGCCGACCGAATCACGTTTGGCCCCGGGGGCCGGCCGTGGGGGCCTCGTCCCTCCAGGCCTTCCAGGCGGGGGAGAAAGGGAGAGAAAGGGAGAGAAAGGGGCCGCAAGTGTGGAAATATGTGCCGAGCCGAGCCGGGGAACTTTGGATGCGCTGCAAAGTTTCTGCCCGCGTGGGGGAAAAATGGCCTAGTAAATGTTTAGAACGGAGATGGACGGGGGCGGGGCGGGGGAGCAGGCGCCTTGCACGCCTCGCCGGGGCGGGGCGGGGCGGGCGGGTATTTACTGTGTCTGGGGCGCGCCCCGGTGGTGACGGAGCACTGCGCCACGCAAGGCGGCGGGCCTGGCCGTGCGCCGGGAGGGCGTACGACGGGGAGGGTTGTTGCATTCCACCTGGCCTCCTCCCTGCGTTGCGTCGTCGCCGTCGCCGCGCCGCCTGAGAGGTAGGCACGCTCAGGCCCGCCGGGGCGGGGAGGATACGGGTACCATCACTCAGCGCTATCTGCGCGCCGCAACGCCGCAACCCCATCCGGTGTAGGGGCGGCCCGGCGAGGCGGGGGCGCCGCGCCGCCAGATTTACCTGCGAAAAACGACGCGCAGATACACGCACGCACACACCCACACAGTCACACACGCGGTCTGGCGCGGCGCGCGGGCAGATGTGGCGAAAATCCCATTAAACCCTCGTCTCTCCTTCTGGGCGGCTCATTCTGCGCTCCCGGTGCACGGCGTGTCTGGACCGATCCGGGCCATATCGGCCGGCTATCCTCGCTCTGTCTCTCTCGCACTCACGGGGGCGTCCCCTATAGGTGCTACAGAGAGAGTGTCGAAAACGGCCACTCTCTGAATCAGTCCGCGGGCTTTCTCTGCGTCTGTCTCGCAGTCTCACGGCGGCCTCGCGGGGTGGCCCTCCGCGCTCCGCTCCATCATCCTGCCCTGCTTGCCCTGCTTTGGAGCAGCGGTTGGAGCAGCCAGCCGCTTATTCACTGGAAACGTTATTTCGCTGCTTTCTTTTCTTTAATATCAAGCGAGACGGCGTGACGCGGCCCGTCAGTTTATTGCGTTTGCGTCGAGAGGGCTTGGCGCGTCTCATCGCTCGGCATCGCGGCTGTGGCCTCTGTGACGACGGCTGTGGCCTCCGTGACGGCGCTGACAAGTTTTCGGCCGAAACTTGGCGTCGGCGGCAACGCACCCCATTTGCATGTTGTCTCTTCTTGCGCCGCCGCCACTACCGCCATCACGTGCATCATGGCCTCCCCGGAGACGCGCCGCGCACTCGTCCTCGCCGTCCCCACCCTCGTCGTCGTGGAGGTGCGAGCTCGCTGGCGGCTGGCTCCGTTTGCCTTTCCAAATGAAAAGTGCTTCATCCTCCTCCATCCCTCCACGGGATTCATTCCGGCCGTTCGGATCGGGCTCCACTAGTTTGTGCGGTTCCCCTTCGGCTGCCCCACCGCCTGCTCGGTCGCACACAGAAGCACCCCTACCACCCTCCCCTCGCACACGCGCACACACACACACAACACACTCGCAGACACACCCCTATCCGCCACCACCCCCTTTCAGTGCCAACCAACATAAAGACATTTTGATTGACACATTGAGAAGGCGCGATGTAGGAATGAGGCTGTGGGGTGGGGGTGGGGGTGGAGCCGTGGGGTCTCTTTGCACAGAGGGAAGGCTGCGGCGCCGTGCCGTGCCGTGCCGTGCCGTGCCGTGCCGTGCCGGCCGTGCCGTGCGCTGCCCGGCCCTTTATCGCGTCGTATTATTTACACATTTGGCTGGAATCAGTTTTTGCCGCGGCCGTCCCGCACGGGCGAGGCCCTCCTCCGCCTGCTTGTTTGCGGTAAGATGAGACCGGGGCCACGGCGTCGTGGTCGTGGCGGCGGGGTAGCGGGGGCGGCGGGGCGATGTGTCACATGCTTTGACAGCAATGACAAGCGCGGGGGGAGGCGGGGGCAGTAAAATTTTAGCGGCCATAAGGATGCGCGCGGTGTCACGTGTGTCCGGGGCCACCACATGGCGCGCATCCACCACCTTGCTCACGACCCGGAGAGAGTGAAAGTGGCCGTCGAGGAGCAGGAGGCTGGCGGCCCCGGCGAATGTGTGAAGTCGGAGCTCGACGAAGAAGCTCGAGCAGGACGAGAAGAGGGTCATCGCGACGTCGCCCCGCCCGGGGTCCTGGGGTTCCTGATTCCTGATTGCGAGGACGCAAAGATAATAGGGGAGTCCGTGGCGTCCGCCCGGCGCCGCGTGGCGTCGCGTGGGCGTCGCGTGGCGGCGTTTGGCGTCGACAACGAGACACGCCGTCGCGCGCCAAAGCGCTTCGCTCTGCTCCGCTCTGCTCTTCGCGCTGGGTGGCGGGGCGTGGCGGCGCGTGCCGCCCTCTCTCTCTCTCCCTCGCACTCGCAGGAACCGCCACCCCATCGGCGAGCACAGCAGCACGGTACGGTACGTGCCGCTGGACGCAGTTTCTGTTTCCGTCCTGCTTTCCTGATTTTTCGCGTGTCGCGTGTCGAGTCCGTAGTTCGGATCCGCCACGTCTTTTTCTTTTTCCTTTTCCTCTTTCCTTTTCTTGGTGATTCGCTTGGCCCTTTGTCGCCGAGGGGCTGCCTAGTGCCTTCCTTTGCGCCTCTGCCGGCCTTTGGGCTTTGGGCCGATGCGACGCATTCAAGTCGAAAATCAATTATGACGCGCCGCGCCCCGCCGCGCCCCGCCGCGCTCCCCCACCTGCCGCCCGGCGACGAGGCGACGATGCTGATGCTGTGTTCAATTATCCTGTTCCAACAAAATCCCCTCTTCGGCCGGCTTGGCGCTAACGCCGCGATTGGCGGCGAGGTGCGCGGCTAATGTCGCGGAAGAGAGAGAAAGAAGACGAAGGAGGACCGAAGGGCCACCCAGCCCATCGTCTTGTCTTTGTCACACGCCCCGCAGTGACCGCGCCGCGCGCACTCCGCGCACCCAGCCCGCCGCGTCTAATTGAATCCTTTCTACGTCTCTGATTGAGTTTTAATTAATGTTTTTCCCGTTATTGTTGTTGTTGTCGTCGAGGGCTTTGTTGTTGTTGCTCTGCAGCAGGACCCGCATGGGAATAAAGGCCGCCGAGTCGGACAGTGGGACGCGGCCTGCCGGAGTGTCATGTCCCGTCACGCCGCCAGGGTGTCACCGTGTCGGCCGTGACGGCGTGACGGCGTGACGGCGTGACGTCGAAGCGAAATTAATTTCGTGTCATCCGCCATCCGCGAGCCCGCTGAGCCTGCCCACGGAAGAGGGAGAAAGAGCGGACGCGGAGGGAGGACCGCCGAGTCACCGCCCTGCCCCCTGCAGACTGACTCCGAGAGCCCTTTTCGTCGCTCTGTCTCTCTCTCACCTATACAGGACGCCCCATGAGTGCGAGAGAGACGGAGCGACGGAAACGACTCTCGGAATCCGTCTGCTGCCGGAGGTTTATCCCGCATGTACCCCAGGTGGCTGCATTTTTGAGGCCACACGCCACGCGCGCGCTCGACGCGCGCGAACCGATATTAATCTCAATAATTTTCGCTTCGCCCGTCCCGTTTTGTCGTCCTTTTTGTCCTTTTTTGTCGTCTGTCGCGCGCGGCGTGGCGGCGTGCCTCTGATGGGAGCACGAACAGCAGGCGGAGCGCGTCGTGCGTGCGGACGGACGGACAGACGGACGGACGGACAGACGGCGTGGCGGTAGCGCGTGCGGACAATTGCATATTTTGCTATCGGCAGCCGCGGCGGATTAGGTGCACGTCCGAGTGTGCGTGTGTGTGTGGGTGTGTGCGCGTTTGTGTGTATGTGTGTGTGTGTGTGTGTGTGTGTGTGTGTGTGTGTGTGTGTGTGTGTGTGTGTGTGTGCAGGGGTGTCGGGGCCGTGGACGTGCATGCGATGCGCCGCCTCTGTGTTTGGCAACTTGAGTGTTTAATCGCGTAGATCCTCCTCTAAAACCCTTCCCCGCGCACAGCCGCGCACAGCGGTGGACCGACGTTGTCCTCCTCGTCGCCGAGTGGCGGTACTTACAGTGGCGAGGCGATGAAGCGGTGCGGCCGCCAAAATTTGAATGTTTGAATGCGTCCGCGGCGCTCGGCTCTGCTGCATATCTCACCACCACCATCTCTCTCGCTCCGCCTGCTGCTGGGCTAGACGGCGGAATGAGCACGGCCACCCCGCGGTTCGGAACAGGACCCTGTCGTCCCGTCTCTCTCTGCACCGCGGGACGCCCCGTGAGTGCGAGAGAGACAGCGCGACCAGGGCACCGTTCGGAATGAACCTTCACAGTCCGCCAGCTCGTCAACGTCAGGCCGTGTAATGTTGTTGTCCAATATGGTGCATCCAGCGCGGGGCGGGGCGGGGCGGGTATCCTGCGACATGCTGTATCTAGGCGGCCACCCCACGCGGCGTGCCGCGCGCCCTGTCCACTCCTAAGGCACTGGACTCCGCTCTGCTGAATCATCGCGCTCATCCCCCTGCCCCTCCCCTAACCTCCACCCCTGACCTCCGCCCCGCCCGCCCCGTCCCCGCGGCCATCACACGCGACACAGGGGAGGGCGCGGCAATGGGCGCGCTGCCTACAACAGCCTAGCGCCGCGCCGCGCGGACCAAATTGGAAAAAATGCGGCAAATCTGATGAAACGTCGGCGGCTTTCACGTCCCTGTCTGTCTGTCTGTCTGTCAGTCTGTCTGCCTGTCTGTCTGTCTGTCTGTCTGTCTGTCTGTCTGTCCGTCCGTGGTTCCGGCTGCCGCTGTTGCGGGGGTGATGGTGAGTCACAATCGCTGGCCGTATAAGAAGCATCATTTCATTGGGGCTGTTTATGCTCATGGTTTTATGTGCGCCCACTTGCAGAGAGCGCGTCGTCGCGTTGGCCCTCGCGTTGCGACTGCGACACTGCGACGCCCGTCCCCGCGTGTCCCGGCCGGGCTCGGTGCTCGGTGCTCTGTGCTCGGCTCGCACCGCGCCGTCTCAAACTTCCCCTTTTACTGCTTTACTGCCCTCGTTGCGATTTCGCACTGCAATGCAACAACACACACACAGTGCACCAGGCGTCGGCAGGCACACAGATAGAAATCGGTGCTGATTTCCGTCGCTCCTTTCAGTGGCTCGCTGCTCTGTGTGTGTGTGTGTGTGTGTGTGTGAGGCGGTCGAAATGAAGTCGGGGCCTCGTCGCCGTGTCCAAGTCGTCCCTGGTCGGCTCTGGTTCACTGATTCCGCGAGTCGTCTTCGTCGCTCTCTGTCTCTCTCGCACTCACGGGGCGTCCCGTGGGTGCGAGAGAGACAGAGCGACGAAAACGCCTCTCGGAATCAGTGTGCTAGTGCATGACGGCGGTGGCGGCCAAACTTTGGCGGAGGGGTGTGCTGCTGCCGTTTGCCTAGTTGGGCCGGGCGAGGGCAGCCGCTCGCCGTTTGCCCCTAAAGTGCCGCCACGTCCGCCCCGTCCACAAACGGCGACAAGAAAAAAGACAAGAAAGTCCCGGGTTAGCCGCTTGCGTCGTCAGCATTCTGTAAGAAGGACGGAGTCGTAAGTCGGGAATGTGCAGCCGAATTAGCCCCTTTTGCCCGCCCCGCCCCGCCCCGCTCCCAGTGTGCCGCCCGCGCTAACACAGTCCCCCGGAAAGAGCTTTTCTTTCAAAGTGCACACTGCAGACTGGGAGTCTTTTCCGTCGCTCTGTCTCTCTCGCACCCATACGGACGCCCCGCGAGTGCGAGAGGGACAGAGCGACGACAACGACTCTCGGAATCAGTCTGGCGGGCCCGCGTGGCGATTCCCTTTCACGGCATCCGTCGGCAGGAAATGGAAAGCAAGTGAATAAAACAAGTTGTTGTTGTTGTTTTCGGGGGAGGACACACGACACTGCGTGACCGGGTATCGGCAATCGGCACTACCCAAAGCATTGTGTTCGGCGCGGTGTGCGGTGAGTGCGCGGGGCGCACGGGGTCCGTCCGTCAGCGCCGTCCACGCGGACAGGGGCGTTCATTAATGCACGGCGGTCGCCCGCTGATGGTAAGCCCCGTTTTGTCACAGGCATGATCCGGCTCGGGCCTGGAAGGCCTGGAGGCCTGGACGACGCCGGGTTCGGCCGGGCTGGAGCCGGGCTGGAGCCGGGCTGGAGCCGGGCAAGGGGCAGGGGTGGCACGCGGCCTAATCTATGTACATATTTATCAGGGTGGATTATTTCACACAAAGACGCGGGCCGGGCCGGGGCGGCGTTGTTGTGCCGGGCTTTCGCGAAGCTTTCGCCAGGCTTTCGCGCTTCGAGTCCCGCGAGCTTTGAACGCCGTCCTCATGACCTCTCCCTGCTGGACGACGACGGTGGCGTGGTGATAGGATGGTCCACGGCGATCTCGTCATTGTCGTCTCCAAAGCCGGCAAGCGCGCGAATTTAAAATGATACCCCCGGGCAGAAAAATGGCCAGGGGCTTTATTTTTTAAGTGTCGCGGCGCGGGTGGCGCACGAAAATGACTTGATTATAATGGCGTGCGCCGTGCGTCCCTGTCGCGGGGGAGGGGAGGGGGAGAGGGGTGGGGGTGGTTGGCAGGGGCGCGGTTCCACTCAGAGGCACTGGAGCGTGCACAACTCATTGTGTATCAGTTTAAGCGCGCCACTGTGCCGCGCGGCGCGGTGCGCGGCACGGTGTGCCGGTAGGGTAGGGTTATTGGAAAGTGGGGTTGGCGTCGTGTTAAGGGAGGGGCCCGGCGGCGGCCCGCGGCCCGGCTGGGCGCTTTGCGGGCCTCGCTCTTGGCGCTGGACATGCTGGGCATCGCGCACCTGGAGGCCTGAAAGCGGCCAGCGGACCGCGAGGACGGCGACGGCGCGGACGGCGTGGACGAGGGGGCGGCGCGGCGGCGCGGCGCCACCACACTGGCAGCGGTGCGACACGTTCATTAGCGCCACCATTGTTCCCGCGCTTATTGAACGCGGCGGCGGGGTGGATGAACCGGGCCTCCTTTGCCATGGAGATGATTCCCATTTCACACCTGGCCCCGCGCCGCCCCGCCCCGCCCCGCCCCGCCGCGGCGGCTTTGTGTTGTTCCCGAGGCCGCTGCCGTCGTCGTGCCGTAAACGGGAATTGGCGTGCTGCGCGGGTTTGCCGCCCTGCCCGGCGTTTGCCGAGCACCGCGTCGAAGCGGCATCGCGTCGAGGAAGGCCCGCCGCGCCTCGCCCCGCCCGCCCCGCCCGCCTCGCATCCCATCAGCGCCAAGCTCGCCGACCCGGCGACCCAATCGAGATCCCGGGGCTAATCAGGGCCTGTAATTGGCCTAGGCGCGGAACCGCCAGGCACGGTGACACCGCCGCGGGAAGCGCGTCCCGGGCGCAGCAGACGGATTCCGAGAGTCGCTGTCGTCGCTCTGTCTCTCTCGCGCCTACACTGGACGCCCCAAGAGTGCGAGTGAAGCAGAGCGACGGAAACGACTCTGGGAATGAGTCTGCAGCCGCCGCCTCGCCGCCTCGCCCTTCGCGATTTCTGGAAATATAACAATGTCTCGGTGCCGGTTCCGCGAGCGACGGGGCGAGATAAGCACGGCGCTGTCACTCAGCCTGCCCACGGCGTGCCCACGGCGTGCCCACGGCGTGCCGACGGCCGTGTCTGTGAATGAATAGAAATAGGCGGCAGAGTATGAAGCGCGATACGAGGGGGCGGGGCGGGGCGAGGCGGGGCGGCGGGGTGGAGCGCTCCGCGAGAGGGAGAGTGAGAGGGGGGGAGGGGGCCAGGAGCGGGAATCGGAATTAATGCAAATGGCGTATCGGGCCGAATAAGGAGGCGAAATATGGATGGGGCACCGTGGCCGGGCCAACTCCATGACTCGATCACGCGGGGAAACAAGGGAAACAAAGCCCAGCACCGCCCAGCACGCTCCAAACGTGCGGAACAAACAAGGACAACAGCAACGCCACACATATTGGCGACCGTTATGTCATTTTATTTTTACGTTTGCTCTAATTTTTTTTTGGTGGGTGTTTTTTTGTTTGACCTCGTCAGAGGGAAACCCAAGTGCAGCCAACAAGTGAAACGCGAGCCGTGCTGGGGCTGGGGTGCCGACGACGGCCTTGCAGTGCCTTTGCACCTTGCAGTGCAGCTGCAGCACCTCGTGCAGCACCCCCCGCTCTCCATGAGTCGGTCGGTTCATATTGGTGGATGCCGACACCGCCCGCCTCGCTGGATGACGGGATGCGTGGGGCCCGTTGGGGCCGTGGAAAGCAAGCGCATATCGCGTCCCGAACGGGTGTCTGCTCGGCGGACTGGAAAGACAAGGCGCTGTCAGGGAAAGGGCGAGGGGAGGGGCAGTGCCAGGACCGCGCAACATTCTGCAGACGACACCGGTGCTTCGCTTTCGTTGTCTTTTTCCCCTTTTGTTTTAGTTTTATTTTTCCCCTTTTTTTGGCGTGGTAACCGGAGCGCTTGGCTTCGGACGGGCGGCCGGGCTGCGCGCGGACGTTGACAGATTAGTGGGAGGTAATCACTCGCAGCGCGCCGGGCGCGGGGCGACGGCCGATCGCCGGCTGATCGGCGAGCTGATGGATCATACCTCGGCGCCCGGCGGTGCGCTTCGCTTCGCGTCGCGTCGCGTCGTGTCGTGTCGTCGCTTCGCGGCGCCGCTAGGAGGATCCCCGGCCGTTTTTCAGCGCCGAAATCATCTCTAAACGCGCGCCGTCACGCCGTCACGCCCGTCTCGATTTCCGGAAGGCGATCCGCGGCCGTCACCGCCACCGCACTGCCGTCGGCCGCGTCGGCCACCTCGTTGGCCGCGGTGCTCAGCGCGATGACGAAGTGCAGGATGTGTTTCAACTCCCCGAGGTGCGGCGCGGCGCCTATGCCGCCAGTGGCTTTATTAATATTTTAACGACAGCGGCCCCGCCCCGCCGCAAGTGTCGTTTCGTCGCTGTCTCTCTCGCACTCACGGGACGGGGCGCTTTTCGTAGGTGCCGTTCGCGATGAGCCTCCTCGACGTCGTCCCCCGGGGCCGCCGGGCCGCCGGGCCGCCGCCGAACGGCGCGTAGGCAACCCTTCCGACAGCCACGCGCGTCCATCCGGGCCTCGGCCGCGACGGCGACGACGGACAGGGAGCTGGCTGCATATTGCGCCATCAACTTTTCGTTGCGGCAATAAGACAACCAGTGTGGTGGTGAAGGGTGGCGGCCAGCTGTGGAAGCCATGGCGGCGGCGTTGGCGGCAGGGCGACGAGCCGGGCGTCGTCGCGGTGGTGCTCCGACGCACCTGCCCGCCTTCGTCCGCGCCCGCGCCGCCGACACGTGTGGACGTCCCTCCCGCGAGAGTCGTTTTCATCTCTCTGTCTCTCTCGCACCTATACGGGACGCCCCATGAGTGCGAGAGAGACAGAGCGACGAAATGGACTCTCGGAATCGGTCTGCAGCCCCTCGATGCCCTGCCCACTCACTCGATTATCAAGTCCTCGACGCGACGCGCGACGCGTTGGGCTGACGCGATGCGAGTGCTGCCACGCCGCGCCGCGCCGCACCGCGCGTCTCGAGAGGTTTGCGATGAAAAGGGCCAAGTGCGGCAGAGGGCGACGGGGCGGCGAGGGGACTGGAGTTGTTGTTGTGGACATTGCAATCGAAGCGCACGCGGCTGGAAGGGAGTTGCAATTATTCTGATTTCGGTCCGACGGCCCGGCCGACGGCCCGCTGGAGCTGGAGCGTCTCGGGTGCGTCCCGACGCGTGGAATATGTTTTCTCTGGGCTTCCCCCTCGCCGCTCCGCGCGCTCCGCTCGCAGTGCAAGTGCACGACGTGGATGGGGTTGGCGGGGCCTGGAGAGTGAGTCCTGACGGCGCGGCTGCAGCGGCCCTGCGCGCCAGGAGGCCATTCCCATTCCTACGCCGATGGGGCGTCTGCTCCGCGCCACGGCGCCACTCGGGCGCGATGATGCGGGGCGCCTGCCTCTAGTGCCTCTCTCTGCCCCGCCCGCCACGCCGCCACGCCTCGGCGGCGTCGATCAGGAGGCCTGCATCCTGGCAATCCAGGGCCGCCCGGGGAGAAAATAAAGAAGGAATTGGCATATCGTGAAATCCAAATCATATTTCGGGAGACTGGCGCCGAGTGAGCGCGCCCTGCCCCACCCCGCGCCCCACCCCCACCCCCTTCCGGAGGCGGGCCGTGAGGATCCCCCTTTCCGCGGAGCGCAAATTTCTTGAGCCGAAGCGACCAGAAGTACCGGCAACTAACGTCGAGTGTTTGGTTCTGTTTTCTGTTTGCAGGCTGGGCCGACGTGAGCCGCTCCGTGCCGGGCCTGGCGGGCAGTGCGGGGCCGCCGCACCTCGAGGCCGCGCCCCCCGTGGAGGACTACGCCACCGACGACTACCCCGACGCCTACGACGACACCACCAACACGTGAGGCCCCACACCTGTTTGTTCGGGATGCGGTATTGTAGCGAAATGAAGTGCGGGGCGGGCGGGGGAGGAGGGGGTGGGGGGTTAAATTAGAGAGCGGGCATCGAAGGGTGGGGGTGGCGCGGTGTCGGGTGGGGGTGGTTCATTTGGTTGCAGCGCGGCGTAGATCCATCATGATGTGACAGATGTTAGCAGCACCACCCTCGCTGCCGGCGACTCTGCAAAAAAAAAAAGGAAATGCCCTTTTGCCGCCCCAATTCCTCGGCCGAAAAAAAAGGCCGCGAAACAACAAGCTGCAGTGGCCTTAGAGGCCCTGGCGGCCCCGCGCCCGGGGCGAGGCGGGCCGAGATTTGAGCGAATCCCCGCCCCGATCGGCCGCGGCCGCCCCGTAAGCGTGCAGCTACCTCCATCGCAAACTCCCCCGGGCCGGACTAGGCCGGGATAGGCCGGGCCGCGCTGCCGCGCCCTCCGCGCCCCCAGGGATCCTCCCACGGACTTACGGAAAGTGGGGCCGGCCCCGCCTTGGCCCCGCCACGGCCTCGCCTTGGCCACGCCGCGCTCGCGTTGTTGCTGTAGCTGTGACACCGCTCGGCGTGGCATGCCCCGCGGCGCCTTGCGCCTTGCGCCTTTCAATTTCTGGGGCCGAAGCCGAAGCCAGGGGCGGGACCAGGGGTGGGACCAGGGGTGTAGTGCGCCGACCCGCCTCCCCCTGCGTCGCCGCCTTTTTTCTGACTTCCTCCCCGGCACGCCAAGGCACGCCAAGGCTTGTCTCTTCCGTCATTACCCCAAAGCCGCCTCCCAACTTGTAATCGAAACGCGCCATTTTGCCGGCAGGGCGTGGCACAGGGGTTCACGTGGAGGCCCTCCGGCCGCCGCCTCTTGCCACTTTGTCTCTTTCGCTGAATGTTGCTTTTTTGCGACTCGCAGGTCCGACTCCGAGTCCGCTGGGGGCGGCGCGCTGGCCCCCAGCCCCGGCGGCACGGGCACCACGCCGCAGACCAGGACGCCGTCGGCGCCCTCGGCAGCTGGGGTGCCGGCGTCGCACGGCGCCGGCGGCAACGCGCTGGAGCCGGCCCCGGGGGCCCCGGGGGCGGCGGCGCCGGCCTGGCTCGAGGTGACGCGGCACCTGGTGAACGTGACCAAGGAGACGGGCGGGTCGGTGCGCCTGCGCTGCGAGGTGGCCGGTGACCCCCCGCCCCGCAAGGTGCGCTGGTACAAGAACGACGCCCCCGTCGAGGAGGAGCGCAACCGGCTCGTCACGCGGCGCTACCACGTGGAGGTAAGTGTGGCCTTGGCGATGGCCTTCTGTGCTTGTTTTGGGGGTTGATTTGCTTACAACCGCCTGGCTGCTGCAGGGGAACCGCGGGACCAGCATGGGCTCGCGGCTCAGGATCTCGATGCTGGAGGTGCACGACAGCGGCTACTACAAGTGCGAGGCTTCCAACGGCGTCAAGACGGTCGACTCCACCGCCATCCTGCTGGTCAAGGTGCCCAAGTGGGGTGAGTACCGCGTGAGTCCACCAGTGCTGTGTTCTGTGAGGCGCGTGCGTGACGGCCTTTACTTTGACCCGCAGGTGTGATGAACGCCCCGGCCGACATCCCGCACTTCCCGCCAGTGTTCGCCAATTCGCACGGAGGCTTCGGGTAAGTCTCGGAGGGAATGGTTTCATCTTTTCTCCTGTTCGCCCCGGAGTCCTGGACCCTGGATGGTGGCGCGACGGTTCCGCGGCCGCCTTTGAATCCTCTGGATTGCGGCGCCAACCGCTAGAGCGCGCTGGTGTCCATTCCCCCACCCCTTCACTCTCCTCGCTGCCAACCTCACCACACTGCGAGCTCACGACACTAAGCTCGCCGGCGGAGCGAAAACAGCGTCGCCTTCTTTATCACAAGATTGTCCCAACAAGATTTTAAGTGTTGTTTCAGTCGCCGCGGCTGATAGTTCATTTTGAACTGCATTTGCGCGTTTTCAGCCGTGCCCGCCGTGCCCCCTCCCTCCCCCCCTTTTCCAGCCCCGCCCCTCCCTTTCCCTTTCATAGAAGGCGGCGACCCGATATTTCGCGCATGAGTCAGACAGTTGTGTTTTCTGCTTTGTATTTATCGCTTTGTTTGTCAATATTCTGACTGAAGTTTGGCTTTTGAGTGCTGCGGTTAGACTTACGATGCTCTGTGGTCTCTGATATGTGAAAACCATGAACGAAGTTCTGCTAAAAAGTACTTTGCTACTATGTTTAAATTTGCTTATGGGCTCAGTTTGTGCCCAAAACATATCATTGACCGATTCAGCAGAGTATGATTATGAAAGTACTTCAGAAGAGATAGAAACTAAGTATGTAATAAGCTCCTCAAATGTTTTTCTTTGTTTACCCACTCATGCTAGAAGATAAATACTCTTCCCTAACCTAATGTCTGGAATAACAAAATTTGAGAACTCTGTGCCATAAACATACTAATTATTTTCACTGTCCCTTCATTGTGAATCTATGGCTGCTCTCATCAAATTACTGTTTAAATAGAGTTTTTTGAACGATTTCTAAGTTAATTTCAAGTCTGTATTGGTTTTAGTTTCTTGAGCACAACCAAGAAGGGTTATACTGACATGTTTACCTTGTGTGTTGCAGTGGTACCAGTGACCATATAGACTCAATGGGCATGGGTCCAATGGGAGAGATGGACGGGCACATGCCTCGTGGACTTCCTGGTGGACTGTCCGCTGGACTTCCTGGTGGAATGTCCGGTGGACTTCCTGGCGGAATTCCAGGGATGCCTGGAGGAATTCCTGGGATGCCTGGAGGACTCGGAAACATTGATCTGAGTGGTGGGATGCCTCATCAAACGTTCACCCTGTCTGGGCTCGGTGGCTATGGAGACTCATCTGACACTATTTTACCTGATGGTGCTTCTACAGAACCTACTTGTCAGGTATAGCACTAATCATTGAAGACAATTTGGTTAATTTTCTTAATTTGTGCCTGGCTTACAATATATTCGGTAAATTTACAGATATATCAAGGAAGGATTTGTTGGGAGTACCTTGCAAACAGATCTGTCTATATAGCACAGGCTCTGAAGCAACCTCATATAGAAGCTATGCTCACTCGAGCTTTGACTGTTGCCAAGCATTCCCCGTAAGTGTCCTTGTTAGATGGCAGAACTTAATCTACGAGTTCTGTTATGTTCTCTATCCAATTACTTTGATTTTGTGTTTAATGTTTGCTTTTTGTTTTCCCCCAGTGATATTACACCCCAGTGTGTGCAATTTGCCAAGCCCTCACTTTGTTACTCAGCATTCCCAGTGTGTAGAGAGGATCCCCATGATAAAGTGGTGAAACCAACTCTGAAACCTCACAGAATATGTCGTAGAGATTGTGACCGCCTTGAAAATGAATATTGTCCACTAGAATATGCTTTGGCTAAGCGAAATGCTCTGATAAAGCAAGTTATGCAGGACTGCAGTGATCTACCTATGACAGGCTCACCTGATGATGAAGGCTGTCTGTCTCTCAACATCCCTTCAGCTGAATCAGCAAAACCAGGTACAAATTGATTTTGAATCCATCCATTTAGATTGCACACAGCTTTGATTTCTGTATTTCTTGTAAGAAAAAATAATAATGGGACCAATTGTGCTCTTTGTTACAGTGATTCCCGAAGATGTTATGCTTTATATAGCATTTCCTGCAGCTGCCTTACTGCTTCTTACCTGCAGCATTGTGACTTATTGGTGCTGCCGTCGGCGAAGAATTGCAGCACAGAGCCGCTTCCCTGGCAGTGCGAGCAAGGTAAGCCATTTGGTGGGTTATGAAATCTCCTTTATTTCTCAAACTTATGGTTAATTTTGCTCCACTCCATCTAGATGAATGGTTTGAAGCCGCCTCGCTCAGCCACCTCTCCTCTTCACAAACTGAGCAGTGCCAATCAAATGATGGAGATGAACTCGTTGCTTCCTGCCAATGGTACTATTGTCAGCCACAGGAGTGAACGTCCTAGCAATGGAAATATCCTCAGAGTCAGAGAGTACCAGCTAAATAACATACGATTCATGCAAGATTTGGGAGAAGGAGCCTTTGGTAAGTGGTTTGCTGGGCATGAATGGTCATTATTCACCCTAGTCTTTGATCATTTAGTAATTCTGGATTTTTACCTGTATTTAACTTTCTTTCTCTTTTTCTTCCTATCAGGCAAAGTTTACAAAGGTGAAGTTTCTGGCAACCCTGATGAGGCCAAACTGATGGTTGCTATCAAGACCCTGAAGGAAAATGCTAGTGCTAAAACTCAAGGGGACTTCAGACGAGAAGTTGAATTGATGTCAGATCTACGTCATCCAAATATTGTGTGTCTACTTGGTGTTGTGCTGAAAGGAGAGCCTATGTGTATGTTATTTGAATACATGACTCAGGTAAAGAATCCATCTAATCAATTAATTATTATTGTCTTGCTTTTGGCATCACCATTTTGACTTGTTACCTCTTTTGTCCTTCAGGGAGATCTTCATGAGTTCCTTATCTGTCACTCTCCCCGATCTGATGTGTCAGCATGCAGTGATGATGGCAGTTCCCATGTTTTAGATCAGCCAGAATTCCATCACATAGCATTGCAAATAGCTGCTGGTATGTTGATAAAATTTTAATTTCTATTATATATTTTTGTATAATGTGCTTGCTCTCGTATCTTAGTTGAGATTTTCTTTTCCAGGCATGGAATATTTGTGCAGTCATCATTATGTTCATCGTGATCTCGCTGCTCGAAACTGCCTTGTTGGAGACAATCTCACCGTTAAAATATCAGATTTTGGCCTTTCAAGGGACATTTATTCGTCGGATTACTACAGGTGAATGAAATAATAAATCAAACAAACTCGGCATACATAGTTTAAACTAGAGTAGAGATTAATAATAATTTCTATTTCTATTTTATAGAGTCCAATCCAAATCACTGCTACCTGTGCGTTGGATGCCACCAGAATCGATACTGTATGGAAAGTTTACCACAGAATCAGATGTATGGAGCTATGGTGTGGTGTTATGGGAAATATATAGTTTTGGTCTACAGGCAAGTGTCCTCAATGGTCTAGTTTTTGCATTGGTTGTGTGTGACATTATATTGTTCCCCTTAGCTCATTCAAAAGTCCTGTTGCAGCCTTACTATGGATACAGCAACCAAGAGGTCATTGATATGATACGAAGCCGACAGCTGTTGCCATGTCCAGAAGACTGTCCTTCACGCCTTTATGCCCTGATGATTGAATGCTGGCATGAGGTCCCGGGAAGAAGACCGTCTTTCCCTGAAATTCACTCCAGACTGCGGCAATGGTGGGCAGGGAGTGGATTCAGCACTGACAGTTGGGGTGCCCCAGAAAGCATGCAAGGTACAGCTGATGGACAATCTGAAGATTTCTGAAGATGTCTGAAGATGTACTCCATCTTTAAATAAGACCTACAAGATGTTGTATTTTACTTTTTGTCTTTTTTTTTTAATGCAGGTGGGACCAGTAGTTGCAGTGGTAGTCACAAGTCCAGCACTGGGCCGAGCAACAAGACAGGGTCCACTCAGCTATCCAACAATGCTGACTTAGGAAGTATTACTCCTGGTATGACGCCCTTGCGAGCGCGCCCGGAGACCTCCCTGAGCCACCAACTGCAAAGTCCAGGAAGGATTGGGCCTCCTCCCACACCGCCTTTCCACCACCAAGTCATGCATCACCAGTCATCCCAAACGCCAACCAAATTGGCCAACCAGAGGTACCCTCCTCCCCAATATTCGCTTCACAACCTTCAATCTCACATACCACCACCACCTCTCTCTCAGCTCAACTCATTTGGTAAGCCAGTGGGCTCTCAACTTATTGTTCGATTACCTCCCCCTTATAATGGGCACAGCAATGCAGTGGAGACCAAAATCTCAAATATTTAGGCCACTGATTGAATCAAGTTTGTTATAGTAATTTTGCAACCTGTTATACCTGACTGATTATATGTGTAATCATTTCTTCTTGACAACATTTCCTCCTGACCACCTGTAGTAGATATGGATTTTTAAATGGTTTTGACTGATGCACCTGTGGAAACAGCATACTCAAGTAACTGAGCTGTTCTCCCACTTCTTTGTGTGGGTGTTGATTGAAAGATTTTAAGCATATATTGTACATAAAACATATGAGCCCTTTATGGTTATTGTCTCCTCAATGTATTGTATGAGTTACCTTGGAAGATTGTTCTCTGTGTGAGAAGCTGTTTCATTATTGTTGAAGATTTTCAATCTTCATGTTAATACCTAAAATGTGATAATTTTCTCTTTTAATTTTAAACAATGCCATTTGTTTTGTTTTAAATGCCATTTTAAGTATTGTAAGCACAATATATTGTATAGTTCTGTTTTAATATGTGTGTTGTCAAAAGGGGAAGTAATGTTCTTTGTTAAATGCTTCATTTTCAGAAATCTTTATTTGAGTGTATTCTATAAGTCTTTGTTGTTATTTATCATATATGATAAATCTTGTGTGCTTTTTAAGAAAATATTTTGAGGTCTGGGCAAAGGCAACTGCTTAATCCCTGCCGACCAGAAAAATTGAAAAAATTTTGAGTCAGTGTTATTTTAAACAGTGTCAGCACTTAAAATTGCTTCAACCTCTTTTTTTGTTGTAATTTACCCCAATCTTAAACTTTTCTATGTGTATTGTGTATGAGTATGTGATGTTTTTGATGTATATGTTCTTTACATACTGCCACAATCTTGTCAATTCTGGGAAGCTAAGCTTTCAAAAATTCCTAGATCTCATATCGCGGTAAATTCAGATCTGTTTAGCTAGATGATGTGATAGGTGTCTCATGAAGTAACCCTACCAACACTGCCCCTTTATTTTACTTTTTTAAAATTTGTACATTTTGTTGTACTATTGTTGTAAATTGATTATGATTGGTGTAACAAAGAGAATGTACATTGTATGTACATATTGATCAGTTTTGTTCCTGTAAAAGTTTGTTTAAATCCTTTGTTTATGTAGTTGTAGCTTTATTACCCATATGTAAATTCATATGGTTATCCAGTAAATGTGCTCTGTGTTGAGAATTTTTTTTATATCCTGATGAGTCTTGACATTTGAGCAGTCTAGAAAGGTTCTTGTTCCTTTATTTTTGCATGGAGCATGGCAACATTAGTTGGAAACTTCTGCTTATGAATCTATGGTACCAAAAATATTGACATTGTGCTCTTGTACCACTCCCTTTATTTATTGTTGGATTGGTCGTAGGGTAAATGTGGTGCACCCTAATGAAACTTTACAGAAAGGGAGTGTCTTCATTAAGACGGGAAACAGAATGGAAGATTCAGGATTCTCTAGTCATTGTATTCTATCAAAGTGTCGATAAACACAAACACTTGCAGGTCAACTTGATCTGTAAATATTACATCACATGCATGACTTATTAAATTTTGTTTTAATTAATAACTTTTACATTAGAGCAAGCTCACTTTATTCTTATTATTTTTTTACATATAAGTGTAACGACTTAGCTCGCTCTTTCAGCATTAACATGCAGGTCTCATGAACATTTTATGTTCTTTTAAATTAATGAGAAGAGCTATGTTGAATGCATTTAAAATTTGTGTACTTTACAGCATGTGTCTTAGTATCCCCATTGTTTTTATCATCTTATTATCAACTTTTGATCTGCAATCAACAAGAACTTCTAAAGTTAATATTCAAAAGAAATACTAGTGAAACAGTCAAATTTCCCAGTGATCATTTGAGAAGTTGGCAAAAGTCTGACACTCTTCAGTGGTGAACTCAACTGCCCGTTTTTTATGTGAACCATAATGATAAAGTCCAAAAGACTAACATAAAATTGATTTGTAACTTAATTGTAAATGACTTGTATTTATACATGTTAATAAATTGGTGTATCAGCGGAAACAAGTTTCTCGCCTCATTTATTTCCATCAATCACCACAGGGAATTCTCACAGTTCATCTTCGCAGCGCTGTGAGAAGCTGGCGACGAGAGCGAGAGATATGATGCGTTCAATCACATGAATGAGTAAAAGTTGAGGAGAGGGACTGTCAAGGCTTTCAGAAGAAACAACTGGGTAAATCCGGCGCAAACATCCCCAGACTTATATCTCTCAATGCAATCATCGCCCATACATTAAACTTAGCTCATTGGAAGCTAGCAGCGTTGCCTCCAATCAGATCGCCTCCTTTACGGTTCTATCTCGCATGGCCAAGGAGTCTAACCTGCGCGGCACAGCATGGGCAAAGTAGTTCTCCGGTGCTGGCGGATGCACACGGCACAGGTGGGGCGGGTGGGGCGCGGCGGGGTGCGGCGGGGCCCCAGGTGGGGTAAGGGCCGTGGGCCGGCGCGGCGTGCCGGTGTGGTGGGGCGCGGCTCCAGCGCGGTGCCGCGGTGCCCCATGCCGGCCCAGCAGACTGACAGGCACTTGGCATTCCCGCTCTGGCCGCCGCGCCGCGTGCCCGCCTGCCTGCTAGCCCGCCTGTCTGTCAGCCCAATCTCTGGAGCGCTCCGACCGTCCCGGCCCGCGAGGACCCTGGCGAGGACCAGGAGCATGGTGTTGTAGCGGCCGCCCTGCAGCAAGGAGGAGACGGACGAAACGAGCATGGTCTGCCCGCGCGTGTCGGTCTGAGAGGCAGACAGTGGCAGCCTTTGCCGTGCCTCCGCGTTACGTTGCTCCCCGTTCGCGGAAGTGGAAGTAGCAGACGACGCGGCTGCGGGAACCTGCAGCAACCTGCGGCTATGATTGGATTACCGTGAAGCAGGTAAGTGCACGCGCCGCGCCACGCCGCCGCGTGCTTGCCATGCGTGCGAGCGTGCCGCGCGCGCTGGTTGGGAATAGGGTCAGTGCATGAGGGGACGGGACGGTCGCGGTCTTCCCGGCTGGCGGCGCGCGGCGCGTCGACGGAGACGTGCTCGCCGGACCGATGAGCACCGCGCAGCACCGCGCCGAACGTGGTCCCGCGGCGTCTGCAGGCCGCCGCCGTCGCCCCCGCTCACGGTCTAGCCGTGCCTCTAGCCGTGCCTCTAGCCGTGCCTCTAGCCGTGCCGGGCCGCGCTAGCGTTTTGCCTGGCTGCGGTTTGCAGCCTCTAATTGACAGACTGGGGCCCAGGCTCGCCCAGGCCTGGCGTGACGCGCGCCGAGGCACGGCCGCACGGCGGCGCACGGCGGCGCGGCGGTCAAAGGACAAATAACGACTCCACACCCATTCTCAGTCTCAACACCGCGAGCTCAGCTCCGCCTTGCGAAACGTTACTCCCAAGGCGAAGGAGGCACTGGCGCCCATCCGCGGGGATGTGTGTGTGCCTTACAGTCCAGTATTCAGCTCAACGGCCACGGAGTCGTGCAAGCGTAACCGAGCCGCCACGCCGTGTGCGTGTGTGTGCGTGTGTGCGCGAGTCCTTCGCAATCGCGGGTCCATGGCGAGGTGACGAATAGCTTTGGTGCCTTTTCGCACCTGCGTGCGCCGGCGTGCGCTCAGCGCGCCGCGGACCACCTTCGTCGCGCACTTGAGGAACGGTCTTTGCGTGGTGCGTCAGAGGCCAGGCCGCAGCAACGCCGCAAATTCCGTCTGTTTGTGCTTTTTCCAATTGACCTTTTTATACGGATGGGATATAGTCTCGTCTGGCACGCTGGTCTGGTCGCGCCGCGCGCCTCCCGAAAACGAAACCTGTTTCGATTGCCGGGGACTCGGCGACTCCAGGACTCCGGGACTCCAGGACGGTCCTAGTCGGTAGTTGGTCGGTGCGGCGGGGCGTGGAGGCTAGGCCGCGGCCTGGGTGGAGTCCAGCGTGGGTCTTTGGGTCTGGACGGCCAGGCCGTGGCCAGGCCTCGGCCTGCATCAAGTCCAGCGTGGGTCTTTGGGTCTGGATAGAGAGGGAAAGCGAGGCGAGGTCGCCGCGTCGGGAGGCAAGATGCGTACCGGTAATTTATCGTAGCACAGCAGCGGAGCAGTAGGCAGTGTCCCGTCCACTCACGTAACGCCACCCGGCGGCCGTCGACAGTCCGATTCCGATTCCAAGCAATCTCTGTGTCTCTCTCACACCGCCATGGTACACCCCACGAGTGCAAGAGAGACAAAGCGACGAAATCGCTGTTGAGAATCAGCGTGACGCATCCCTGCCCAGCATCCCCTGAGGCTCGGGCCGCGGGCTGCACAGGTTGCCTGTCCGGCATCGTACACTTGTTGACGTCTTCGTGAGCCCCCCGGCCCCGCCTGCGGTCGCGGGGCTACCGCGACACTCCGCGCTCCGCGGTCGGCGCTGCACGGAAGTGCAGGGAAGCTGGAGCCGCGCCGCCAGAGCCACCGCACTGTAAAGCCCGGCAGACTGTGTGACAGCGTGCTGCCTGGGTGCGACTGGGTGCCTACATGGTGAATGGGTGCCACGCTGCCACCGGTGCGGACTCGATCCGGGAGGCCCGGCCGCGGACAACGCGACAGCCATGGCTAAACAGCCCCGGGCCGATCATCGGAAGGGTGGCAGACACATCGCTCGGCGGCGATGATAGCGGCCGCGGTTGCCGCCAAGCTCCCCGGCCCGGTTATCGGCCATCAGAGACGACGAGGACGGCGAGGAGCGCGGCATGGCGGCACGCACGCACACCCCGGGGCCGAAATCGATGAATCGATACTCGACCCGTTTCGCTGCTGCCGGGGTGCGACGACTTTTGAAGGGTCCACGCGACGGCCAGGGCTCGGTGACGACGTGACGACGGCGTGGTTGTGGTTCAGCGGCACCCGCGGCGTGCCGTACCACCGCGATGCACCACCGCGCCCCGCCCCGCCCCGCCCCGCCGCGGCGTTGACCGCCTTTGCGCCCCCCTCCCCTCATCTCCCTCCTGCCGTATGCGCCCCGCCCGCCCCGCGCTGCGCGGCCAGAGCCAGGCAGAGCGCAGAGCGGCGCAGAGCGGCGCAGAGCACAGCGATGACGTAACGCCATGTAACGCAGTGTGTAACGCCGGACCGGAACAGCGGGAACGGCGCGGGAACGCGCGGGAACGCCTCGCCAGCCGGGGAGGGGAAAGGTGCCAATGCCCCGATCGCACCCGATCGGCCTGATAGACCGAGATGCGTTCGGACACCGCACAGTGGCCCAGAAGACCGGTGGAGACGGCCAAAACTCTATACATGCGTTTTGAGCTCGCTGAACAGGACTCGAACCGAGCTTGTGACCCCACCAATAGATTCCTCGTAAGGAGAGCAATCCATTGGTGGGGTCACACGCTCGGTTAGAGTCCCATTAAGCGACTCTGGAGCTCAAAACGCGTCTTGGCCGCCGACGCCGGCCTTTGCACGTGCACCAAGGCCCGGCTGCCCGATGCAGCTATCAGGGCACGCCGCCACACTGCACGTGTGCGTGACGGTGTAATGAGTCTGGCCCGCGGCATCAAGCGGCCGTTTGCCGTTCGCTTGTTTAGCCTCCAGGCGGTCCAGGTCCGCTCCGGCAGTCATTCTCCAGCGGCCCGGGCTGCGCTGCGCCAGGCTGCACCAGGCTGCACGCGGCGTCAGGGAGCAGTTCCGCGGGGCCGCGGCAGCTGCAGCCGCAGCCCCGCGGGTCAACCCACCGGGCCAGCCCACCGGCCGAGCGGCCGAGCCTCCCGCCCCTCCACAATGACCCTCCTCTCGCCGGCCGCCGCCAGTGCCGAGTGCACGAGCACCGCGACGGCGCCGTGCTGCTTGCTACTCTAGGACTCTAGGCCTCTAGGACCCTAGGACCTTAGGACCCTAGGACTCTGGTAGGACCTTAGGACCCTCAGCTCTAGGAATAGGAATCTAGGTCTTAAGGATTCTGAGACCGAGGACTCTAGGAAAGGGACTCTAACTAGCCAGGCGCTCCGCCATCTTCCTAGCCTTCATGGCGTGCCGCAGGTGCGAGATTGCTCGCCGCTTTTTAATCCCCGGAATCCCAATTTATTCGGCGCTAAAAATCTATTGTCGCAGCGGGTTGAAGGCTATGGCTGGTGGTGACAAAGGCCGCAAGGATGGTGACGTGTCTGCGAGTGTCGAGTGACTTCGGTAATGAATACATGACGAATAAAAACGGCCCGCTCTGCCGACGCGTTGCTGTCGTTGACGAACCTCGCCACTGTTTGATTCGGCACCCCGGAAGGCTTGACGGAAGGCGCCAGCGAGGGGAAGTCCAAGCGCAAGCGCCGCCGCGACGCCGAGCTAGTCAAGCAGCGCGCGCTTGTCCTCAACGGACTTACAACTCTCTTCCCAATGTGTCCATGCCCATAAGTGAGCGTGCGGTTACACTCACACACAAAAGCGTGCGTGCGTGTGTTTGTGTGTGTGTGTGCGTGCGTGTGTTTGTGTGTCTGCGCATGCACGCGCGTGCGTACGTGGCCGCGCGCGTGTAGGGGCGGCTTGCCAAAGGCGTGCGGCGTCAAGGTGATGACGGGCCTGCGCTCTTCCGCGCGCGGGGCGACGACGCGGACGACGCGGACGTGGCTGGATTGACACCGCGGATTGACATCGGTAGCCTCGACTGATCATTATTTCGGTTCGACGACGGCCTGGCGGGCCTGGCGGGCCTGCCGGGCCTGCGGGCCGGTGAGTCTGAATGGGAAGTCCGTTTGGCTCGGCGCGGCCGGCCTGAAAAACACGGCGAGGCGATGAAGCTCGTCACCGCAACGCCGCAGCGCCTAAAAGGTGTGACAATGATGAATCAATCCGCGCGCCGCTCACAAAGACCCCTTTGTTCGTGCTCCCTTTTGTCGCCGTCGTCGCGGAGGCCCCCCCGCAGTACCCCGCGGGCTAGCGGGGCCTAACCTTGGCCGTGCGCGGCGCGGTGCGGTGCGTCGTCGCCGTAACCGCCGTGCCGTGCCGCGCCGCGCCACGCCGCGCCTTTTGGTTATGCGGTCTGCCCGGTCGGCCCACTGTTGGTCCAGCCCGCTCCAGCCGCGGCCCGATGACCGATCCCGGAACGAGACCATCGCACTGGCCGAGTGGCCACACGACCGCTGCACAGTGGGCCAGAAGACCGGTGGAGCGGCCAAAATTCGAGACGCGTTGACACCAACCGACCGTGTGACCCCACCAATGGATTGCTCGTTCGGAGAGCAATCCATTGGTGGGGTCACACGTTCTATTCGAGTCATAATTAGCGACTCTGGACCTCAAAACGCGTCTAGAATTTTGGCCGCTCCACCGGTCTTCTGGCCCACTGTGCGCTGGAGGCGGCTGGAGGCTGTCTCTACGCCCGCGGCGAGGCCCGGAGCCAGGAGCCCGGAGCCGTGCGCCCTAGGTTCCAGGCGGTACTTACTGAGTGCAGCCCAGCCCGCAACGGACAGGGCCTGCACTGGAAGCACGCCGAAAATGCCGAATCCGCGCACATTTCTTGTTCGCTTGAACGGGAAGGTGCATGCGTGCGTGGCACTGCGTGGCACTGCGTGCGCACGACGCTGACGATGACGGTACCCGGTACCTGCTCGAGTGCCGCGGCGCCCCGGGGCGCCCACAAGCAGTGCCCACAAGCGTCCACAGCCAAGCGCCGCGGATGTTTGTCGAGAGTCCACCTCGTGTCCCAACCCAGCAGAGCGGCCGGCCGCGCTGAGCTGAGGCCCGCCGCCTCGTCCACACGTCCCCGCGCACACTTGTCAAAGTTGCCAAACGACGAGGGCATGTGTCTCATGTCCGTCGCCCCGTCGCCCCGTCGCCCCGTCGCGCGGCTAGAAGTCCTAGTTCTCGGCCCGCCTTGCGTTGAGGTCTCTGGCCAGTCTCTGGCTCTGGCGAACCGTGCAGTGCAGGTCTCCGGCACTGGCCAACTCGAGAGGAACCCGCAATTTATTTCCACGGGTTTTAAGCGTTCATAGTCGGCCCAAAATTAATTAAAGCGAGTCAAGTTAGTTAAAGTTCAAAGTTCCCCACGCTGACCAATAGAGCTGTATACTAGAGTACACGAGCCCGTTTGACCAGTGAGTCGGACTTGTTCGGGCCGTCCGCCGCCGCCGTCTGCCGGTGTGTGGTGCCTGCCAAGTGGCAAGCAGACGCGGATACAGAGAGGGACAACGCCCCCCCCCCCTCCCCGGCACCTAGGCAGCCGCCTGAAAGGCAGGCAAAAAGCCATACTTTGCCCCCGCGTGAGTAGGAAAAAAGTGCGAGTACTTTGCCCCTCCCCCAAAACGCCGCATCTGGGTCCGCCACTGGCGCCAAGTATTTGCCGACACGACGGCGACTCGCACCGGATGCCGGTGTGTGCTGTCGGTGCGCCCGGTGAGGGCGTCAAGCTTGGCGTCAAGCTTGGCGTCAAGCCCAGCAGAATGTCGCGGCGCTGCCAGGAGGGAATGACCAGCGCTCTGCAGCCGCCAAACCGATTCTGGTTGGGCTCATTGAGTCTCGTACGCCCACACCCGCATCGACATCCATATCCACCGCAAGCGGAAAAGGAAGAACAAGAACCTGGTGGACAGTGTGGTGGAGGAGCGGCGGGTGGGGGAAGCGCCAGGATCGCGAGACTAACCACTGTAGGACTTTACGCGAGACAGGCGATCGAGGGCCGAGAGCGAAAGGCTTTAGGGCATCACGTCCGCCAGCGTCTCCCCCCTCTCACTCGCTCTCAGCCTCAGCAATACCGATCGTCCCGGACAGAGAGGGACCCTCCGTGTGGGTGCGAAAGAGACGGCGACAACTGTTCGGAATTGGATGAGTTCTCTGCTCACACGCGGAGCCGTTTAGAGCAGTTTGAGCCACTTATTGGGCTGGCGGCGATGACCTAGAGACTGGATGTGTGCCGGCCCCCCCCTTCCCCTCCGGCTAGGCTCTGCTCGCGGGCCCTGCTGCTCGCGCCTCGCCGGCCTCACGACGCCGCCGAGATGAGGTAACCGCGGTAACAGCGCCCCGCCCGCCCCGCCGCGCCGCACTGGACGGGCCCCGCTCGTTTCCAGTTCCGGCGTGGCGTGGCGTGGCGTGGCGTGGCGTGGCGTGGCGTGCCGCGGCGCCAAGGCGGCTCCAGCTGCTCTGCAGCACGCCCCCGCCCAGGGACTACCAGGGACCAGGGGCTGGAGGACTCCGCACGACCAGCACGACCCACTTGGGCTGCTGGAGGCTGGAGTGGCTGGAGGGCCGCTGTATGTCGTGCCACGACGCTAGGCGGACGGCGCGCCCAGCACGCCGCCCACGCACGGGCCAAGTACGCAGTGCCGCGCCGAGACGTAACGCGTAGCCGCGTAGCGGTGCAGCGCCGCAGCGCCGACCTTTCGGCGGGGAAGTACCGCGGGGCGGTGTGGCACGGCCTAGCCGGGCTGGCGGCCAGCAGTCTCGGGCGGCCAGTCCGGCCAGCACCGCACTTGTCGCGCTGTCTCGCTCGCCCCCCGCGGCAGACTCCGAGAGTGCGAGAGAGACAGAGCGACGAGCGCGGGCAGCGGAATCGGGCTGCGGACCCCGCGCCGCCCCGCGCAGGACAAGACGGCCCGTGGCACCGCCAAGGCTCCGCGGTGCTGCCGCCAGCCCGCCAGCCTACATCCGCCCTGCCTGCCCGCGGCCCGCCTGCCCTGCCTGCCCAGACGCCACTACTACTTACCGGAGCCCCAGCAGCCTCAGCAGTGCCCAGCAGCGGCGCGGCTACAGCGTTCCATTCCAGTGGCGCAACGGAAACTGGAACAAACACCTTGCTCCGGCCCGCCGCTCTGTAAACACTCTCACTCTCTCTCTCTCTTCCTCGCAGACACTCACGCACACAGGCGTGCTTTGTTGCGAATTCAGCCGTCCCGCGAGATATAAAACGAGATACTATAAAGGATTGCAAAAATGAGGCTGCTGCCGTGCCGCGGTGCATGCAGTGTAGCGCCTCGCTGACGCAAAGCCACGCCAAGCGGCGTGTCGCAACGGCTGATTGATTCGGGGGCTCATCTCGCGCCCCACCGCGCCACGCAGTCCGATCGGGGCGCGGGTCCTGGGCCCAGCAGCGGTTGGCCCAGGGTTCGAAGAAGGGCTCGACTCTCGTGGGTGGCGCGTCAGCGTCAGTCTCCGGGTGGGGCGGCCGTCGCCGTGGGTCCGGTTGGCGATGTCGGACGCGGCGGCGCGGGAGGGACTGCGCCGCCGGGCGTTGAACTGTTGGACTGTTCGTCGTGCTGGCCGTGCGTCGCGCTGACGAAGACAAAGCAAACAGTACGCGGAGGCACTCCCTCAAGTCCCCGGAGTGCCTGGAGTCCCCGGAGTCCTCACTGTCCGGGACGGCGGGTAAATAAACGGATGACTTGACCCGGCGACGCTCTGTCATGCAAGTGCCGGGAATGGTCGGGAATGGTACCACGCGGGCCAAATTGTCCCCGAGTAGCGGGACGGGGCGGGGCAGCCTCGCGCACGCCACCCCTTGGAACGCCCCAGCCGAACCTGACCTCCACCAGACCTGACATGCAATCTGTGCTTCCAGGATCCCTTCCAGGATCCCTTCCAGACGGGCATGGCGCCCACCCAGGCCGTGATGGCGGCCGACCTGAGCGGCCGCCTGGAGGGCCTCCAGGGCATGGATAACGAGGACGCCGCCGTGCTGGTGCGCAAGGCCTACAAGGTGTACCGCAGCAAGTCCCTGTTCCGGAAGACGGTCAACAACCAGGTGATCCAGGGGCTGGACATGACGGTGCGCCGCGGCACCATGTAAGTGACGCAGTGCTTGAAGGAGGAACCGTTTCGGGATTGGCGTTCCGTTGGCGCGGCAGCGCGGCCCGCCCGCCTTGCCTTTGAGTCCTTTGAATGGCCGACGCCACAATGGAGCCGCTCTGTCCTTCTCGCACTCACGGGGCGTTCCGGAGGGGCGCGAGAGGGACAGAGCGCTCTGCGTGCTCATGATCTGCATGTGCGTGGCCAGCGCCGTGGGACTGCACCGCCACCGCGCCGCGTCGAACCCTGTCGGACTCGTTCCCTTTGTTGCAGATACGGCCTCCTGGGCGCGAGCGGCTGCGGCAAGACCACCATGCTCAAGTCCATCGTCGGCCAGGACAAGCTCACCAGCGGCGAGGTGCGCACCCTCGGCCGCACTCCCGGGGCGCCCGGCTCGGGGGTCCCCGGCGCCGCGGTGGGGTACATGCCGCAGGTGAGAGGCCCCGCCCCGCCTCGCTCCACCGACGATGACGGCGGTGGACTCGGCGGCGGACTTCCAGTTGACCGATACCCATACATCCACCGTGCCCCAATGAACGCCGTCGTCTCCCACAGGAGCTGGCGCTGTACATCGGCTTCACCATCGGCGAGACGTTTCGCTACTTCGGCTGGCTCTCGGGGATCCCCAAGGAGGAGCTGGCCCTGAGGACGGCGTCCTTGATCAAGTTCCTCGACCTGCCCCCCGCGCACTGCGTCATCGGCCAGCTCAGGTGCGAAAGCGCAGAAGTGCAGCGGCGTGCTGGCCTGTCCGAACGAAGGGGCCGCCGTGTGGCTCCATGGCTGGCAGGCAGGCACAGCCGTCTGGCTCCCAGCGTCGCTTTGCCTTGGCTTTGCCCCGCACTGCTTTTTGAAGCACGCGGCGAAGGGCAGTCCTGTCCTAATGACAGCGTGACAACATGAAAGCAGCACGCACCGACCTCCGGACTGACGGCATGCTGCGTGTCTCGGTGTTGCAGCGGCGGCCAGCAGAGGCGGGTGTCCTTCGCCGTGGCGCTGCTGCACCAGCCCCCACTGCTCATCCTGGACGAGCCCACCGTCGGCGTGGACCCCTTGCTGCGGCAGAGGTGAGCCGCCAGTTGTCTATCCGCATTTTGCGGGGCCCGCGGCCTCGCGCCCCGCCGGTCTCGTCAAGTTTCGAGTCAAGTTTGTTCTCCTCTGGAACGTCACTTTTGATGCCGCAGGATATGGGGCCACCTGATGGACATCACGGCGGACGGCAGCACCACGGTCATCATCACGACGCACTACATCGAGGAGGCGCGGCAGGCCAACACGCTGGGGCTGATGCGGGAGGGCGTGCTGCTGGCCGAGGACGCCCCCGACCGCCTCCTGGAGCGCTACCACTGCAGCAACATGGAGGACGTGTTCCTGAGGCTCAGCGTCCTGCAGACTAGGAACAACAGGAACTCGCGGCGGGACGACGCGGACGCCGCGCTGGCGCAGGAGGAGCAGGGCGAGGCGCAGGACCGCAGCGCGCGCAGCGTGCTCGTGCCCACCATCACCGAGCAGGTAGGACCCGTGCGCAAGTCGTGGCGGAACGGTGGGACAAGTCCGTTCCCGACCAGGTTCGAACTGGAGACCCTCTGCGTGTTGAGCAGACGTGATAACCACTACACTACGGGAACTGCCTGTCCGACACAGTCCGTGTCACCACCGCCTCTCACAGCGCTGCCGGTGCGACGGCGGAAGTCGGCGTCCCCGTCGCAGCTGCCCCTGCCGCTGGCACCCCTGCCCTTCGGCCGGAAAGGCTCCGGCACCGCCAGGAAGGCGACGAGCTCGGCGACGCGCATGGCCTGCTTGCTCTGGAAGCACGTGCTGTGGATGCGGCGCAACGTGCCGTGAGTACCTCAACGCCTCACTTGCTGGACGACAAAGCGGACAAAGCACACTCAGGCCTGCCATGCCATGCCCCGCGTTCCAGGATGGTGTGCTTCTTGACGCTGCTGCCCGTGGTGCAGTGCATGCTGTTCGGGCTGACGGTGGCCGCGACCCCAAGGGGCTCAAGCTGGCCGTGGCCAACGACGAGGGCCTCTGCGGGGCGCCGGGGCTGGACTCGGTGGACACGTTCAACTGCAGCAACCCCAGCCTGCTGTCGTGTCGGTACATCAACATGCTGCAGCGCATGGAGTTCGACACTGTAAGTACACCAAGGCAAGTGTTCGCAGAAAGGGCGCGGCCGAGGGCGCGGCGGTTTTTAACAATGTTTCCTCGCGGCAGCTCATGTTCGACTCGCTGGTCAGCGCCAAGGGTGCGGTGGAGCGGGGGAAGGCCTGGGCCGCGCTGCACTTCCCGGCCAACTTCACCGACAACATCTTCGCCCGCATCAACGACGGCCAGCACGCCTCCAACGAGACCCTCCTGGGCTCCGAGGTCAACGTCTGGCTGGACAACTCGAGTGAGTGGAGGAGGGTGGAGGTGGCAGTGAGTTCAGGGTAAGGGCAAGTCTAACGCGCCCCTCGTTTCAGACTCGTACATCACGACGCTCATGCAGACCGACATGTCGTACGGCACGGTGGACTTGCTGCAGCAGATGCTGTCCCACTGCGACTTCAACCCTGCCGTGGCGGGGATCCCAGTGCGGGTGAGTATCCGAAAGCGCGAGCGTTGTTGAGTGTGCGCACATCTTGACGTCCTGCCCGCCTTGCTCCAGTTCGAGACCCCCGTCTACGGCCTCTTCAGCACCGAGTTCTTGGACTTCTCGGCGCCGGGGTGCACCCTGACGTGAGTACCTTTGGCTTTTGGCCGCGCCAGCCTGCCGCGCCTACCTGGTCGCTTCGTCGCTTACCTCGCCCGTCTTCCCCGCAGGCTCGTCTTCTTCATGTCGGTGGCCTCCGCCGTCGGCGCCATCCTGTCCGAGAAGAACGAGGGCCTGCTGGAGAGGAGCCTTGTCATGGGTAACGCCACTGGAAGAAAGGACGGCCGCCGCCGTCGCGCTTGGGGGCCTCGAGGAGCGACAGGCGACGCTCATTTTGTTTTCCTTGGTTGGCAGGCGTGACGATGAGGGAGGTGATGTGGTCGCACATCGTCATCCAGACCGGCATGATGATCCTGCAGACCATCATCGTGCTCGTCGGCTTCCTGGAGATCCTGCAGGTCACCAACGACGGCCCCATCTTCTGGGTGGTGCTCCTGTGCATGCTGCAAGGTTTCTGCGGCATGTGTCTGGGTAAGCGAGGAGATTTCCTCTGCAATCGCCAACCCGCAGCTTCAGAAAAATGGTGCCTATGGCAAGCCTCCCCTTGTTTCCCTCGCAGGCATGCTGGTGTCCAGCCTGACCAACTCGGACCGGGACGCCACGTTCGTGGCGCTGGGCTCCTTCTTCCCCTTCATCGTGCTGAGCGGCATGATGTGGCCCATCGAGGGCATGCACCCCTGGCTGCGGCGCATGGGCTGGGCGCTGCCGCTCACGCTCGCCACCACCTCGCTGCGCTACATGATGGCGCGCGGATGGAGTCCCGGCCCCGCGCACCCCGACGTCGTCTACGGCTTCCTGTCCACCATCGCCTGGATCGCCATCTTCCTCACGGCCGTGCTGTTCGTCCTCAGGCCCACGCACTCGCGGTGAACGGCGACCGCGGCGAACCGCGGCCAACGCCAGGACGCCGCTCTGTCTCTCTCGCACCTGTACGGGCGAAGCCCCGAATGCGAGAGAGACAGAGCGACGAAAACGACTTTCGGAATCTGTCGGCAGGGTGGCTGAGTGTGCGCGCGCGTGTGTCTGTATGTATGTGCGTGTCAATTAATTGTGATGGTTACTCGAAAGGCTGTGTGAGCGAGAACGTGAAAGGGCCAGGCTCGCCGGGCCAGGCGGTCTACACACTGGTGCTTCACGGCAGGGCATTCCCCGCCATATTCTCATTGTGTGTGTCTGTTGTAAAGTTGATTTGGAAGCTGTGTCGAATCCTCCAAAATTTCAGTCCTAAAGACTCTAGAATAGTACTTGTGAAACAATGTGGGTTAAAATTAAATCAAAGGTTAGACGTGGACTGGGTGGTGTTTATAAGAGAAGAGTTGTACTTTTTGTGCAGAAATAAAAGTCTAAGTTGCTCCAAAATAATTTAAAAAAAAAAAAAGAAAACAGTGTTTGTTGCCCCGACCCCCTGCTCACACACTCCGTCATTTCCCACAAAACCTGTGTTCTGCCACATTTCCTTACCCTAACTTCGCCAAATTTGGCCTCGAGACAACTGCCCATTTTTTCGGTAACAACTGCCAAATTGAGATTAAGAACTGCCCAAACAAGCCACAACTGCCCGTTACATTATGCCCGACCGACCATGGTCGGGCGAGTGCACGTCGCGCTGACGAGCGCCCGGCGGGCCTCCGGGTAGGCAACCGGGCGACTGCGACGTCTGCCGGCACGGCCTACCCCGATTACCATTACGGGCTAGACCACACATGATCGTATGCCGTTTCGGGCCCGACACAAGCTCGCCTGCACTGCAAAACGAGACGTGGTCGTCCTTACTAGGGTGACACTTCATACCGGCGGAGACGAAACTCAAGCGGCTCGAAGCTCCCACTCGCAGTATGACCAGTCAGGGGGAGGTATACATCCCTCGGGAGGGATTGCAGACCTCCGCCCCAATACAGTCTCTTTGAGTACTAACGGGTCCGGTGCCCGCCTGCTTCGTCCCCTTGTCTTGGGCACAGCTGCGACTTCTTCGTTTTCTTCGTGATACGGTTGTAGCTCCGCGGGCGCTCCGCTGGACCGCAGGCAGAGTGATGCCGGGGGTAGTTTCCGTCGTTCTGCCTCTCTCGCACTCATGTCGGGCCTTGTTTATGGCCGCAGTCTGTGTAGGTGGAGCCCTAGGGCCCTAGAGAGGGGCAACCCTCTCCCCCTACCTCCGAGGCAAGGCCAGAGTCCGGGTCGCCAACCTCTGCCACCCCTCAATGGAACCCTAAATACGAGGTAACTAAGGCTCTACCCTCAACAGGCGACACGTTGTGTCTTACAGTCCACACAACAGGACTGCTACGCGCTGTCAGACCAAAAGCCACGTGGTTAATTCTCAGCTCGGCCATTTCATTCTAGACTTTTCATTACAAGTTCACTTGGAAAACAATAACAAAGGGACAGTAAAACATTTTTAACGTCCCAACGCACGCACGTGCTGACGATGTGTACATCTCGAAAACACTTCGGGCTCAGGCCGAGTGACGGGGAAACCACTGTCGCAATCTCCGTGCTTTTTGCAAGTTTTGGCAAGAACTGCATGATCATGAAAGGAGGTCTTACTTCACAATTCGATTGATTCACAAATTGTCCCAAGGAAATCATAAAGACCCCCTGAAGGGATCTACACGGCTCAAGCACAAAGCTGACAGGTGGGTGAAGGAACAATTGAGATATTGTGCAAACAAGAGACAAATAGTTTTCTTTACTGTAAACTTCATGCAGAACAAACAACGTTGTATTGGGTAAAAGAAGTTCAACCATGAAAAACAGCAGAATAATTTACATACCAGCATGTTCGCTTTAAAATAGGAAACAAAAGACAGAGTCATCAGATAAGCATTACATTTAGAATGAAAAAATGAGAAGGCAGTTAGCAGGGTTTAAAAAAAGGGAACCTTGACCTATTGTATCAATAATACACGAACTTAACGTTGCCTACCATCAGATTTACATACAAATCCTACCTTAGATATCACACAACTCAAACAACACAAGAACAAGACAAGCTGAACAAATTAACTATGAAAGGAATAAGCAAATGAAATGCTGCAAAGACAATAACAGCCTTCTAGTGACTGATGTATGTAACAGTACACAAAATACAAACAGGATCCAAAGTTTGACAATAATAAGGAAATGTGGACATTTAAAGGCAAAAGGTATACATAAGACAACACCTTCATTGTCACAAGCATCTTTCTCAATTGACAAAAAAAACATCAAGAAACTTCACGAATGAGGAATAATTTCACTAATTTCACACAGAGCAATATACACCATCGCAGTTAACAAACAGCTGACATTGTACGAGTGCAGGCTCATCATACACCAAAATCTATTCCTGTCCAAAATAAAACGGAACTTCCTAACAAGAACCATGAGGAGTTCACACTTGCATCTAAGAAGCGCTTCAACAGAGGCTTATATAATCGACTTATACAATATTGCTCACTTGCTGAATGCTGGCACATCAACATGCCGAGGATAGGAATTTGCAATCAAAATTCCGATACAAATCAAAGTTTCAGAAAACTGACGCAGCCAAGTTTTAACTTTTCCATTTCTCCATAAATGAGCCACTATTGCAATAGTGCCATCAACAGAACCGACAGAGTAATTAAAAAAAGTTCCAACATACCACTCAAAAATACAACACAGCATCACAAATAATTAAGAAGGAACTAACATTGTACAACTAGCATTGTACGAGTACAGGCTAAACATACACCAGAACGTTCCTGTCTGACTTGCACACATAAAATATAACTGCCTTTCAAGAAGCATGAGCAGTTGACAAACACTAGCATCAAAGTGAATGGAAGAGAAGCTTCAACAAAGGCTCATCTAACTGGCTTTTACAACATTATTGTATTGTACTGAATTCAATGCTTGCCCTTATCCTCCAGGTCAGAATTTACATTTAAAATCCAGAGGCACATAATATCCACAAAACTAAGCATATAAATAAGCACCAGCACATGATTTAACAAAGGGGAAAAGGAGAAAAAGAGAGAAAAGCATCATAAACAAACAGAGTCGAAATTCATAATTCATGGGGGGCTTGTTCCTAAAATTCCATTGGAAGGGCCAAATATTAAGAAAATGACACTGAATTACGCTTCCTAATCAAAAGGGATGCAGCCATCGGCAGAAGGGGGCGAATGTGAGTAAATCATGAGGTTCTGTGACGCAGTGACTTTTAGTGATGAGAAAGATGGCAAGACATTGGACAGGTAAAAAGTGACCAGAGCTAGAGAGAGGAAGAAGTGTTCAGCCCATAAAAATCATTAACTGGGTAATTAGAGGACAGCTTCACTAAACATAACAGCCTTCAGGAAGCATCGGCCTCAAAGGGTTTCTCTTAGTAACACAGGTTCAACGCACAAATGCAGTGAGAGTGCCACATTCATTTGCCACATCTTAAGAGATTCTATGGCGCTTGATCAATGCAGGCTTGAGAGGAAGCCACCAAGTCTGTGGGTTCACTCAAATACTCTGCTGCATTTTGCTACCAATCAACAGAGCAGGAGGGCTCAAATACCATCATTGCAAAATGGATAGCCCAAATTGGCAATAGTCTAATCTAGATAACCTCCTAACTGCAGGCGCGGATCCAGCATTTTCCTAAGGCGGTCAAGGGGGTGAACCGGTGCTTGTTACCTGCGAACAGGAGCTACTTAGTGCTCGTTGCCTATCTTCCAGGCGATTGCTATTGCTAATATTGGTTGGACCACAAATCATCGGCCTTTCTAGTACCTAAGGGAGGGGGTAATTAATCCTATTCCCTTCCTCTCAATCCGCGCCTGCCTAACTCCTACTTCAACTCGCAGTTTTCAAACAAATTTTTGGAAGAACATTGAAGCACACAAATTACTACTAAACCCCACCATCTAAACACAGGGGGCCCCATGCTGTGTGACTAATACCACCACCACCTCTCTCACACATGTTATCATACATACATCATACATTCATACATCCAACACAGCTTCATGTTCTTCCAAAAAATTTGTCAAGAGTATCCATGAGAAATGGCGCCCTTTCACACGGATACTATCATTAAGTTTAAGACAAGCGCGTCAACTAAACTCCATCTATCCTAAAATTAAAGGTCTGTAACAACTAAGGTGCTTCTCTTTCAAAGAGCGAAATTAAGAAAGGCTTGAACACTGTCGGAATGGGCACTAAGAAACAAGACATGAATAAAAGGGTTTTGAATGATGAAAAGGAAAATGGACTGATGTGAATTCTCCCTACTATAATGCTCACGTTGGGTGGAAAAGTGTCACAAAATGAACCTGCCGTTCTGCTAAACATCAGCAGAACAAGGGGACAACCGGACAAACCGTCAATTTAAACTATAAATTTGAGACTCTGTTTGAATATGGTTCACTATACACAACAAATAAACAAAATTGGAGTTGGGGTTTTCGAGTAAAGACTGATCCGGAGGAAATTTTGGGCAAGTTACCTTTGAGAATTAGAAGATCTATTTGTTAGCAACTGCTCTAGAAATTAGAAACCTAGTCAAAAAGCCATTGTCAATCATAGACAAGAGCCAGTTTTGAAGGCAGCTCTTGCCAAACACAATAACTGAGAGCAAGCTCATAATGAAATTCGTTCAAAAGATTAACATAATATTGAACATCCTCATCCAGTGCACAAAAGTGCAATTATGGCATGGACACTTAACTCTTGTCCGCCACTCTCAGAATATACAGTACTAGGATATATCCTAACTCACAATAGAACAAAAGCAGGTGACTTGACAAGCTGCTCAACGTGATGCTCTTCTCAGATTGGTTCGAAGCAGCCAGGACTCCACTCTTGAATGACTGGCATAGTGAAGCAGTGAGATTCAGACTCCCAAGCACGGCATTCACCGAAGTGTGTGCACGCTCTCTTGACCAGCATGGCACCTGATATGGTGAATACATGCACCTGGGGATGTAATGAACAATAAGAAACAAAGCATGGGGCAAAAAACTGGCAAACGTACATAGAGCACATCATACTTACATATTTACTCATCACAATCTGAGTGTGCCATTTGGTTCAAATGATGAAGCCTCCTGCCCTAATTTATCAGTTATTGAAACTTCTTGGAGCATTTAGGCTGTCTATAGGCTGGTGCTAGCTGAAGAAAACTTTCTGTTTGCCAACTGGAAGAGAAAAACACGAATGCAAGTTGCTTAGACTTCCAGGGTCTTGACGGATAGGCTTTGGCATCTGCAAAAAGAAGAGAAATTTGTGAAGATCTAGTTTCAAGGAGTTTTGTCAACATACCAGAAACTACACTAGAAAACAAGACAAGTAGATTACTTACAATATCAGAATTGGAAGGAGACTTGAACAAAGACAGATTGTACAAACAAGCGAAGATATTGCATCATCATTAAATAGAGTTGATGGAATCCCTCTATTACTTATAGACTTGGTTATGAATGAAACCAAAATGAAACTAAATACGAGATACTCGTCTGTAATAAAAAGAGTACGATTAAAGAAACTATTCATGAAAGCATTATCACAACCAGAAAATACACTAGAAAACAAAACAAAAAGTTTACTTACAGTATCAGAATGGGAACGAGACTTGAGACACTGTCACATTCTGTCCTCCAGGTTTAAGCTTTCTTTTCATCACCTGTCGGAAAATCTCCTCATCACAGCAAATGTGAGGTCCAAAACCTCAGAAGAAATTTCATTTTATTTCATCCACAGTAAGCTTTGATGGAATCGTTATCAGTGACTCGAATTTAGTTGAATTCAAGAACCAAAACCAGCCCTACAACACAGCCACTAAACCGCATCCTATAACAAAACGAGGCAAATTATTAAGAAAAGAAAGACCACAAATAAAGTTAATACGTGGAAAAAATAACATGGCTTCATGTTTCAGTTCAAAACAGTTGGCAGGTGGCTTACCATTCAGGATGGTTGTCAAAAGACGCAGTCATTGCCGAACACCAGAACTGTGTACGTGTCATTGGCAGAATAACCAAAGAGACCATAGTACGAATTGAAGAGGTCCCTTGATAGCAAGAAAAACAATTCTACAAACTACAGCTGCCTTGACACACAGAGCCAGGCACTTATGATCTCCACGCACAAAACATTGCCAGAGAGCCAGGAAGACATCCTGAAAATAAAAAAGACAACCTGTGGAAACTGGTCGGACACTGAGAATTTGAATGGAACTTTAAGACAAGTAAGTTAAGGACAACCTTACCTTTGAACAGGCAATCGCGAGAGTGTCGGCTCAGTGGCGCGATGGATGCCCATATTTGGAGTTGCTGATTTTTCTCATCAAGCAATTCACTTATTTCAAGTTCCAAATCACGGTCACATGTTGGTATATCAACATGATCGACCCCACTTCTGTCATCGGCACGAAACAAAAATTACAAAAGTTGATATATTACACACAAGTACGATATAAACGGGTAAAGAAACAACAGAACTGCTTACTTACATTATGAGAAGGCTCAATGCCTTCAAGTATTGTCAGTCGAAAACAATCATAACGTCTTGCAAGTTGTCCATTAAACAGGCAAATAAGATTGTCTACTGCAAGGCAATAAAACTTAAATTGTTTCAGCCTGAAAAAATTCATGAAGGTCTAAAGCAGGGTCAGATCTCGTCTAATCAACAAGAGGGAAACAAACAAAATAGAAGTCAGTCCTTGGCACACAGGAAAAAGAATTCAATGAGGCTATTGGGATACAAAATTACTGCTTACCTTAACTGATGTGCCGTGTTCAACTGCCTTATAAGTCTCAAAAACAAAAACAGAAATGAACACTATGCTTTTTTTTCATTCTTTTTAAACAATTTTTTTATTTGGCCTGTTTCTTTTTTTTAAGGCTCTTTTCACTTTTTTTTCACATTTTTTTTGTTACTGTAACATTAATTCCTAAACAATATTTCTTTGTGTCCTTTATTGATCAGTGATACACCATTTGATCTTCATAAAAATGCTTTTGCATTGTAACAGTACACGTACTTTACGTTGCCTACCATCATATTTACATACAAATCCTACCTTAGAGATCACACAACTCAAACAACACAAGAACAAGACAAGCTGCACAAATTAACTATGAAAGGAATAAGCAAATGAAATGCTGCAAAGACAATAACAGCCTTCTAGTGACTGATGTAACAGTACACAAAATACAAACAGGATCCAAAGTTTGACAATATTAAGGACACATGGACATTTAAAGGCAAAAGGTATACATAAGACAACACCTTCATTGTCGCAAACATCTTTCTCAATTGACAAAAAAATCATCAAGAAACTTCGAGAATGAGGAATAATTTCACTCAAAGAGCAATATACACCATCGCAGTTAACAAACAGCTGACATTGTACGAGTGCAGGCTCATCATACTCCAAAATCTATTCCTGTCCAAAATAAAACGGAACTTCCTTACAAGAACCATGAGGAGTTCACACTTGCATTTAAGAGGCACTTCAACAGAGGCTTATATAATTGGCATATACAATATTGCTCACTTGCTGAATGCTGGCACATCAACATGCCTAGGATAGGAATTTGCAATCAAAATTCCGATACAAATTATAGTTTCAGAAAACTGACCATCTGTGCTGCCTGCAACGCAGCCAAGTTTTAACTTTTCCATTTCTCCATAAAGGAGACACTATTGCAATAGTGCCATGAACAGAACCGACAGAGTAATAAAAAAAGTTCCAACATACCACTCAAAAATACAACACAGCATCACAAATAATTAAGAAGGAACTAACATTGTACAACTAGCATTGTACGAGTACAGGCTAAACATACACCAGAACGTTCCTGTCTGACTTGCACACATAAAATATAACTGCCTTTCAAGAAGCATGAGCAGTTGGCAAACACTAGCATCAAAGTGAATGGAAGAGAAGCTTCAACAAAGGCTCATCTAACTGGCTTTTACAACAATATTGTATTGTACTGAATTCAATGCTTGCCCTTATCCTCCAGGTCAGAATTTACATTTAAAATCCAGAGGCACATAATGTCCACGAAACTAAGCATATAAATAAGCACCAGCACATAATTTAACAGCAAAGTGAAAAAGGAGAAAAAGAGAGATAGCAAGAAAAACAATTCTACACAGTACAGGTGCCTTGACATGGGCCTAAGGCCAGCATCTTTCCATGTACTACAGCTGCCTTGACAAATAAATGATCACTATGAAGTAAGCTCGCAACCTCAAAAAATAGTGAGGTGTTAATACCACCACAAACGAGAAAATTTGTTGTCGCAGTATCAAAAATCTTCACCACTTCATTGATCTAGCTTCTATGGACATCATATCCGAATACCAGTTTTCCTCAGCAGTTAAGTTGGATATTTAGATTCCCCTGGAAAAAGAAGAAAACCACGGTTAAAATTTTAGTACAAGACAAAAATTATTGTTTTATAAAATGTATACCCTAGAAAAACAATCAAAAAAAAAAAAGGAAAAATGATTACCTGGCACCCCATTAGCAGCAACATCTCGAAGTTAGAGGGTCTTCTATGTCATAATCAGACCTTCCACAGACTTCCAATAATAAATATGGCTGGCATTTCAATGCAATTTGAATTGAAAGTTACCCCAACCAGGAATGTGAAATAACTCATTGGCAAACAGAGCGGCCCCTCAAATGGTTAATCACAAAACGCAAAGTGACTCCATATCGTCTCTCTGAAAAGCACAAGAAATACCTATGAAATGAACAGTATTTATGATTAATTGTGAGCCTTATACATTAAAGGATTTGAAGTGCTTACCCACAGCGTATTACAGGTATGATTCCTTCAGACATACGTGGTTTAGCACCACAAGCAGTTAGTCTTCAATACTCCTCACCACCTTCATCATCATCATCAACTCTGTTGATGCTGACCCTCCATATTCCTTCCGTAAAGCAGCCCGGTCACCTCCTCCCACACGTCTCCAACATACCAGTGCACTAATACCGTAGTGACCTGGCCAGGTTGTCGTGACCAGGGACTAATGAGTTTTGGCATCTGTAACAAGTACACGTGATAAACAGAAAAGTTATCAATGGAAAAATGGGCCAAAGAAAGTCAGGAAGAATAAAACCACTTACCTAGGTACTAGCTAGTAGAGGATCAACAGCAGCTGAAGCTTCAGCTTCTTTCCATTTGAGTTTCATACCACCATAGACACAAATGTACTAGAGCTACCAAGTGATATTTGAGTTTTGACCACCACAGCAAAAACAAATAAATTATCACTCCGAAGTCAGAGGCCATTCAAGTCCAATTGTCAATGGTACTGCACATTTCAGGAACAGACACTTTTCCATTCATGAACAGGCAAGCCATGCAAAACAATGGCCTAGCGGCTTGTGAGCTGCCACTTCATCACTGCAGTGACGAACCATAAAGGCTGCAAGACAAACAGGAGAGCGTAAGAACCACACAAAGCATTAACGGAAACTCAACTTTAGTAAAAAGAAACTCACCATAGTCTTGGCGCTGAAGTGTCAGAGCAAATCATTTTCAAGGCATGTCCGTCCAAGATAAAGGTTCAAGGATGGATGTTCAGCAAACGGTTTCATCAAGCATGAGCCTTTCACTGTTACTTAGTGAGGTTGCTCAACATTTTTCTACTAGAGGACGCTCCGCTCACCAGGCGTATGTTCGCCGCCAGCAGATGGCGTTTAACAACTTTCCGAGGATCCAGGTGGTGGAGCTGGGAGCGTCTCACCGTGCTATGTATGAGCTAATTGCAACTTGTGAAGTGGACGTCACCGGCACGGAGGGCGAATGGAATGCCCACGGCCAACCTGCCCGGATGTGCCCCTACACCAGGCAAAATGAAGTGCGAGTTCTGTGCCACCCCTCTCAATGACTTCAGGCACAAGGCGATCCACATCAGACGAGCGTGCCGCCAGTTTAACCACAATGTCTTCTGTTTCAGTCCCTTGCAAGTGGCCATCTACAACAACTTCGCCAGGTACTTGCGGGCCTACTGCGGGACTAATCTCAGTGAGCTGCCGGTTCCAGGCGAGGCGCCCCATGACCTCGAGGAAACCCTGCAGACTACGCTGGACAACCAGGTCAAGCAGGGTCAGCTGGCCACGGCGGCGGCTGCTGCCCATTCTGCTTGCATGGCTGAATTGGAGGCCGACGTGGAGGAGAGCAGCCGAGCACTAATTCAAGCCATGAGAAACTCTGTTATAGCTGCGCGGGATGTCAACGAGGACCTCCTTCCAGTGGGATGTACAGGGAGATGCGCGACGTGAAGGCCCTCACCAGGGAGTTTGGACAAGCAGTCCTGGACCTCTTCAACGTTCTTCAATTGACATTTAGAATTAAACAGTGACTTGGACATTGGTTAGCGACATTAACCAAATAAACGAACTACCAGATAATGGTCTGAAATAAAAATGATAAAATTGAAGAAACGATTCTGAGACAACCACCAGAAAATACTTCAGAAAACAGAAGAAGTGTTACTTACAGAATTCGCACCATTCTCAAACCAGAGAGGAAAAGCTCAGAAGAAATTCAACCTTCTTCAATTGACATTAAGAATTTTTGAACAGTGACTTGGACATTGGTTAGCGACATTAACCAAATAAACGAACTACCAGATAATGGTCTGAAATAAAAATGATAAAATTGAAGAAACGATTCTGAGACAACCACCAGAAAATGCTTCAGAAACCAGAAGAAGTGTTACTTACAGAATTGGCACCATTCTCAAACCAGAGAGGAAAAGCTCAGAAGAAATTCAACCTTCTTCAATTCACCAGCCACCCCTCCACCAGCTCCAATATGACCAATTACTCGCTCAAGAGTCTGGAGTACACGTGCATGGAGTAAGCTAGTCGTTTCAGTTGTCACTGGGTGATCTAATGGGGTTGCCGCCAACTAAATTCGACTGACATCGACAAGATGGCTGCGCGGGACGCCACCGAGGCCGAAGTATCCAGTGAATCAGTCCTGGCCCTCTAACGAGGCCAAAGGGTAAGCTGGATAGTGATCAAGTGCTAGCCAAGTCTTCTTCAGCTAGATGAGCTTAATTGCGTTTCTTCCACAGCGTTTGGCCATTGACTTGAGTTAGGATGACAATGGACTCTGTGTGGTTTGAAGAAATGGCGTTTCAAACAGCCATCCAGAAGGTATTGGTAAACCAAACCCAGCCCTTCAACACGGCCCACTAACTGTAATAAAATAAGATAAAATTAAAGAAATTATTCATGAAAGGATTATGACAACCAGAAAAAACATTAAAATCAAAAGATTTTACTTACAATCTCAAAAGTGCTTTGCAGAAAGGGCGTTTGAAAGAGACATGCAGAAGATATTGGTGAACCAAACCCAGCCCTTCAACATGGCCACTAAACCTGAACCTAGGACAAAAAGAGACAAACGTTAAGCAAAGCCATAAATAAAGTAAATACATCCAGGAAAAAATTAGAGGGCTCCTTGTTTCTGATCAAAGCAGGCGGCAGGTGACACTCACCATTTTTTATGGTTGTCAACAAATGCAGCCATTACCAAACACCAGAACAGTGTGCCATTGGCACAATACTCAAAAGACACCATACGATGGATTAAAGAGGTCCCTTGATAGCAAGAAAGAGAATTCCCTCAATAGACCTCTGTAATCAAGATGGTCCAAAACATCAGAAGAAATTTTATTTTCTTTAATCGACTTTGATCGAATTCTCCATTAGTGACTCCAAGTCACTACAAACTGCTGGTCTGTAATAAAACAGATAAAATTGAAGAAACTATTCATGAAAGGATTAAGAGAACCAGAAAACACATAATTTAAGGGAGTATTTTACTTACAATTTCAGAAGAGCAGAAAGGGGTGTGTGAAAAAGGCACCCAGCAGGTATTGATGAACCAAAGCCTTTCCTTCTTCCAGCATGACGCAGCAAATAAGTGCATTTCTGGCCAACACCACACACGACGGTAGAGGCCTTCTAGTTAATGCCCACCTTCAACATAATAGGTCAACCAATCGACGAACATGATGCTGTTCTTAGTCTGGATGATGGCAATGGCAGCAGTCACATCCATAGGCAGAACACCACCACAGCAAAGGACAGCAGGCCATGTAGTTGCTATTGCCAGGCTAACAACACTCCATGTGGTTTGAAGATTCAAAGCAATTATTGGCTATCTCCGCTACAGATGTTGTTCCTGGTATGGGATGCCTGCCACACACTACCAGGCACGTTCATGGCCTCCACACAAATTCAATGGCAGAGAGGCAGGAAGACAACCTGAAAATAAAGAAGGCAACCTGTAGACACTGGTCGGACACTAAGATTTCAAATGGAACCTGAAGACTAGTCATGAGTAATGCTTAAAAACTGGACTGCTACAAAGCTTAAGGGAGGACAACCTTACCTTTGAACAGACAACTTTGGGCGTGTAAGCTCAGTGGCTTGTTGGATGCGTAGATTTTTAGTTGCTCTCATTTTTCCCATCAATCAATTCATTTCTTTTATGTTCCAAAACACGGTCACATGTTGTGATCAACCCGACTTCTGTCATCGGCAAGAAACAAAAAATACAAAAGTTAGTATAAAACACACAAGTACAGTATAAACGGATAAAGAAACAAGAAAAGAACTTCTTACTTACATTATGAAAAGTCTCAATGAATTCACATATCGGAAGTCAAAAACAAATTTAACGTATTGAAAGTCGTTCATTACGTAGGCATATAGGCTTATCAACTGAAGACAATAGAACTTGAATTGTTTCAATGTGATAAAATTCATGAAGGTCTAAATCAGGGTCAGAGACGGTCCTATCAACTAGGGGAAAAAAAAACAAAATAGAAGTCAGTTCTTGCCACACAGGAAAACAAGAAATCAAAGAAGGTGAAAGCATACAAAATGGCTGCTTACCTTTTTAACTGATGTGCTGGAGTCTTGCAGTCTGAGTCCTGAGTCTGTTGTAGTTGCTTACAGGTCTGCTCAGGCCTAGTAGCGCTGATGAAGTGTTGAACTACCTCGAAGACGAAATGCAAACCACTACACTTTCTTTTTTTATAATTATTTTCCTTTGTAATTTTTTCAAAACTCTTATTTTTTTGTACAGTTTCTTTATTCTCTTTTAGGTTTTACTTTTCAACAATTTTTTTTTCTGACTTTTCTTTTTTTCAAGGGCTCTTTTTACTTTTTTTTTTTTGACAATTTTTTCCCATCACTAATATTTTTTGTGAAACAATACGCCTCTTTGATTTTTTTTAAAAATCAGTTTTACACCATTTGATCTTAATAAAAACTGCTACAGCATTGCAACAGTAATACACATACATATAGTTGCCTACCATCAAATTTACAGACAAATCCTAACTTAAATAGTACAGAACTCAACCAACACAAAAACAAGAAAAGCAAAAAAGATAAACTATGACAGGAATAAGCAAATGCAATATTGTACAGACAATATTGGCGTTCTAGTAACTTATGTAACAATACACAAAATACAAACAGGACCCAAAGTTTGAAATGAAGATATTAAGAATACATCGACATTAAAAGGTAAAAGGAATAAAAGCAGCGACATACATGAGGAACACCCTTCTTTGTCACAAACATTAATTCTCAATTGAATTAAACTAATCAAGAAACTTAAGGAATATAAGTAAACATTTCACTCAAAGAGCAATACACCATTGCAATTAACAAAGAACTGATATTGTATGAGTGCAAGCTCATCATACACCAAAATCTATTCCTGCCCAACTCGAGCATGATACATTCCTAGATAAAACGAAACTTCCTTACAAGAACCATGGAGAGTTCACACTTACACCTGAGAGAGGCATCAACAGAGGTTTTTATGAATGGCTTCTACAATGTTACTCGCTTGCTGAATGCCTGCACATCAACATGCCTAGAATGGGAATTAACAATCAAAATTCCGATACAAATTGAAGTTTCAGGAAGCTATGCATCTGCACCGCCTGTGACGCAGGCCAAGTTCAGCTCTATGGACGTAAAAAAATAATAATAAAATAACCTTAGCTATAACATTTTCATTTCTCCTCAACAAAGCTATTATTGAACAAGTTTGGTTGCTACAAACTAACATTGTAAGAGTACAGGCTAAACATACACAAAAACATTCCTGTCTGACTTGCGCACATAACATTTCAAAATAAAATGAAACTGAAGAAGCATAAGGAGTTGACTAACACTAGCATCAGAGTGAATGGAAGAGAGGATCCAACAAAGGCTCATCTAACTGGCTTTTACAACAATATTGTATTGTACTGAATTCAATGCTTGCCCTTATCCTCCAGGTCAGAATTTACATTTAAAATCCAGAGGCACATAATATCCACAAAACTAAGCATATAAATAAGCACCAGCACATGATTTAACAAAGGGGAAAAGGAGAAAAAGAGAGAAATGCATCATAAACAAACAGAGTCGAAATTCATAATTCGGGGCGGGGGGGGCCTGGATCCTAAAATTCCATTGGAAGGGCCAAATATTAAGAAAATGACAATGAATTACACTTCTTAATCAAAAGGGATGCAGCCATCGGCAGAAGGGGGCGAATGTGAGTAAATCATGAGGTTCTGTGACGCAGTGACTTTCAGTGACATGAAAGTGAGCATGACATTGGACAGGTAGAAAGTGATCAACAGACTTAAAAAGAGGAAGAAGTGTTCAGCCCATGAACAATTGTCAAAACGCATATCATGGAAACGGTAGAATCATAAGCTGGGTAATTAAGGGACAGCTATACTAAAAAGATAGGGGCCTTCAGGAAGGACCAGCTTCAAAATGTTACTCTCAGTAACACAGGTTCTAACGCACAAATGCAGTGAGGGTGCCACATTCATTTGCCACATGTTCAGAGATTCTATGGCGCTTGATCAATGCAGGCTTGAGAGGACGCCACCAAGTCTGTGCGTTCACTCAAATACTCGGCTGCATTTTCCATCCAATCAACAGAGCAGGGGGGCTCAAATACGATCATTGCAAACTGGATAGCCCGAATAGGCAATTGCATAATCTGGATAATCTCCGAACTCCAGGCGCGGATCCAGAATTTTCCTATGGAGGGGGTGAAGAAGCAATACTTGTTGCCTGCTTACAGGAGCTAAATAGTGCTTGTTGCCTATCTTCCAGGCGGCCTTCCTAGTACCTAAGCTACCTTTGAGTCCGAAGCTACCTAAGCTACCTCAGGGTAATTAGTCCTATCCCCCTCCTCTGAATCCGCGCCTGTCTAACTCCTACTTCAACTCGCAGTTTTCAAACAAATTTTTAGAAGAACATTGAAGCACACAAAATACAAAACACATAAAATGCCACCATCTAAACACACGGGGCCCCAAGCTGTGTGACTATAATACCACCACCATCTCTCTCACACATGTTATCAGACATACTTGAAATCAGACTAGCTCATACATTCATTCATACATCCCCAACACAGCTTCATGTTCTTCCAAAAAATTTGTCAAGAGTATCCATGAGAAATGGCGCCCTTTCACACGGATACTATCATTAAGTTTAAGACAAGCGAGTCAACCAAACTCTATGTATCCTAAAATTAAAGCGCTGTAACAACCAACGTGCTTCTCTTTGAAGGCGAGAAATTGAGAAAGGCTTGAACACTCTTAGAATGGGCACGAAGAAACAAGACATGAATACTAGACTGTTCTTAAGGGTTTCGAATGATGGAAAGGAAAATGGACTGATGTGAATATTCCGTACTATAATGCTCACGTTGGGTGGAAAAGTGTCGCAAAATGAACCTGCTGTTCTGCTAAACATCAGCAGATCAAGGACATCGGGACGAACTGTCAATATTTGTAAATTTGACTCTGTTTGAATATGGTTAACTACAACAAACACAACAAAATTTGAGTTGGAGTTTCCGAGTAAAGACTGATCCGGAGGTAATTTTGGGCAAGATACCATCGAGAATTAGAAGATCAAATCTAAGAGCAACAGCTCTAGAATTTAGGAACCTAGTCAAATGCCATTCTCAATCATTAACAAGAGCCAGTATTGAATGCACCTCTTACCAAACACAATAATAACTAAGTGCAAGCTCTTAATGCAATTGCTTCAGAAGATTAACATAATATTGAACATCCTCATCCAGAGCACAATAGAGCAGTTTGGGCAAGGACACTTTTCACTCAACAACTGCAGGCTTTCTTAACTTGATCAGCTGAATTGCGTTTCTTCCACACAGTCTTGACCATTGACTTGAGTTAGGACAAGAATGAGGACTCCGTGTGGTTTAAAGAAAGGGCGTGTGAAATAGGCATCCATCATTGGTCAACCAAATCCAGCCTAAAACACTACCACTAAATCTGAACCAACAAAAGGGGACAAATATTAAAGAAAGAAAGACCACAAGTAGAGTTAGTACATGGACAAAATTAGATGGCTTCATGTTTCTGATCGAAACAGTTGGCAGGCGACACTTACCATTCATTACCTTGGTCAACAATTACAGCCATTCCCGAACATCAGAACGGTGTATGTGTCATTGGCAGAATACTCAAGAGAGACCATATTATGGATTAAAGCAGTTCCCTCAATTGACCTCTGAAGATGGTCCAATATACTGCTCTGTAACAAAAAAAAAAGTAAAATTGAAGTAACTTTGCATGAAAAAGCCATAAGAACCAGATAATATATTAGAAAACAAATGAAGTATGTTACTTACAGAATTGGCACCATTCTCAAACCAGAGAGGAAAAGCTCAGAAGAAATTTAACCTTCCTTCAATTGACATTAAGAATTTTTGAACAGTGACTTGGACATTGGTTAGCAACATTAACCAAATAAACGAACTACCAGATAATGGTCTGAAATAAAAATGATAAAATTGAAGAAACGATTCTGAGACAACAACCAGAATATACGTCAGAAAAAAAAAAGTGTTACTCACAGAATTGGCACCATTCTCAAACCAGAGAGGAAAAGCTCAGAAGAAATTTAACCTTCCTTCAATTGACATTAAGAATTTCTTAACAGTGACTTGGACATTGGTTAGCGACATTAACCAAATAAACGAACTACCAGATAATGGTCTGAAATAAAAATGATAAAATTGAAGAAACGATTCTGAGACAACCACCAGAAAATACGTCAGAAAACAGAAGAAGTGTTACTTACAGAATTCGCACCATTCTCAAACCAGACAGGAAAAGCTCAGAAGAAATTCAACCTTCTTCAATTGACATCAAGAATTTTTGAACAGTGACTTGGACATTGGTTAGCAACATTAACCAAATAAACGAACTACCAGATAATGGTCTGAAATAAAAATGATAAAATTGAAGAAACGATTCTGAGACAACAACCAGAATATACGTCAGAAAAAAAAAAGTGTTACTCACAGAATTGGCACCATTCTCAAACCAGAGAGGAAAAGCTCAGAAGAAATTTAACCTTCCTTCAATTGACATAAAGAATTTCTGAACAGTGACTTGGACATTGGTTAGCGACATTAACCAAATAAACGAACTACCAGAATGGTCTGAAATAAAAATGATAAAATTGAAGAAACGATTCTGAGACAACAACCAGAAAATGCTTCAGAAAACAGAAGAAGTGTTACTTACAGAATTGGCACCATTCTCAAACCAGCGAGGAAAAGCTCAGAAGAAATTTAACCTTCTTCAATTGACATTAAGAATTTCTTAACAGTGACGGACATTGGTTAGCGTGGATAGAATTTATCAGTGGAGCTTTGTTGTAGCATCTTATATATTACCTGCAAAACAAGAAAAGCAAATCAATAATTAAAAAAGGCCTCTTTTAAAAAAAATAGACCTTTGGTGGAAGCTACGCTACAGCTGTGCAAGGTCACGCTTGTTGATTGAGAAAGGAAATCGTGGATCAGGCTGGAACTCAGATTAAAGGCTTGGCTTAGGCAAAGAAGCGGGCGCACCCTACCATCGTGTCACTTGATACTTGATATCACTGTGACACTGTATACAGTTAGTATACCGTTTGCAATATGTATTGCATTCACTTACGACTCCGATGGAGAGGGGGTGGGGGTGTGGGAGGGGGAGGTGTTGCGGTCACCGCACCGCGCTGAGGGACAGCGAGGGGCCCCGGGGCTGCGGCCCGGTCCACAAAGGTTCTGAGAGCCCTAGAGCGAAACCAGCGAAAGGAACGGTCGGGCACGGCCACACTGACCGAGCCTTTACAGCTCCCTAACCTAGGCCCCCGACTCATTGCGAGTAATGGCTCATAGCTAATAAATGTGATACAGACGGAATCCCTTTTTAAAGAAGAAGCAGTTGTGAGTGCGACACAGGAAGCAATGTACATACCTTTAAATTTCATGTTCCTCGCTTGGTAGATGATGTCCATGTCAGTCAAAATTAGTTGGGAGCAACCCCGTAAAAGTTGGGGCGTCTTGACACCCTCTTCGGAAGCGCGGGAGCGGGCGGGTCGTCGTCATCACGCCTCGGACGCCGCCGCTTGCGTGGGGGAGGGGTCGGAGTGCGCGGGCCTGGCTGCTGCTCCTCCTCCTCCTCCTCGTCGTCGTCCTTCTCCTCACGCCGCCTTTTCTCTCTCTTTGCGGAAGATGGTAAACTGAAACTAAAACAAGAAAAATAGATAAATACCACCGAGTATTTCGAATAGTTCACCTAGTGACAACTGAAACGAATAACTTACTCCATGCACGTGTAGTCCAAGCTCTTTAGTGAGTAACTTGTTACATTCAGGCTACGACGCGTTGACGTTGGCGTGCTTGAGCCCGAAGGGTGGAATGACGACGGGCCTGAGGTGCAGGACTTCGACGACGACGGGCCTGAGGTGCAGGACTTCGACGACGACGGGCCTGAGGTGCAGGACTTCGACGACGACGGGCCTGAGGTGCAGGACTTCGACGACGAAGGGCGTTGAGTAGTGGTGGTGGTGGTGGTGGTGGTGGTGGTGGTGGTTGTTGTTGTTGGTGTTGGAGGAGGAGGAGGTGGTGGTGGTGGTGTTGTTGTTGTTGTTGCCACCGTTGTTGTTGTTGCCGCCACCGTTGCCACCGTTGTTGTTGTTGCCGCCACCGTTGTTGTTGTTGCCGCCACCGTTGCCACCGTTGTTGTTGTTGCCACCGTTGTTGTTGTTGTTGCCACCGTTGTCGTCGTCGTCGTCGTCATCGTCGTCATCGTCGTCTTCCTCCTCCATGTCCCTGACCCTGTGAAAGAAACACAATTAAGCTCACCAAGTTCAGAAGACTTGAGCTAGCACGATGACTATCCAGCTTACCTTCTAGCCTCGTGGAAGAGGGCCAAGACTGCTTGTCCGAAGTCCCTGGTGAGTGCCTTCACATCGCGCATCTCCCCGTACATATCACTGGAAGGAGGAAAGGCAAGTTAAAATTCACTTTCTTGGGGCGCCGACCGGCCAACCACGTCTTTCATACTTCACCGGATACTCACTCCTCGTTAACATCCCGCGCAGCTATGACTGAATTCCTCACGGCTTGAAACAGTGCCCGGCTGCTCTCCTCCACGTCAGCCTCCAATTCAGCCCTGCAAGCAGAACGGACGGTTGAGATGTGTCACTTGGAAACATGGGGCACGCCGGGCAAGCCCGGGGCTAAGCTCACTCTGACTTACAGATGCTCATTCGGGTGGCCGAGCGGGGCAGCCGCCGCCGTGGCCAACTGACCCCGCTTGACCTGGTTGTCCAGCGTAGTCTGCAGGGCTTCCTCGAGGTCAGGGGGCGCCTCGCCCGGAACCGGCAGCTCGCTGAGATTAGTCCCGCAGTATGCCCGCAAGTACCTGGCGAAGTTGTTGTAAATGGCCACTTGCAAGGGACTGAAACAGAAGACATTGTTAGTGCAAGGCAAACCGAATTTAAAAGGGGAGGCGACGGGCGACTTACTCATTGTGGTTAAACTGGCGGCACGATCGTCTGATGTGGATCGCCTTGTGCCTGAAGTCATTGAGAGGGGCGGCACAGAACTCGCACTTCATTTTGCGGGGCGTAGGGGCGTATCCGGGAAGGTTGGCCGTAGGCATCCACTCGCCCTCCGTGCCGGTGGCGTCCACTTCACAAGTAGCAATTAGCTCATACATAGCTGCAACAAAAAGTTCGGCATAAGCAAGGAACAGTCACCCGACTGGGACGAAGAATCAAGACAAGACTGCATACCTCGATGCGACGCTCCCAGCTCCACCACCTGGATCCCCGGAAAACCGTTAAATGCCATCTGTTGGCGGCGAACATATGCCTGGTGAGCGGAGCGTCCTGCAAGAAGAAAGAATAACGTTAGCACAGTGGCGAAGTCCAGGCATCCAAGAAGTTCTCGCAGTCTAACGACTGGCCCAAGCAACACAAGCAAGAAGGCACGGAAGCCACGCCGCGCGACGAGACAGCGAACGCAGTCGTACGCAATGAGCTTGTTGAGCTGAGCGCGGCAGCCTGCGCAGGCTACGACGACGCAAGGCTACGACGCAAAGCCTACGCAATGGAAGTAAGAAGGCACAAAGCTTGCAGCCAAAGCGAAGAGACAAAGGGCAAAGCTTGGGAGGGAGGCGAGGGCGAAGCTTGGGAGGCGAGAGCGCGTCCGCACGGAAGGGGTGCGAGGTTTCCGTCCGGCAGCAAGCCGAGCGCCAGCCGGTGGCTGTGCGTGCGTTCGTCTCTGACGACGGGGCTGGCGGGCCTGGCCGAGGCAGTGACACTCGTCTGAAGAGGGCCTCTTTGGACAGATGCCTTCGCCCACATTCCACACATCGGTTTTGGGCCTCTCGTTCACACAACGGCGAGAGAAACGAGATGGGAGATCGAGAGGGGGGGGGGCTCATATCGGGGCGCTGGCTTCGTTCTGCTCCGTCGAAACTGAGCGACCACAAATCAGGGGTCTAAGACTGGTAGCAAACCCGGGGCGGACAACGATAGAGAGAGATAGAAGATCGGGGCGCGTCGCAGTCGAGGGACGTGTGAAGTTTGAGCCGGCCGCCCAGCGGCGCGGTGGCAATCTGCAGCCGGCTGAGCGGACTCGCCCATATGAATGAGTGCGAGAGAGATGGACGGACCGTCGGGCCGCGGCCAGCATGCGGGGCTTGCGGGGCGGGCAGCGAGGGCCTTCCCGAACCTCCGCGAGTGCCGGATCAGCCGTGTCCAGCTCCCAGCTGCGCGAAGCGCCTAGGCAACAATCGGCGGCGAAGTGGGGTGGGGTTGTGCGGCGCGGGGAACGCGTGGACTCGGAAGCCAAGCCCGGCGGCAGCCCGGCAGGACATGCAAACACAGCAAGGCACATTGGCCAAACGGCAGGGGCAGACGGCGCGGGTTCGTTGGGCCTTATTTGCCACGCCACGCCGTGCCACGCCACGCCACGCCGTGCCACGCCACGCCGTGCCACGCCACGCCGTGCCACGCCGTGCCACGCCGTGCCACGCCACGCCGTGCGGCACGGCGAGTCAAGTTGTCCGAACAGCCACAGCAGAGCCGAGTGCCAAATTGCAAGCCAAAACATAATAACCTGCCGGCCGGGGCGGCCCGCAGCCAGGGCCTGTGCCGATGCCTACGGACGAGGCGCAGCGGAACGCGGCGCGACCACAACAAACGTTTAGAACAGTAGCGAGTCCTCCTAGAAGTCCTCGCAGTCTAACGACATCCCCCCCCCCCCCCACAGACACACACACAAACCAGACAACCAACAAAGGAATGCACCAGCATGAAAGATGCGACGGCGAAAGGACAGTTTTCGCCAACGTTCATTTCCCGCCCGGTTTAAAATCTCCGATGCACGAGCAACGACGCGACGAGACGGCAACGCAATCGTTTGCAACGAGCTTGTTGAGCCGAGCGCGGCAGCCTGCGAAGCCTACGAAAGACGCGACAAACTGTCGAATGGGGAATGGCCCGGCACGCCTTAGGCACGCCGGCCGGTCGAGTTTGCTACGAGACGGGGCTGAGCCACAAGACACAGAGTCGCTTGGAACGCAAGCCGGGCAAAGCCGGCCAGCCGCCTCGGTGCTGGGAAGCGGCCGTCGTCGCCTCGCTCGGCCTAGCCAAAACCCATCACCCCTTTAACCCCCAGCGGCCAACGAACCCCGTTGACGAGTTACGTCGGGCGGGGTCGGGTTTGGCCAAGCTAGCTCGGCGACCCCGGCGGGCCTGGCTGGCATCGCTCGGCTCCGTCGAAACCAAGCGAGCACATCGTCCATCTCCCTTACTGACTCTTGTGGGATAGACAAGGATAGATGCCGGCGGGCGACCCAGCGAGTGACACATCGGGTAGCCTAAACACGGGCACCATAACAAACCGTTGGACCGCGGGCAGCCAGAGGCTTTCCAAACTTGCGTGAAAAACTGACACGTCGTGCCGAATCGCCGGATCCAGCTGCGCGAAGCCGCGAAGCGCCAACCAGCGCCAACTCAGAAAGCATGACAACAATAGGCCGTAAAGTGGGGTGGGGTTGCGCCATGGTTGCGCGGCGCGGGGAGGGCAACGCATAGACTCGGAAGTCTTGGTCAGACTGCCCAGCCTGCCCGGAAATCCCGGGAGCACATGCAGACATAAAGAAAAGCAAATTTTGCCAATAAACGCCGGGGATGGGAGTTCGCGTAGGGCCGCTCGCGCTACGCCGCGCCACGGCCGGACTGCGGTAACGGCGAGTCAAGCTGCCCCAACAGCCACTGCAGACACATCACAGGCCAAAACATAACCTGAGGCCGGGGCGGGGCGGCCCTCGCGTCCTCTGCGTCCCAGCCCAGCCGCACAGTGCCACATCACTGTCTCTCTCGCTCTTAGCATGCCACCCCATGAGTGCGACAGAGACAGAGCGACGGAAGCGACGTGTGGGATTGGTGCGCAGGGCCAGCCAGCGGCCGGCCAGCGAGCCGGAGCTGGGGACCACACTGAAGGCACGGCAGGGCACACAGCAAGGAACTACGTACAGGGTACAGGGCAGGGCTTGTTTTGCAACACGAGGCTCGGTGGGCGGGCGGGGCCGAGGGAGGCAAAGCGAGCGAACGCACGCTGCCCGAACGGGCGAGTGCGGGCGAGAACGGGGGCCAGTGCCTGTCTCTGCACGGCTCCGTCGAAACCAAGCGAGCACATCGTCCATCTCTTGTGGGATTGACAAACCATTGGGCCGTACAAGCCGCGCCGGAAGTGCCACTCGCAGTGCCTGGTCCAGCCGCGCAAAGCGCTACTCGGGCAGCAAGTCAACAATCGCGGGGCGGTCAAGTGGGGTGGGGTTGCGCGCCGCGCGACGACATGGGGAACACATGGACTCGGAAGACTTGAATCAGTCAAGCCTGCCCGGAAATCCCGGGAGGACATGCAGACATACAGAACAGCAAATTTTGTCAGTAAACGACGGGGGCGGGGCGGGGGTTCGCTAGGCCGCTCGCTCTACGCCACGTCCGTACTATGACGTCTATCACTACCGACCCGACGCCAGCTGGCGCCAACTAGGCTGCAAAACGTCGCAGCCGCAGCCAGACCACCCCGACCGAAAAGCCCTACAGATCTAAACAGACCAAACGCGGCCAAGCCCGGCAGAGACGCGGCGACGCGGCGCGGCCCGACCAAAACAAAGGCCGGGCCAACACGAGACGGGGAGCCGCGAGGGCGCGAGCCGCCCCACGCTGTCGAATGGGGCAGGGCCGGCACGGACGGCTCGGCCGGCAAACCCACTCTCAAGGGAAACTCTCGTGACCAGCCCGATGCAAAGCGCGACGCACAGACCTGGGGACAATCACTGTCCAGGCCAAGCCCGAAGGCAGCCGAGTGCGGACCCATGACGCGGCGACGCGGCGAGCAAGCGGGAGAACAAACACAAAACCACAACAGAGTTTACTTACCGCGGCGAGGGTGTAAATTGGCCGTCAACATCATGATGTTCAACAACCGCTAATTGACGGTGGAGATGAGTGCGCAAAGCAGAAGCGCTAGATACAACACTGGAGCACACTGGAGCGCCGAAGCGAGAAAAATCGAGGGCAAAAAGGAAGGCAAATCGCAACAAGCCCTAATTGACGGTGGAGATGAGTGCGCAAAGCAGAAGCGCTAGATACAACACTGGAGCACAACTCTGGAGCGCCGAAGCGAGAAAAATCGAGGGCAAAAAGGAGCGCAAACCGACAATCCACTAGGAAGGCGATTCAAAGAATGAACGGAGTGCGAGGGCGCAGCGCCTCGTCGGCTCGGCTAGAGCTAGAGCTACCTAGGTAGGTGGGGGTGCCAGCCTTCCCCCTCCCCTTTTCACTTTCTGCAACCCCCCTCCCCCTCGCCGAACCCGAACCCGAATCCCGAGCGTCGGCCCGATCCGCCCGATCCTACACGGCTCCCGGGTGCTCCTCCGGTCTACGGACCGTTTACGAGTTTTTCATACTCCGACTCCTGGCGCTGGCGACAACACCAGCAGAAAGCTTTGAAAACTAAACTTGTTTTTCACTACTGACGCTTTTTATTGTATCTATCAATTCACAGTATCTTGCCATTGTATTCTTTATTGATAATTACATTTCAAGCTCGTTGCACGTCTTTGAAATTTGAACAGATATTAGTGAGCTAGTGTCAAAACGAGAAGCCGGTTGCGTTCTAACCTCATCTCGCTGCACCGTATCATTAACCAGAAATGGACAGTGATGACTCTGACTATGCCCCTGCAACAGCATTCCCCGTCAGTCGCATAAATGAAAGCGACATTGATTTGAACGTTCTACCTTCGAATGGAATGGAGTACCTTCAGAGAGTAATGCTAGAAGCTAAACGTTGTGACCGTGTTGTCACAGCTCAACCCCCTTTGTCCAGTAATCCTCAACCCTCCTTAAGTGAGGTAATAATCATATGGCTTGGTTTTTTAATTAATGGCAATTTCATGAACATTGTGTTGACACTGCATTCATTGGATTTTGCTGTGCTCTGTAGGAAGAGAAAGAAGTTTCACCATTAGCTCCAAGCATAGAGTGGCAAGAAAAACAGGTGTTTGAATTTTCTAAATTGCGTCAAAAAATGGCCAAGAGGAAAGCTTGCCGTCATCCTGGGCCTCAGATATCTTTGGTATTTATAATTTCTTATTTGTGTCAATATTACTGAAAAAGGACAGGGAGACAGTTTCTGTTTTAAAGTTACATATGATTATGATTTACTTCTTCAGCCTTCCTTAGCAGACAAGAAAGGATGGGAACTTCTTTGTTTTGGTCCCAAGTGTGATGGAGTTGATGACAGTGGAAGTCCACCACTCCTCAGTATATTAGTCAACATGGGTCAGGTAAACCCCTTCTCTCCTGATTGAAAAAAAAAAGAAGAGTCTTCTATTGAATGATTTAATCACCACCATCTCCAGTCTTTCTTCTTCTTCTTTTCTTGTTTTTAGCCTATGGTAGACACACTTTTGAATTGGCATAGTCAATGGATAGAAGAATGTAATCATATGACTCATCGTCATGGACAATGGATATTTGCCTTGCTGTCTTGTTTGGAACTACCTCTACACCCCGATACCTGTAGCACTATCAGATTTATTGCTCGCACTTGCCAGCAAATACGAAACATTATGGTAAAATAGTTTTTAGTTATTCACTCACCTTGAAGGAAGTTGTGACATGCAGCTCATTTAATAATGTTATTTGGTTTCAGGTTGACCCTGATGCAACTGAGCTTGCAGCTGTTAACTTATTGATCTGTCTTGTAGGACGATATTTTAGCCAAATGGATCTCGCTGATTAGCAAATCTTAATCAATTTTACTGATGCAATATTTTAAGGTATTATGAACTGTCTTGTAAATCTTTATTGCCTATTTATTTTACTGTATGAATTATGAATTATGAAATGCTGACGGAGAAAGTTTTTAAATTACCCCAATTGTGAGCCTTTATTCTAGAACAAAAACAATTCACAACTAAGATTTATTATGTTTATTTCACAACATCCATAATAGTGCTGTCTGTTTGCCTTCACTTTTCCTGCAATACAGGAAGCAAAGTCTTTGAAGCCTGTGCACTAAGTGTTTAAGAAAAGGTTAATAGCGTATCAAAATGTATTACAATTATAGTTGGCTTCAATGGAAGATGAAATTAAAGTTATACATGACAGCACATTAAAAGAAGACAGAGATTCCGCTAAGACACATATTACTGAATAAGACCAGTATCAAGAGGGAATGTGAAACTATCACTTAAAGAAAACACAATTGGAAAAATATAACAGAACATAAAGGCCATGTTTCTCTGGGTTCGAACACAATCGACGAGGCATGGTTTAAAGCAAATACTGAACTGACTAGAGAATGAACTGAATTAAAGAAAGCTGTGCAGTAAGAGAGTTTTCCAAACACTGACTACAACCAATCTGTAGTCAAAAATATTTGTCACGATTTCTTATCTTTGATGAGCACAGTAATCTGGACAAACACTGACTACAACCAAGCTGTAGTCAAAAATATTTGTCACGATTTCTTATCTTTGATGAGCACAGTAATCTGGAAGCCACTTATATCCATGCAGATTCTCACTTAATTTGAAGACACATGTAAGGCTAGGTAAGGTTGACTGTATTTGGTACAAGTACCGGGATAGGACAAGCAAACAACTGCAATAAGAAATTTTTAAAAAATTGCAAGTTCTGTGCATAGCACTGGTTGAAAGGAGAAATAAGTTCATTTCTGAATAGCTGAACTGTCTTGTTTACAAATTAAAGAAAGTTAACAGCTTCCTCATCTTTACAAAGTAAAATTTTAAAAAAGGCTGCAGTTTCAATGCATGGCTTTTATGAGGGAAAAAAAAATCATTCCACAAAAGAAACAACAAAAAATGTTGACATTTTGCTACTGAATCTATTGATTTCTGAAACTGCTGTTTTTTAGTGTACAGCAGCATAAAAACTGATAAACTTTAACCATCCAAAATTTATATCACATCACTGTACAACACTTTCTTCAACTAAAAACTAATGAAGTCAAACAACATATTTGCTTTTGTACAAATCAAAAAAATCAGGAGTTACTTTTGAGCAATTTTTTTCCATTCCCATACTAATTCTTGTCATGAATATATGAAAACAATATTGTGCAACAAACCAACCAAACAATGGGATATTAATCTCATACATTCTCTATTGCAATCCTCAGCCGCCCGTCAAAAGAGTTGTCTTAAAAATTACTTTGCTTGGTCACCACCAGGAAGTTGAGGTTACATGTGCTACCTATTACATCCAATAAATTTGAATCAAGAAAGTTCTTCAGTTTAAGTTGGAACAGTCACAGTGAAGCCATGTGACAACAATAACACCAATTTTGACTTGAAATATATTTTTTTTTACAGCTATGTACAGAATGGGTACATAGTAGTTCTATTGAACTTAGTTATAAAATGCTTTTCAACCCAAATTTGTGTACTGCCAGGTAGCTCTGGCGCCAAGGTAAGTTGACAAGAATCTAAACAGCTTGCCATGGAGAAAACTGATTTCAGATTTTTTAACAGTTGTACAGCTGATGCTGTGCTTCACCAGGCAGGGACGAACAATTGCCTGAAATCTTTGGTATTAAAAATTACAAAATGCATAGAGACATGCTTCACTATAAATTAATGGTAACACTTAGCCAAACCAGACAAGAAGAAGGGGTTTGACTTGAAATAAGATCCTCATTTTTACCCCCCCTGAATGACCTATGGTCCATACTCCACATTGAAAGGTCAATTCATAACCCAGTCATGTACCCATGCATGATTAATCCTAATTTGACTAAGATCTCACAGATTAGTCAGTCCAATCCATTACATTCATTTTAAAATTGGATGCATTATAACATTGGGTTGGGGCAGAGTTTTTAAAACATCATATACTTTACCTCCACATGCATGCATGCATGCACCGAGATGGTCCCTAACATTAAATAAACATAGCCATTACAACTGAGTCCTGAAAGCCTGTTGTTATGTTTCCTCCCAATACTAGCCAAACAAATCAGTCAGCACACACAAATCAAAATATTACGGCCCGTATGAAAGGCTACATTCGACAAGGTGCGGCCGTACCGTTTTTTAAAAGTTACAAATAAAGTAAAACTCAGAACTTGGTTCATCATAGTGAAACTCAAAGAGGATAAATATCACATCAGCATGACTCCCAATTTCTGATCATAGACAATCAGTCAATAATTGTAAAATGAAAAATTACAGAAATGATGAACCTTCTGACCAAAAGAAAACCAAAAGCTGTAACACTGCATTACATTGTGATATCTCTGCTTACAAATACCTATGAAAGTTGGCGCTCAGTCCCAAAACACCACTATTTAACTAACATACAATAAAAAGGAAATCAACTCCCGAGGTATACAATTTGGACTAGCTCTAAATTACAAGGATTGAATACATAACAATTCAAGAATAAACTCTGTTATAACAAAAAAATAAACACATATAGATTAAATTTTAGGTATGATTTCTTAGAGACTTATTGTTACAGCTTTGGGATTCTGCATTTGAAAAAAAAACGAAAAAACAAATAAAAAAAACATAGAAGAGCAGCAAGGGTATAGGGTACTGGTGGAATGACAGATTAAATTACAAACCACAACTTAAAATGTAAAAGATATGATTATCATTAAAAACATTATAAACTTAAGATTTATATACAATTAAGGTGTCCATGTTGCATGCAAGTCAACACTCTATGGTCATTATCCTTAGTTCAAAAAGAACATTTCATGCGGTCAAAATACATGTACTAGAGGAAAACAAATACAGGCAATTAAAACTTGAAGAAAGGGTAGGCCTCAACTTGAAAATAAATCTCACAAATCTATCTTACTACAACACATACTATGCACACTCATTATCCCATACAGAAGAATACGTCTTTCACATCACTACAAAAATATTATCTTTTATAACCTTTAATCAACAAATCCTCCAATCACAACTAGGGATAAAGCTGTGGAATTCATTGCCAGTTCTAAGTGGCTGGCTGAACTGCTAGAGAGAAACATCCCCACAAGGACCAACCAAGATATGTTTATTAGGGACGTAATTTTTGTAGACTTTTTATAAAAAGACAATACAATCTTCTACAAAGATTTATGACTGAATGGCAGAAAAAGCTTATGTACTGCCAAGATAAACACGAAGTCTTGAGAATAGAGAAAAGAAAGATAAAAGATCCCCAGACACAATGTAGATTTACAAAAAAACAGTAAACATACATTCTAATCATTAATGAAGCTGCTCAGCTAAGCTGATACGTATATTGAATTTAATTATGTGTATGTCAAATATTATGTCAGCCAACCACATAGAACAAGCAAGACACTAGAACACAGCAGAATTTTCTGTAACAGGTACGGATACACAGCATTACGCAAAAGGTTGACTTCATACTTATCCTCCTCAGATGATGAATATAGATTCATGATGAGTGAGTACAAAATCTGTGAACATGTTAATTGGACCAATGTTGCTTAAGGACAGCTGGCCGGTCTGTGCCCACACGAGGTTAGGACCAAATACAACAGCCAGATTTGAAGATGTCATTTTGTTAAGATCACAACGATCCATTACCTAGAAATTCAAAGAAAGAACCTCTACTTAGTATTGTAAAAGACCAATGAATGTGAAGAGTGAAAAATAAGACTGCCACACAACATACCTTAGAAAGGAATTGAACAAGGTATTTAAGAATTTGATAGTTATCTTCTGGTAACTTCTCTAGAATTAAAACTTTCACTCGTTTGGGTCGATCATCTCGAGGCAACACTATATGAAAGCAGGAGAATATTTATTTAAAAATCTTAAAGGGATACACACACAGAGGTAACGCAAGGGTTTAACTTACCCTGGAATTGAGCGATTTCATCATAAAGGTCAAAAGTCATGAGAGGTTCTTCCAGCTCACGAAGAAATGTTTTAAGCAATACAGCAGCTATGTGGACGTCACTATGGAAGTCAATATTTTCTCCTTGATTTACTTTAGCTTGAAGTTCTCGAACCAAAGTAACATTTGCTGACCTTCTGAAAAGGCCTTCTGTTTCTAGTGCTTCAAAAAGAAAAAAAGTCCATTCAGTAAGCTTAATACAACAAAGTAAATCAACTGGTGGAACACGTGAATCTTACTAACCATCAGGTTGGCTGAGAAATTCAATGCACTGACGCATGATTGGAGGAATCACCTCTCCTCCATGGTTGTCTTTGATAAATTGCAAAGATACACCAAATTGTTGAGTGATAAATCTACTTTGTACAGGACTTGATGCAGGAGATGGTGTGGCACCACTTGTTCTGGGCACGGTAGAACGATTGCTTCGTACAGCTACCCTTTCATCATGTCTGTTAAAAAATATAATTTTATGATACAAATAAAACCCAAAAGGCGAGCATATCCTTAGTGGATGCATATGAAAATTTCCAACTTACTCAATAACAGCTTGAGGAATACAAAGCTGATCCAAGTCCAAATGTTGAGACAGCTCTTGTAGGTAATTAACATACATCACTTTCCGACCAAATTTGGCACTGCAACATAAGTGTTACATGATTATTTAGAATTTGAAATACACAAAAGTAAGTCTCCTCATAGGTACCACACTGACCTTATGACAGCTCGGAATAGGTGCCAAACAACACGTATGAAATTTGTTGGATGGACTAGATAAAGGGCTTTTAAATTCTTCTTGTATTTGCGGTCAAAGGCACGATATGCTTGCCACAACCATGAAAGTGGTGGTTTATTTTTGCTCGTCAGACCATGATGAAAATACACAAGACTGTAGTCTTGTTCCACGTATTTGTCAAGGGTGTACATTAAATACCTGCCAAAGATATATGAAAACCATTAGGTTCTTTACACAGTAACTCAATCAAGACTGCTAAGAAACACACTACTTGTAATAAAGAAGACATACCTTAATAAACGAGTATGATCCAACTCCTTATTGCTTGGTAGTTTGCAAGCGGATACAACAATAATTTTTCTGCCCACTGTATCATCACCAACTACGTCCACAATGCCATAACGAGATACATCACTAAAATCTTCTTCATCTTCAGGGTCATCTTCATCAAGAAATGGGTATGAAAGACTATCCATACCAGCAGCTAAGGTTGGTGCGTTAACAAGCTCTTCTTCAAAGTTCTCTTCAATTGTTCCATCCGATACAGGTGATTCCAAGTAGTCTAGCCCACCAGCCTCGACAAGTTTTTCGGCAAGTTCTAACAAGAATTAAACACAAAAAATCAAGCTTGTTAGAAAAGTTTATGATTGAGGAGAGAGTGGGAGGAAATATGCAATAATAACGTATACTAAATGCCATTTCTACACTTATGCAGCATATTTAGTTATTACCTCCGTCAACAGCAGTGTGCTGTAGTTCCGTGTCGTCAAACTCAAGATTTGGCTCATAGTCATGGTAATCAGACAGACTTGGATACGGTTCGTCACTGTCATGATGAGCTGCAATAAAGGAATATTTGATTAATTCAGAAGGTCTCCATGAGTAGGTGAAAACATAAGGGGTGAAATGCAAAACAAGTTGAGCAAATCTGGTTCATACACAAAAATAAATTCCCTGTGCTGGTCGTCCAACCATAGAAGATAATAGTGGTTTGAGACCCGAAGAAAAACGCTAGGTTTCACAGCAAAGAAATAAAACGCATAGAAATGTAAATGAGTGTCTGAAACTAATGTGATTGAATACTGACATCAATTACTAAGCAGGAGGTTAGCAATCCTTCATTTTAAATGAGAACAGGAAATACCTATATAAGGAAATTCTCAGTAATATGAATGAAATTCATTGAACACGCCCATTGACATTTGAGGAAATATGACTAGGAATACGCCCAAGGCTCTACGTGGGTTGTTTCATATTCTTACCTAACAAGTTGCGAGAGGGGCTAAACTTGGGTTGATAATCCGCCTCCATTTTCTATGTAATTTACACCGGACAAATATATTAACTGTGATTAACAGTGAAAACGCATAACAGCATTGTCTATGCCACACAGCATGTAAACAAATGCAACGAAATAAGCCTAAATGTCAATTAACCATTTTGATTTTCGACTTTTCGCTTTTGACCTACTAACGCCTTCTCCTTTCCCACGCACTGGAGAGTAATGTTGGGTGTTGTGGCCAGGTCTCTCATGACGTCTCGTGTGTTTTGAAAAACTGAGTAAATTTGGCACGATACTGTCATGATTGAAATTTGGACGTTATTTGCCATTTTCGGAGAGCTTTCTTAAAAGATAACAAATACCAATCCACGGATTCTTTTCAGAGGGCGTGGACTGGAAGTGAGTTGGCGGCACTGTCGCGTCCGGCGACCGGAAAGCGGTAGAATTTCAAAAAGATGCGCTGAAATGGCCTTTCAGTTATTTGATGTTTTACTAAACACGTGAACAGAGGACCCGTTTAGTCTCAAATGGAATATCGGCAAAATTGTGCCGCATTTGGGACCTGGCCGCAGCAGTGCGACACGCGTCGCTCCTCAAACTGCATCGTTCTGAACTGAATCGACCTCGGACAAGGATGAACGTATTTACGGTTGGTGTAAATGACGCCATTGTTACATCGTGAGATCGGACCGCCAACCCAACCCGACCCAGGCATGTAAGTGATCCCTGTTCCGGACCGGCACCGCCAGGGCACCGCCGCCCGACGCTCCGTACGCCTCCTCCCCGTCGCCGTCGACGTCGTCTTCCCGGGCCACGGAAGACGAGTCCCTCCGGAGGGCGAGAGCAGGCTGGGCAGGCTGGCGGCGGCGCGGTGGGTGGCGGTGGTGGCGGCCCTCGTTGGGACGCCGACCATGACCAACCATGACGAGTCCGTGCTCACGCCGCCACGGCTGGGAGGTCGGGTCGGAAAGTCGGGGCTTGCCGCTTTGCCACCGAGTTTTGCAGTCAGGCGCCGTGCCGCGCCGTGCCGCGCCGCGCCACGCCGTGACCCTCCAGCCTTTTAGCGGCAGGCACTTTGTGGCGGGGCGTTCGCGCGTCTTGCATCGGGAAACGATCCCAAGCAAAACCCGGGGAAGCGATTCACTGTCTCTCTCGCACCGCGGCGAGCGCCCAATGAGTCCGAGAGAGACAGAGCGAGCAGGGCGACGAGCCAGCAGAAGCACGTGTGGCTCGTCATCACGGCCAACACGGCACCGCGGTGGGCTTTGGGGCGTTTGAGACACTACACTACCAGACACTACTCGCCTCCTCAGCCGGCCAGAATAGATACTCAAGGTTGCATTCATTGCCTCCTCGAAACGGGCCGAACCGGCTGTGTCTTGTAGCGCAAAGCGCGGAGCCCAAATGTCAAGCGCGGTGGCGGGAATAAAAAGTAGGTCAGGGGACACAGTTAGCGGCGCTTTGACGACGCTTAATTCAAATTTAACATTGACATTAACGTTCAACGGGCAGCCTGACTGGAGGATTTATGTAGTGGCGGCCGAGGCGGCCCACCGGTCGCGCGCTGTTGCGCTCTGTCTCTCTCGCACTCATGGAGAGTGCCGTAGGGGAGCGAGAGAGACAGAGCGGCTAGTGCGCGCAGCGGAATCGGACTACACCGTGACAGTCTCGGGTTGACGAGCTCGTCTGCCATCCAGGCGGACGATTCCGCCGCACGCAATTCTCGCTCTGTCTCTCTCGCACCCCTACGGCCCACTCCACCGGTGCGAGGGAGAGAGCCTTGCTCCGTATTTTGGGAAGTTAAGTTGTTCCCCCCGTCGCACGCACAGTGGGCCAGAAGACCGGTGGTGGCGGCCAAAACTCTAGACGCGTTTTGAGCTTCAGAGTCGCTAAATCGGCCTCGAACCGAACGTGTGACCCCACCACTGGATTCCTCGTTCGGAGAGCAATCCATTGGTGGGGTCACACGACCGATTCGAGTCTCATTTAGCGACTCTGGAGCTCAAAATGCCTTTAGAGTTTTGGCCGCCTCCACCGGTCTTCTGGCCCACTGTGGCACGCCTTGCACCGACTCGTGGAAGCGCGTGCATAGCGTAGCCCGGCAAAGCAGGCAGAGCCCTGGCCCCTGACCTGCAGGCTGATTCTGAACAGCGGTGCCATTCACGCGGTACACGCTACACGCCCGTGCCCGCCGAGCCCGCCGTGCTGGGGCACTGCCGGGGCACTGCCGGGGCACTGCCGGGGCACTGCCGGGGCGCCTCCAATTGCCAGCCAATGTATCCGAATTAATACCAAGGCCCGCGCCATGCCGCCGTGCCGCCATGGTCAAGGTTACCGTACAGTGCAGGAGCGGAAACGAACAGAATCCGCGGGAAATGGCACCGGAAAAGGGGAGGGGGGGGCGTGAGAAAGACGGAAAAGCTCACTCACCGAACGGAGAGGCATCCATTCGCGTGGCTCGATTCACTCGCCACGAATGAATGATGCGTAAGTAGTGATCAAGACTACATCAGCAGACTGATTCCGAGAGTGGTTTCCGTCGCTCTGTCTCACGCGCATCTATAGGGGGGCCAATGAGAGAGAGAGACAGCGACGGAAACGACTCTCGGAACAGTCCGTGAAAGAAAGGTGGCTGTCTTCACACTAGCATTCACGAATCAATGATGAGCTATCGAACACATAAGCGAATCAGTTCAGCCACAAAGTCGGTCGTGTTCTGGGAGAGCCAACGCGGAGGTGGGTGGGGCGCGGGCCCCTCGTTGGCCTCCTCTGGGAACTACCCCCACTGCCGCGTGGCGGCCCCGTGGAGCAGGCTGCAGACTCATTCCGAGAGTCGTTTCGTCGTCCTGTCTCTCTCGCACTCATGGGGCGCCCCGTCCAAGTGCGAGAGAGACAGAGCGACTGTCTGAATCAGTCTGCTGGAGGACTAGGGCGGTGTGAGGCGGGGCGGGGCGCCGGTCGGGTACCCCCTGACTGTGCGACGGGCGGCGGGCGCGGGCCCGGCGGGCTGCGCGGGCCGCGCTAGTCGAGACTTGACAACAGTGACCACTGTGACGGCTGTGACGGCGGCGGTCAGGCGCTGCTTCGGCTGCTCGAGGACCCTCGGTAACGGCTCAAGACGTCATCCCACGGCGCGGGCGCTCGGACGCTGAAAGTGGCGAGAGCGGCGCCCAGGGACACCCCGGCCGAGCGACATGTAAGCCAGCACCGTGACCAGTGCACTGTGAAACTGCGTGGAGCCGAGGCCCAACAGGTCGCGGCGAGGGCGAAGCGCGCGAAGCGGGTGCAGCGGACAGACGTGACTAACCGGCCGCTTGGCCTCGCTGTTCGCCTCCATGTCCCCCCAGGGCTGCGAGGAATCCACCGCAGTCAACCTCCGACCGCAATGTGACGGAGGCACCCCCGGCCGCCGCGGCCGCCGCCACCACCACCGCTAACGTGGAAAGGTAAGGGGTCTATCACTGTCTCTCTCGCACTCTCTGACAGTCCCATGAAGCCCATGAGGGGCGAAAAGGCCAGAGAGCTGCCATGTAACCAAGTCCCTGCCTTGCTTGCGCAGCCGGGGTGGCGGTGGCGGCGATTTCGACCCCTTCGCCCTGCGGGATCTCAAGCACCCCACCAAGTAAGTGTCCGTCCGTCGCCGCAGTGCACCGTGCACACACTGTAAAAGCGGCGCTGACCCGGCGGTCGTGTTGCAGTGAGGTGGACTCCCTGGTGCACCTCATGAAGGGCAGCATGGGCTCCGGCATCCTCGGCATGCCGAAGGCGGTCAAGAACGGCGGCCTGTGGTTCTCCCTCGCCGTCACGCCCGTCATCGGCTTCATCTGCACGTACTGCGTGCACATGCTGGTGAGTAGCGCGTAGCGCGTGCACGCGGATGCACTGGAAAACCAATAACGCCCTCACTGTTAAACCGAGTGTGGAGAACTGCACACCTGAAATGCAGAGGTGTGGAGGTGTGCAGAGTTTGCAGTCTCTACACTTAAAGTGTGGACTTCCACGTTCGCATCATGCCAAGGGGTAGGCCCCTGTCCGATGGGGGCTCTGTGAGCTTCTCCCACTTGAAGGGGTAGAGAGTGCAAACTCCACATGTCCAGGAAGTGTGGAGTTCTGCAGGGAGTTCTCCACACTTGGTTTGACAGTGCTGTCCCCGTCCAGGTCGTCTCCGCCCACGAGCTGTACCACCGGGAGAGGGTGCCGCAGCTGGACTTCTCCGAGGTGGCGGAGCTGGGCTTCAAGACGGGGCCCAAGCGGACGCGGTTCCTCTCCAAGATAGCCAAGTAAAAAGACGCGTTGTCTTCGGGTCGCTTTAAGTGGCGAGTGCCGTGTCCGCCCGCCGACCTTAGGCCGAAGCAGGCTGCCTCCGAACGGCGCCTTGTGGCACTGTCTCTCTCGCACCCGTGGGGTCCAAACGACGTTCGGAGGCAGCCTACAGTGTCTGTGGCCCAGGCCGCCCGCCCCGCCCGGGCCGCGAGACGCGCCTTGAGTCGCTCCACTCACTTAGAGGATCAAGGTCTCGGTCTCGGCGAAGGCCAGTGGACTGATTCCGAGGGTCGTTTTCGTCACCCTGTCTCTCTCATACCTATGATGGGGCCCCCTCGAGTGCGAGAGAGACAGAGCGACGAAAACGACTCTCGGAATCAGTCTGCTGGGCCGTCACGGCGGCGTGCCTAACCGGGAGCACCTCGTTGCAGGCACAGCGTCAACTGGCTCATGTCCATCAATCTGCTGGGCACCTGCTGCATCTACCTGGTCTTCATCGCGTCCAACATGAAGCAGGTGCGTGTCGCGGCGTGTCGCGGCGAGGCCGCTGGTGAACGTGCCAGCGCGGGACGGGTCTTTCTCACGCCGGATAACGTGCCGCAGGTGATGGAGCACCACGGCTACAGCGAGTACGACGTGCGGCTGTACATCGTGTGCCTGCTGCCCTTCGTGCTGCTGTTCATCGTGGTGCGCGACCTCAAGTACCTGTCGCCCACGTCCATGCTGGCCAACGCGCTCATCATCGTGGGCATGATCATCTGCTTCTACTACATGCTACGCGACGTGCCCAGCCCCTCCCAGCGCCTCGCCGTGGGCCACTACTACACCGTGCCGCTCTACTTCTCCACCGTCATCTTCGCCCTGGAGGGCATCGGCGTGGTGGGTAACAGTGGCGCAGAAGGCCAACGCCTGCGAATGCAAGGCTAGGCAACCCGCGGTGCAGCCGTGTGGCGTAGCCTACAGTGTTGCCTACCCTGGGAGGCTGCCGCCTGCGAATGCAAGGCTAGGCAACCCGCGGCGCAGCCGTGTCGGGCAAGGTTCAGTGCTGCCTACCCAGCACGGCGCTGACGTATCCATCCGGCTGCAGGTGATGCCCCTCGAGAACAACATGCGCGACCCGAGGCGCTTCCCCGGCTGCCCCGGCGTGCTGGGCTTCGGCTTCACCGTCACCACGGTGCTGTACACCACGGTGGGCTTCTTCGGCTACCTCAAGTACGGCGAGGACACCGACGACGCCATCACGCTCAACCTGCCCGTGGAGGAGGGGTGCGTCTGGCACGGGGAAGTGCACTGCAAGCTGTTCCACCCGTTCCTCGAGCTGATCCCGACTTTGTCCCGCAGGCTGGCCCAGTCCGTGAAGATCATGATGTCCATTGCCATCTTCTTCACTTACTTCCTGCAGTTCTACGTGCCATTCGAGATCATCATGAAGGCCATCGAGAGGCGCTGGGGGGAGCAGAGCGCGCGCAGCGAGACCATCTACAGGATCCTGCTGGGCATCATGACAGGTGAAGGCATTAGGATGTGTCTTAGAACCAAAACCTTAAAGAAAAATCTCAAGGGTTGTTTTGGTTGCTTTTGCAGTGTGCATCGCCGTGGCCGTGCCTCGGCTCGACGTGTTCATGTCGCTGATCGGCGCGCTGTGCCTGGCCTCGCTGGGCCTCATCATGCCGCCCGCCATCGAGATGGTGGTGTTCTGGGACAAGGAGGGCGGCCGGGGCCGCGGCAACTGGAAGGTGTACAAGAACATCGCCATCATCTCGTTCGGCATCTGCGCGCTCATCCTGGGCACCGCCACCAGCCTCATCAACTTGGTCGAGTTCTACGTCAACCCCAACGACCCAGGCTTCTAAGGAACATTCGGGTTTCGTTTCGCATTACGTTTAATACACAAATTGCATGGCAGTGGTGGTGTTTGTATTTATCAATAAATAACATGAGTAACAGCCCAATGGTTATTACAAGTCCGCTGAGCGGTTCAGACAAGCAAATCATGATCACTTAGATTATTACATGGTATTTGGCATAATATACTACAGCATTTATAATCCTATTTCCTTATACACTGGTGTTCTCAGCATAACTTGAATACAAATATTATTGGTGACAAATGGTAACTTTTAGGAGGGTGAAAATGTGGATTACATAGATAAGATCTTATATACACTGAAACTGGCGTGAAAAGGACACTTTAGTAGAGTTGGCAGCAGTTACACATTGAGATTCATTCCCAAAGTTTACAATTAGTTTCGTACAGAGCAATAATAATTAATCTAAAGCTACAGAACTAGAGGGCCAAGGAGGTGAGGGATAAGTTATCTTAAAATTAGACGTCGTGGAAAATGATTACTTTAGAACAATGGTCCTAAGGGGATGACAAGATAACCTAGATTGAGCGCCAGCAACTACATCAGTACCCCTCCACTCGCCAGTAGACAAAAAAAAAGCTTTCATTCTGAAAATGTACATTCATAAAAATAACATATAGTAAATATATAAATAATATGACACAACATCTTGCATAGCATGCTTGGCATTTGTACAATATAGAGAAACAATATTTATATATGTATATTCTATACACGACTCAGACATATAATATATTAGACCCCACAGCGCCAAACATATGGGGAATACAGGTACAGTTGGTCCTTACGGACAATAGACAAGTCACATCGTCAAAAATAAATAACACACCTCAAAAACGTCATGTGATGCAAAGTAATTTCACCCAAGACACATCGAGCATCTGTCCAACATGAAATGTCGTTTACAAATAAATACCTACCTCTATAATATCAATTTATATACCAAGTACTACAGACGCACATACACACATATACACACACATACGTACACATTGGAATGCCCGCGTACAACACATGCCAGGCATTGGCAGGCATTGGTTGCATCGCCGACAAGCACAGCCATTTAGGAACAGAACCACTGGAGAACTGACGCCTCCAAACTTAAAAGTACGTTTCGGACTACAGGGCCTGACAAGGGGCGGCCTTCCCTGTTCCGGGTCTCCTGCGCCGCGCCGCGTCGATGTTATCACAGAGGATCCCTGCACAGCGAAGGAGCGCCAACAGAATGACAGAGACAATATGGCATCTGCAACAATCAGTCTCACATGGCAGTGGACAGTGGACAGGGGTCTCGCGAATCGCCTCCACTCCTCAGCTAGGTCACAACATGACTAGCGCTGTCAAACTGCAAACCTGCCGAAGCGACTTTGCATTGCGCGTTGCGGACGGTGTTTCTTTCTGGCAGTGTACCCTGGCGTGAGCGGCGTCAGCGGACCAATGCCTGTTTCTCGACTCGGCGCCTTGCGCCCTGCGGCCACGGTGCCACTGCAGAGGACGGAGTCACTGGGGAGGCGTGTGGTGCGGCCCGGCTCGGTCCGGCTCGGTCCGGCTCGGCCCGGCACGGTCCGGCTCATCTGCTTCCAGTTTCGCCGCACGGTGGTTTGAAGCGCCCCGAGGCGCTCGTCGGTTGAGCCGAGAGGTTTCTACGAACAAAGTTGCGAGCGTCAGGTCAGCCGCTTCGCTCGGCCCGCCGCTCTGCAGCCTTAAGTTCAAGCGAGGCCGGGGCGCCCGCAGACCGCCAGGTAGGCAACCCGCGGCGCAGGAGTGGCCGCCGCCGTGCCTACCTGCGCGTCGTCGGGCGCTTCTCCCCCTTTCCCGCCACTCACCTGCACCTCTCCTCGTCGCTGGCGGGGCCTACGGCGGCAGCACGTCCAGCTTGAGTCCTTGGAACGGCCGGCAGCCCCCGCAGTAGCCGCCGCACTTGCCCTGCACCTTGCGGCCGCCCTGCACAAGCGCAACAATGCAATCAATGCAATCACAGTGCAATCGCCATCCGCACCGAGGCCGCGGCCCACCGAGCCGACCCTCGAAAAGCGTCCCGACTGTGTGGGACTGCCATGACAGTCGGGCTCTTTTCTCGGGAAGGCCGAAACGCCCGGGCGGCACGCGACCCGCGCGCTGAGCCGCCGAGTGGCCAATGGCGTGACCGCCACCGACGGGGCGGGTACCTACATCGTATCGGTTGACGCGGATCGAGGGATTCTTGCCGTACTCGGCCCAGGTGGTGGCCTCGGACACCTTGAAGGCCGTGCCCTTGAGGTTGATGGAGAAGCGGCCCTGCGGACAGCTCAGCGACGAGTAGCAGTCGCCGGCCTCGCCGTACTTGACCTGGTGCTCGCCCTTGACCTGCCGCGAGAAGGTCCAGTCGTCCGCTGCGGAGAGGAAAGGCACCAAAAGGCACTCGATTAGGCCAGGCAGGGCCAGCCCGTCGGGGTACAGTCTGGCGAGGACGTGGGGACTCATTCCGAGAGTGCTTTTCGTCGCTGTCTCTCTCACACTCGTGGCGAGAGAGACGGCGCGACGAAAGCGACTCTCGGAATCATTCCATAGAGATGGCCTTACTCCGGACGCGCAGCGTGTCCACGTCGAGGCGCACCCTGCTGAAGGTGGTGAGGCCGGGCGGGCTGCGCTTGTTGGGCACGCACACCGAGCAGTTGTCGTTGCGGGCGCCCCCGTACGGGCAGGACCGGAGGTGCTGCAGGCTGCGAAGCGAGACAACGCGTCACAACGAGCACTATACCCTCATCGCACTGTCTCTCTCGCTCTCACGGGCGTCCCGTAAGGGAGCGAAAGAGACATCGGCCCCGTCCTCACCTCAGGTCGTAGATCTCGGCGTGGTTGTCGCGCTCCCCGGCCGGCAGCGTGAGGTACTCGGCCGGCGTGGACGTGTTCATGCCGGCGCAGAAGATGGACATGTTCTTGCCGCCCACGACGAGCAGGTACTCCGTGTCCAGGGTGGAACCCGTGACGCGCTTCGCGTCGACGCACGACGCCATGCCGCCTGCGTGGGGAACGACAAGATAAATTAGCGGGTTGGATGAAAACAACAATTGTTCTTGTTTATTCTTTTGGCGTGACTCACACTTGCGCTGGTTGCACTTCCGCTTGCGGGGCGGCTTGTGCTCGCGCGGGCAGTTGTAGCGCGGCGCGAAGCGGCCGTCGCGGCGCCGGCAGAAGAGTCGGCGCGTCTGGCGGCCCTTGCGGCCGCACGGCGCCGAGCACGGCCCCCAGTCGGCCGCCTCCCACAGGAAGGGCGCCGAGCAGGGCCAGGCGTTGCAGCGCTGCGACGCCGCCGGCACCAGCGACGCGTCGCACCGGTCCTGCGGCACGGGCTCCGGGTCCACCCAGCCGTACGCGTTGAGGCGCCGGCAGCTCACGGTGCGGAACTGGCGGCCGCCGCCGCAGGGCTGCGAGCACTGCGGGGGCAAGAGGATGACGTCAGACACGACCACGGCCAAGGCCGTCTTGCTGGCCGAACACGACAGGCATGCAGGAGGTCTATCAAACGAGCCCACCGAAAAGCCGGTAGCGTGCGCCACCTCTCCTCCAAAGTGTACAGTTCAAACCAAAAGTCGTGATAACAAGACAAGTACCAGAACCACACCAATGCACAGTCATGTTGACGACATTCCACTCCAGGCACTTCCAGGCAACCTACACCAACCGTAAATAGAACTCCCAGGAGATGTGGTCATTCGTAAAACGGAAGACAAAAATACATACTCACTGAATGTTATGGATTAATGAAAATGAAACAGAGAGTCGTGCAAGAGGTCGACTTTGAAAAATTTGTGAGACGGGATGAGAATGAAAACCACAATGAGGAATGAGCGTGCAATAAGAGAGGCTTGATACCGCATGCAACCAATGGGGAAAGGTGCACAGGGGAAAGAAGGGGGTGCGAGCGCAACAAGGAAAACAAATAAACAAAAGACGAGCGGCACACATAAAAATTCCAAACAACCCGATCCAAAAATTCAGTGCATGAAAAATGAAACATCAACCAAAAAGGCCGTACGCTAGATATTTTTTTTTCCAAAATAACAAACGAAAAAAAAACAAGGATAATAAAAAAGAAGTGTGCGTGGTACCTCTGACCAGGCCTCCTCGACCCAGTCGAAGGGGCAGGGCCGGCGGAAGCACCTGCTCTGCAGGCGTGGCCGTCGATTCGAACCGCAAAAGATCTCGTGCACGGTCTGGTTCGTCTTACTGTCCACGCAAGGGACCTCGCGGACGCGCTTCCCTTCGCCGCATTTCCGAGAGCACTGCGAGGCAACCATGGCGGTCATTACCAAAAAGAGACAACAAAACAAAACAAGGACGACGACAGTGCGACACAGTGCGAGCACGAGGCTGGGGAAGGCGGGTGGGGAACTTGGTTCGGCGTCGCACTTTCCAATTAGAAATCAACAGGTGTGATGATGAATAAAGTGGATTAGTAATGGAAGCGAATACCTGCAGGAACCGAAAACATGGTTTCGAAATGGGATATTAGGGAACGGTACACTGTTACAGTCTACGCCATTAGTGACACGAGGCTACGAAGGCATGGAGACGCCGTCGAGGCGTAGGAACCACTGAAAGGGGTGACTACAGCGCGCTGCGTGGGCAATGCGTTGGGACAACTGGCGACTCGCGGCTGGGCGCCGCGCACGCAGGAGACAAAATTACATAAACAGCACAACGAACAGGTGCACAAGTACAGCGAGTACAGCGCGAGGCAGTGGGACAGAGGTGGAAGGAGCGACGGGCAGACTCACAGTGTAAGCCCGGGCGGGAGGAGTACAGACGACTAAACAGTGGTGCAGCGTTCTGAAGCTGCTGCAAGGTTCAGGGAGCACTTGAATCAGGTTGGCTACTACGGCGGCGGCGGCTACTCACCGGACCCCATGGGCTGGGCCTCCACGCGAAGCCCCTCGTGGACTTGGTGAGCCTGGTGCCGCGCGGGCCGGCCGGCTGGCACGGCGGGGTGCTGGGGCAGGCCCTCTTCTCCATGGCGGGCCGCTCGCCCGCGCAGGCCTCGTCGGCGAGCACCTCGCTCTGCCAGGACATGCAGACGAAGGAGCGGGTCTGCGTGCCGCCGGGGCCGCAGGACACGGAGCACTGCAAGGAGAAGGCGGCGTCACTGGCAAGCTCGCGGCCCCGCCGCCAGGCGCCGCCAGGTGGCGCTCTAGTTTCGCCTACTCGACTCACCCTGCCCCAGTCGTCCTGGCTCCACGACGGGCACGCGTGGTGGTTGCACGTCCAGTAGGTGGGAGGCTTCTCCTGGTCGTCGCACTCGCTGGAGGAGCAGACGACGCGGCGCGCCTGGGTGCCGCCGCCGCACGACTTGGAGCACTGGCCCCACGGCCCGGTCCTCCAGCCGCCGAGACTCGACGGTGGCGTCGGCGGCGTCGGCGGAGCGGACAGCACCCCGGTGCACTTGCAGAGCCGGCTGCGGAGCGGCCGCTCCCCCAAGCACGAGGCCTCGTCGACGGGGCTGCCGCTGTCCGTGGACACGCACTGCACCGTGCGCAGCTGCTTGCCCTGGGGCGCGCCCTGCCGAACAAGACCGAGCTAGAGCACGACTCCCAGTCGACGGCGTCCCCGTCGTCCGGAGCCTGCCCCGGCCACCCCCACTCACCCCCTTGCAGGCGGCGTCGGCGGCGCAGTCGGTCCACTCGCCCGTCATCCAGGTGGCGGTGACGCAGCGCGCCTGCACGCACGGCAGCGTGCTGGTGGGCCGCGGCTTGAGGCAGCGCGCGTCGGCCGCCTCCTTGCCCAGCTTCTTGTCCTCGCAGCGCACGCGGCGCACGCGCTGGCCCCAGTTGCACGTCGCCGAGCACGCGCTCCAGTCCGAGTAGCGCCACGCGAAGCGGCCGTCGGCCGAGGCCAGCGGCGGCAGCTCGTTGTTGTCGTCGTCGTGGGGCGCGTGCTGCAGGTGCTGGTGGTGGTGGCTCAGGTTGCGCCGCAGCCAGTCGTTGCCCTCGCGCTCCAGCACGCGCGGGAAGGCCGGCGGGAGTGGCGGCGGCGTCGTTGTCGTGGTGGTCGTCGTCGTGGTGGTGGTCGTGGTTGGTGGTGGCTGCACAGAAGCGACACGTCAACGAAGCACATTTGCAGCACAAACATATCGCTCATTGCAATCATAATGCCATGCTTGGCCTCTAACAGCAGGCGCGCTCTCAGCTACGTACCGGGCACGGCGTGTGCATGCAGTGTTCCGACGAGGCGGGTCGCTCGCCCACGGCCCTACACTGTTGCTCGTCCACCTTCTTGGACTCCAGGGAGCACCACACCTTGCGCACCGTGGTGCCCGCGCCGCACGTCACCGAGCACTACAAGCAAAGCGAGCGCGTCCAGTCCATCTCGCTTTCGCTGCGTTTCCGGTCTAACTCTACTGCAATGCACTACGCCAGGCTACAGGCGCTGCCTGGCTACTCACCCCTTCCCACGGGCCCGTCTCCCACACTGGGCAGGGCCTCTCCTTGCAGCGCTGGGTCATGGTGGGGCGCAGCTTGGGGTCGCAGTAGTCCTGCGACACGGTCCTCGCGTCCACCATGCAGGCGTAGGCGGGCTCTCGGATTCCCTCGCCGCAGGTCACAGAGCACTGGCAAAAACCAAGGAGTAAGCGACCTGGGCCCCGGCTGGGGCGGGAGTCGAACCCACACCGTTCGGTTTGGTCCTTACCGGAGTCCAGTCGACGAGCTCCCAGTGCGGGCAGTGCTGGTCGTGGCAGGCGCGCTGGGCGTCCCGCTTCTCCTCGCACAGCGCCTCGTCCACGGCCTCGCCCTGCCCGTTGACGCACCACGAGGCGCGCTGCTGCACCCCCGGGCCGCAGGTGACGGAGCACTGCCGTCGCAATCATAGAGGGATTCTTAGTACTCGCGCCGAAAACGCCACGGCGGCTGGGATTCGAAGCACTCACCTCTCGCCACTTGCCGTACTTCCAGGCGTAGTGCTCGCAGGCCGGCTCCTCGCACTCCACCACGTCGGCCGGCTGGTGCGGCAGGTGCGCGCAGGCCTCGGCGGGCACCGCGTGCGAGGCGCGCGTCTCCATCTGCGTCTGCAGGCACTGCACCACGCGCGTCGCCGAACCGCGGCCGCAGGTCACGGAGCACGCCGACGTGGACGCCACGTGCCACCTGCGGGGCAAAGCCGTCAAAGCGCGCACTGCAGGACGCTGCGGGTCTTCAAGGAAGGGGCAGGCGGTGCGAGCGGTGCTCAGGCGCTGATACAGGGGGAGGACCCCTAAAGACCGCAAAGCCGCCTAAAGGTTAGGCACTTTGCCCCAGTAGGTGGGCAACACTCGTGCCATATCGCCCTTGACGGTACTCACTGCACAGTGCAGGGGTTGCAGCGCTCGGTCTGCGCGGCGGGGCGCTTCAGGTCGTCGCAGTAGTCCGGCGGCACCTCGCCGCCCGTGTCCACGCGCACGCACACCTCCTCGCGGCGGCGCTCGCCGTTGCAGGCGTCGTCGCAGGCCGTCCAGGCGTCGGCGTGCGCCCAGCGGAAGCGCTCCTCGGGCCGGTGCACCGTGTACTCCCAGTGGATGTCCGGCGGGTGCAGCGGCCCCGCGCCCAGCACCTGCACCAGCAGCTCGCGGTGCAGCGGCCGGCTGCAGTTGAGGCGCTCCACCATCTCGCCCGCGCCCGAGTAGTCCAGCGACACGCCCTCGTAGATCAGCCCGCGCTGCGACAGCGTCACGATGAAGTTGCCGTTGAGCAGGTACTTGCCCGTCTCGGGGTCCACCAGCGCTGCGAAAGCGAGAGTTGCGTTCAATACCCGGCTCGGCCCAGAAATTTATTTCCTTGAGACGAGAAAATTTACTTGGAACAAGGCGATGATTCACACCATGAGGGTTAATCATCGTTCTTCAAAGTGAATTCGCCTTATTCCAAGTAAATCTTTTCATTTCCATAAAAGTTTTGTCCTTGAGTGCAGCATTAGCGCAGCCACCCGCCACTCACCCAGGTACGTGTCGTCCTTGTTCATGCCCTTGAAGCCGTACTGGCGGATGTCCAGGTTGGAGGCGCCGGCGGGGACGCGCAGCACCTCGCTGTAGCCCAGCTGGCTGTTGTTGTGCGACCCCACCACCAAGTGGCAGGTGGAGTTGTCTCCGTTACACCGCCCACACCGATCTGGAGCATGAGGGACAGTCAAAAGTAGTACCCGCGCGCCTGTACGTCGGCAACCCATCGCACGGCGCTGTCCGCAGAGCTTACCGAGCTTGGCCGTGGAACCCAGCGTGTGGTCGCAGCCCGCCGGCTGGCAGACGCCGTTGACGCAGATGTCGTAGCTGTCCACCTCGCAGGGCGTGCCGTCCACCACCTTCTCCTGCATCTTGTAGTAGATGTTGGTGTTGGCCACGCTGCAGTACAGCTTGCAGCGCTCGTCCAGCGAGCTGCCGCCCAGGTCCCCGGTCACGTACTTGGGCACCCACTTGACGTCGTTGCCCAGCCCGTTGAACTTGGTGCCGTCGTACTGCGCGCACTGCTCCAGGCTGCAAGCGGCACGTCGAGGGTGAGACACTAGAGACACTCGCTGCACAGTGGGCCAAAAGACCGGAGGAGGCGGTTGAAATCCCGGACGCCATTTGAGCTCCTGAGTCGCTAAATTAGATTCGAGCCGAACGTGTGACCCTACCAATGGATTGGTCTTCGAAAGAGGAATCCATTGGTAGGGTCACACGTTTGGTTCAAGTCCTATTTAGCGACTCTGGAGCTCAAAGCACGTCTAGAGTTGTGGCCGCCGGTGCTGGTCTTCTGGCCCACTGAGCGCCGAGGGACTGAAACCGCCGGCAGACTCACCGGAAGTCCCGGCTGCCCGCGGGGCACTCGAACGTGTTGCAGGACTGGTACTTGACGCGCCGGCCCACGCAGTAGCGGCCGCCGTTCTCCGGGGAGGGCGAGTTGCAGTCGCGCGACGACTTCTGCACGCCGCCGCCGCACGTGCGCGAGCAGTCGTCGAACCTGCAGACAAAGAGCGGAGAGTCACTGCCGATTCGCTCAACAGTTGTTGATTGAGAGAGGGGATGACGGGGAGGCTCACCCCTGCCACGGCCCCCAGCCGCCGTCCACTGGCTGCAGCGCCACGCGGTCCCGCGTCACGCACTGGCCGCGCTGGCACCACCGCCGCTCGCCGCACGGCGTGCCGTCCGCCCAGGGCATGTGCTGCGTGCGGCAGCCCTCCTGCTCGCCCACGTCCGTCGTGCACCACAGGCGCGTGCACACCGGCTGCGAAGAAGGAGACAGAGAGACGCGTTAGCTGCCGATACATTCACTCATGAAGCGGCGGCCGCGCCCGGAGCTCACCATGTACGAGCAGATCTTGGAGCCGCGGCCGAACACCAGCTCGCACTGCCGGTCCTCGGTGAAGGCCTCGCCGGGCAGCTTGTTGGCGGCGGGGCTGTCCGCGATGTAGTCCTTGTAGGGTGCGTTGTCAAGGCACTTGCCGTAGCCGCCGCTGCAACAGCGCGAGGCGCGAGGCGTTCAAGAGTCCGTCGTCCGTCGAGGCGGGCAGGACGCCGTGGAGGCGGGCAACCCAACCGGCGGCGTGCTCGGCGTGTTGCCGGCCGCGGGCTGCAAGGCGCTCGGCGCGCCAGGCCCGCCGGCCCCGCCCACCCGGACCAGCCGCACAGTGGGCCAGAAGACCGGTGGAGGCGGCCGAAATTCAATACGCTTTTTGAGCGCAAGAGTCGCTTATCAGTACTAGAACCGAACGTGTGACCCCACTAATGGATTGCTCTCCGAACGAGGAACCCATCGGTGGGGTCACACGTTTAGTTCGAGTCCCATTTAGCGACTCTGGAGCTCAAAACACGTCCGGGATTTTGGCCGCCTGCTCCGGTCTTCCGGCCCACTGTGAGTCGGCCAGCTACTTACTCGAGGAACTCGGTGAGGAAGTGCCGCGAGCAGTTGCTCCAGGACCACGGGTACGTGTTGTGGTCCAGCATGCGCGACATGACGTTGTGCCGCACGGTCTGGCCGTTGAGGGCGCCGCACCGCTGGTCGTCGTCGTGCGGCATGTTGAGTCTGCAAAGTCACTGCAAGGTCACTGCTAGTCGCAGAGCATGCGCCGCCGGCCCGCCTCTAGGGCCGCCGGCAGGGGCGTTAGAGTGGCTAGCGCCGCTACACCTTCCCTTCGCGCGTTCAAAACAAAAGAAAACAAAGAGAGCGCGGAAAAAGTAGTGTCGGTTTGGATGGGCCGTCGGGTCGTTTTACAGCGGCGGTCCGCAATAAACCGGGGCCCTTTGGCGTTACAGCTATGGATACAGCGGCGGGGCGGAGTGCGGCGGAGGGGCGGGGGAGGCGATGACGGCCAGCAGACAGAGCCGGCTAGGCGCCGCGGCCCTCCTAGGCCGGCTGGGCCTTGGGCTGGGCTGCCTGCCCTTGATCCTTGGATCCTTGCAGTGGCCCTGGCCGCCGTGGTGCCGCCGTTGCTGCCGGCCAGGCTGTGGGCCCGCCGCCCCGCCACTAGAAATTAATCGGTATTCCGCGAAACCGCGCGGCGCACCACCCCTACCGGGTCCCGGCACGTGCAGCCACCCCTACCACTACCCCTTGCGGCCCGAGGACCAATAAAACCGCGGCGCGCAGCAAGGATCCCGGGAAGCGCACGAGGAAACGCAGCGCGGTCAGCATCCTGTGGCGGCGGTCTCTGTCGCACTCGTGGGGCGTGCGGTGGGGCCGTGCGTGGGTGCGAGGGAGACAGACCGACGAATCGCTCGGCAGCAGCACCGCGATCAAAGCAGCGGGGGGCAGACTGCAACGTCGGCACATGTGGCGCGCTAGGCGCTACACTGTAGCACGCCGCGCGGAAGGCGAGATGGTAGTACGCCGTGTACACAATCCGCACTCCACACGCCCATTTGTAACGGCCGCGGGGCGCGGCGCGGCGCGGCAGAGGCAGGCGAAGTTCAAGGTCTGCATAGCTTTTTCTTTACCTTGAGCCTCGGGCCTGAGGCCTTCGGACAGACAGGGCCGCGGCCAGGCCGCCCGCTCTCCCCCCCGGCCGGGCCATCCCTAGGCTCCCTAGTGTTGCCAAGAGCCGGCAGGCCGGCCGGCCGGCGCCGGGCCGCGCCCAGCTTCTGCTTTCTGTCGACAACCCGCGGCGGGGCGGGCGGGGCGGGCCCTCTTTGTAGCAAACGCAACGTAATCAAGGCGCCCGCTCCTCTACTTACACGTGGCCGATCTCGTGCGCGATGGTGAAGGCGGCGGACAGCCCGTTGTCCTGGACGATGGCGCAGGACGCGTTCAGGTCGCACATGGTGCCCAGCTCGGCCAGGCCCAGCGTGTCGCACTTGTTCTGCTCGGGGTTGCGGCAGATGTTCTCCCTGCGACAGAGCAAAGCAATGTGGGTCACCGTCTCGAGCGGGGCGGGGCGAGCCGGGCTCTTTTGCATGGCCCTTGCATCGGCCCGCTTCGGCGCGCCGCACTCGGTGCACTTGCAGACAGCGGGACGCGTGCGACGTGACGCCCGAGAGCGCGACGTCGAACCGTCGAACCGGTTCCCGACGACAGGAGCCCCCGCCAGGGCCCACTGAAGACTGATTCCGAGAGTCGTTTCCGGCGCGCTGTCCCTCTCGCACTCATGGGGCGTCCCGTCAGGGCGCGAGAGAGACAGAGCGACGAGAACGACTCTCGGAATCAGTCTGCAGGACCCACAGGGCCCGGCCGCATCAATCGCTAACTGTTTTTCCATACAAAGGCGAGGATATCCACCCATATGGGCAGAGCACGCCTCGCTCGGCGGGCAGGCAGGCAGGCAGGCAGGCAGGCAGCACCGCCGGCTGCAGTGTCACTCGCGGACCGGCCGACAGCCTCGCCGTGCATGTCCCGAACGCGAGGCGGTGTGCGCGAAGGGAACAGCCGGCCGCGGGTAAGTCACTCGACAGTGTCAACAATGCATCTTAAAAACGTTCTCCGGCCGCCGTCGCCGAGCTCGTTACCACCAATGCCACACGCGGCTCGCGGCGCAGGCACGGCGCGGCGGCCGCGTGCCCCCTGCGGGGATGGGACTGGCACACACACACACACACACACAGACACGCACACACACCGAGAAGACAGACAGCGCACGTCCAGCGGCGAGCGGACGGCTCGGCCAGTCAGTCAGAATGTCAAGGCCGGGATCCATTCTAGTCCCGCATTGGGGCTCCCTAGCCGGCCGGCTGACTCCCTGTCGGCCCGCGGCTCGGCCTGAGGCCTGCCTGACCACACGCGCTGTCCGGGCGCCCTGCAAGTCCTGCACCGCGGGGGGCTCCACGGCGACGCGGCGGCGCAGCGCGTGACACTTCCTTATGGCGTGGCCTTCCCCTTCCCCGCGTTGGCGCCGCGCCTGGCACGTCGCCGTCGAGGCGGCCAGAGGGTGGGTTACCTGGTGAGCAGCAGCGCCGTGTCGTGGTCCTGGTGGTAGTGCTCCTTCTGCCACTGGCAGAACCGGCGCAGCATCTCCGCCGCCGAGGTGCCGCGGCCGCCACTGCGCCGCCGGGACTCGGGCACGAAGTCGGGGTCGTCGGACGTGAGCACGACCAGCTTGACCACGGCCACCGTCATCGGGTTGCCGATGGTGGCGTCTTTGTACACCATGGCGACCTGCAACGCAGCCATGGCATCACATTTCCAGCCAACAAAAAAATCAGACCGCCGCTCGTTTCTCTACTCACGATGGACATGAGCGTGAGCACGTAGTTGATGATGTCGCTGCCGTGGTAGTCCGTCATGCGCTTGTCCGTCACCACCATCATCTCCATGGAGTGCGCGCGCTGCGAGCTGCCCTCGTCGTCCTGGTACCGGTTGCTCGTCGAGGACCCCGACGGCACGGACCGGCGGCGGCGGCGCGGCAGCTGGGCGGCGCCGTCGGACGCGTTCACGTGGATGATCTCCAGGCGGGTGAGCGGGCCGAGGCCGGGCGCGGGGCGCTGCATGTCCTCCTCGTCTGGAAGGCAAACAAAAACAACAACAACACGTCAACAACAAACAACGAAAACAACAACAAAAGGCACAATTACTGCAGCGGTGCAACAAAGGGCGCGCCGCGAGATGCAGCGACTCACGCCGCGCCGCCGCGCCGCGTCAACGCGTTGAAAGCTTTCCGCGCGCTCACGGCCGCTAATCCACGCCGCCTGCAGCGCGGCGCAGCGCGGCGCAGCGCTGATTGAATCCTTGGCACCGCAGCAACGACAACAACAACATTTTATTTATCTCCCTCGGCTTCATTCACAATTTTTTCGCCGCCACAAGTCCAGACGGCGGCCCGTGATGCGGTCGGTCCCTCACCCCCAGTCCCGGTGACGGCGACGCGGCGAGGGTTCCCCGGTCCTCATTCCTCCGTCGTCGTGAGTTCGGCGGTCGCGTCGCGTCGCGTCGCGTCCTGAGGCATCCATGCTAATGGCCGGATAATCAGCCCTCTCACCTCGGCTCACCTCCACGCGGCCCCGCCCCGCGGCCCCGCCCCGACGAGACGAGCCCCGGGCGGCCGGCCAAGACGACGTGAAGGACCGCGGCGGGCGGCGGCGGCCGACGGCACGCCGGCACAGACAGATACACAAACAGGACGCGCGCGTGCGTGTGACGCGTGTCACGCCGCGCGGCACGCGGCCTAGTCCAGCGGGACCGAGCGGGACGGGCAGGCCGGGCAGGCCGCGGCCAAGCGTGCAACACGAGTCACCATCACGTTACGTGTCTGCCTGTGCACGGCGCGGCCGGTCGTCCCTTGGTCACACCCCGCGCGCCACGCATGCACGCACTCACACACAAATACACCTGTTCACACGCACGCTCACGCTCAGACACAGCGACACGCCGAACCGTGTCGGAGGCGGAGAAGGAAAATATTCATCATCACACTCACTCACTCGTACGAAGCCGCAACAACAACATTTTCATTTCGTTTCCTATTTTTCACTGGCGTAGGAGTGTGAGTGTGAGTGTGTGTGTGTGTTTTCCCTTCCCATTCCGACTGTCCAGTTCGCGAGGGCCAGGGCCGGGGAAGTAAAGTAGAGGAGGCGAGGGCGTGTCTAGCCAGCGAGCCCTGCAGCAGCCTGGAGGAGCCTGGAGCAGCCTGGAAAGGTGTTGGAGACGCAACAAACAACGGCTAGATATCGCGCTCCAGGCTTCGGGCCTTCACACGTCGGGCAGCATCGCGTGCAGTCCGAGCGGGTCAGAGATCACTGCCCACAGGCCCCGCCCCGCCCCGCCCCGCCCCGCCCCGCCGGAGAGGTGTGAACACACTCCACACAAGCGGCCGCGGCCCGTTCGTTAGAAAGTAATCCCGAGCCGAGGCGACCCGCCCCTCGCCCGATACTCCCGTCATGAGTAGAACATAAACTAGAACATAGAACGCAGGTACAGCATATGTAACACAAGTACCATAGCGACAACCCAACGCTTTCATGACAACTTCCGCACACGATCGCACGCAGATAATTGTTCCGTGCGCAGCTCACTGTCATGCATCCGTCTGTATCTTCCTCACACACACACACACACACACACACACACACACACACACACACACACACACACACACAAAAAAAAAAAAAAAAACACACACGCCATCCGCATCTTCATCAACGCAATGATACGCGCAGCGGAGGTGGGAAAAGACTCGTTTGGCAGCGCCGACAGGTAATGGAGGGCCTGCACACACACACACACACACACACACACACACACACACACACACACACACACACGCACGACGTGCCACATGACCCCTGCACCGCAGCGGCTAATCGTCCGGAGCGCGCTCGCATCCGAAAGCCCCGTCTCGTCTCGTCGCTCGCCGCCACTGCTTCACAGGTACACGTGTAATTGCGAGGAAGACGCCGCACTCACGCAAACAGACACACACACACACACACACACACACGCACGCGGTTTGCCCGCGGGCGGACGGGCCGCTGCACTGGGCGAAGCAGGGCGGCCCGCTCAAATTAATGACGGCCGGCTGCCGCAGGATTAAATCCATTCGTTTATTTTCAGAGGCGGCCGAGGCGGCCCGAGCGGCGCTGCAGTCTTTTCCTCCTGCCAGTCCGCCGCCCTGGCCGCCCTCCACGCGGTCTTCGGTCTTCTCTTCCTCGGCCGCCACGCCGCCGCCGCCTCCTGCGCCCAAATTCCCGTTTCCCGCGCAGTAACTGCGAAGCGACGTGATGCCCCCCCGCTCCCAACCCCCGCCCCGCGCCACTCGCGCCCTTGCTCCAGTTGGCCGCGGCGCCGCCAGATGGAGTCCGTCTTCTTGACCCTCTGACCCTTCAGGCCGGCCCTAGGGCCCAGTGCAGCCCAGAGCAGCCCGGGGTCCTGGACAGCAGGCGGCGGGGCCGCGCGGCGCGCCAGCAGGGGGCCCTTCTCGCCTCTGCAGACTGACTCCGAGAGTCGTTTTCGCCGCCGTCTCTCTTAGGAGAGGGGACGCCCCACGAGTGCGAGAGAGACAGAGCGACGAAAGCGACTCTCGGAATGAGTCTGCACGGGCCCTCGGAGTGGCCCTCGGAGGGGCCCAGCCGGCAGCCGGCCCAGCGAGGGGCGCCGTCAGGGAGTGTGGGAGGATATGTAGAGCAGACGCGCAGCTGCACTCCGTCGCGCCCCTTGAACGCGCCCGCCCCTTCGGACACACACACACACACACACGCACCGCACACACACACGCACACACGCACACACACACACACACAAAACCACACTGCGATGAGACGCCAGGTGGCGGCGGGCGGACCGGAGCGCCGAGCGCCTGCCATGCGCGGCGTAGGCCACCCGCCGCACGCCGCCGGCGCGCGGGACGATGGCGCGCCGCGTCGCCGCCACGGTGAGCATGAACACGACGCTCGCGGCGGTCCCTAACGAGCACGCTCGGGCGAGACGGCCGCGTGACAGCCAGCGTGACGGCTGGCGTGACGGCTGGCGTGACGGCTGGCGTGACGCGCGGCGAGACTGGATGAGGCGGTCCGTCACATTAGCCAAACAGCGTGAAAATCGATTACTCTGGAAGTATAGCCGCGGGTGGGCCGTCTGCCGGTCCATCTGCCGGTCCGTCTGCCTGACTGTCTGTCCGTTCGGCGCGTCCCTCGCGGGTCCGCGACGTCCTTGACGGACGGCCGCGCGGAAACTAGAACAGCAGCGCGGCGTGCAACGACAGACAAGTGGACCTTCGGCCCGGCGGCCAAGCAGTGCCAAATGCAAGTGCGGACGGCGCCAAGCACGCCAAGCACGCCAAGCACCGACCGCGGCGGTGCCGGCGATGCAGCAGCGCGTCGACAGGCCGATGACGGGGCCGCGGGGCCGACGGACCGCGGAACCACTCTGGGGTGGCGAAGAATGGAGCGTTACAGCGTCTCGTGCGGACTGAAACCAGCGCGACGCTTTTCCCGTCAGACTCAACAGACTTCCGCAGTGCATGGATCACGGTGACTCCCCCCCCCCCCCAATCGGGGGTCATTCCCTCTCCGCTCTTTCGGTCGGCCGCTCCGCCAACGGCGAGGCAAACGGCGCTCCATCGGCCTATTGGCGCCGCGCTGACTCGCTGACACGCGGGCCATCCGTCTTACGGTGTGGCGGCCGGCGGACCATACGCCGAGTGTAGTGACCACCATTAACCTCCCCTCCCCCCTTTCGATCGGTTACGTGATTCGTGCACAGCCTCCGCTGCCGCCTGGCGGCGTCACGCGTAAATTGCATTAACATTACTCAGTGTCGTCGCTCCCCCCGAAGTACGTCATGGTGGCGGTCGGCAGCGCTTTAAGTGCGACGTTCTTTTCTTCTTCTTCTCTTCCTCGCTTTTACTTTCGTTCGGCAAAAATACGGCCTCCTCCTCCCAACCCGAGTGCGCCAGGCTGCTGCTGCGTGCAGTTCGGCGGCGCCTCTTTCTTCATTTCCTGCGCGCAGAGCGCAAATTTCCGAGATTCGACCACTTTTTGACCAACTTGGTCTGAAAATCGTTGCGGTCAAAGCCAAAATCGTTGTGGTCAACGTCTTCCCGATACAGGGTATGAAAGAGTAGGGTCTTAAGAATACTAGGACGTCGAGGGTGGCCTTTTACGGCGACTAGATTGGACACAGTGGCCACCCAAAGTCAGCAAAATCAGCAAATTACCGAGATTCGACCACTTTTTGACCAACTTGGTCGGAAAATCGTTGCGGTCAAAGCCAAAATCGTTGTGGTCAACGTCTTCCCGATACAGGGCATGAAAGAGTAGGGTCTTAAGGATTCTAGGGCGTCGAGGTAGGCCGTTGGCCGCAACTAGATCGGACGCAGAGGCCGCCCAAAATCAGCGAAAACGGCTACTTTCGGAGATTCAGTCACTCTTTGACCAACTTTGTGACGTTACTGGTCCCAAACCCGAAGGCCCCGGCAGATTTTTCTGCCTGTCTGCCCTGGCCAGCCCGAGCCTGCGGGCGGGGTGGGGCGGGGCGTGGCGGGGTGGGACGGGGCGACCACGTCGTAAAACCCGTTGTTGGCAGCGACATTTCGTCTATGAATGCCAATCGCGCCATCGCGCTGCGTGCACGTCGCCCCGCCGACAGCCAACACGCAAACATGGCCAAAGTTGTTTGCTCTCCGCTCCTCTCCGCCGGGGACTTACCGTCCACCACGCCGCAGTGGTGGGTGGGCTGCTCGGAGAGGTTCTCCGGGTGCGGCGGCGCGGCCAGGCGGTAGATGATGTGGCGCGGGCCCTGCGCGTCGGGCCCGTCGGACCGCTCGTCCTCGGCGACCTGCTCCACGGGCTCGATGAAGAAGCTGCCCTGCGAGGTGCGGATGTGGCCGCGCTGAAATCACAAATCACACCGGCAGGTGGCGTAAATACGGCTGGCAAAACAGCGCCGGCAAAACAGTGCAGGGCCTCGGCAGACCGATCGCTCTTTCTCTCTCGCACCTGTAGGGGACGGCCTGTGCGTGCGAGGGAGACAGAGCGACGAAAACGACTCTCGGAATCGGTCTGCAGGGGCGGCCAAGGCGGCCAGGAGGCAACCGGGAAGGAGGAAGGAGGTCGCGTCCGACTGGTTCAAACTTCAAACAGCCGCAGTAAACGGCGGGACGGGGCGCCAGGGCGGCCCGGGGCCCGGGGGCGTCTGCCTGCGTCTGCCAGCACCACTACACTGCCGGCTGGCGGAATGTCCGTGTATTTATTGGCCTGAGGTCGCCGTCCCGAGAGTGCCCTGTCCACGCCGTGTCGCTGGTCCGCTTATCGGCGCCTGCAGTGCAGACTGATTCCCAGAGTCGTTTTCGTCGCTCTGTCTCTCTCGCACCAATAGGGAATGCCTCGAGAGTGCGAGAGAGACAGAGTGACGAAGACGACTCTCGGAATCAGTCTGCTGGGGTGCGAGGGAAAGGGACGCGGCACGCGCCACGCCCCGTGTCGCACTCCAGTGGAGTGACTTCACCCCACCCCGCCCGGAAGACGCGGCGACGCGGCGACGCGGTACCGGACGTGTCGTCGTAGACGAACAGCGAACACGGCGATGGCGTTGTCGAACCGCGCGGCGGCCGAGACCGCGAGACGCGAGACACGCGCGCCGCTCGCTGAGTCACCGCGCCGGGGAGCCCCTTCGCGCTGCCCGGCCTGCCCGGCCTGCCCGGCCACGGGGGGAGAGGCCGGGGCGGGAGGGGGCTGCGGCGGGGCTGCGTTGCGTCCTGTGACATAAGGCGGCGGAACAGTGTACAGTACGCACCTGCACTGACTGTACAGTGTACTCCACACCGCGAACCGCGGCGCAGCAAACAGTGCGGACAACAAGAGCCCCTCATTCAAGAAGACGAACTCGGTTCCGCTGCGTCGCCACGCCGCCAAGACACACACGCACGCACGCACACACACATGACCGCCCCCTCCCCTTTCCCGAACGGTGCACTGGGACATGCTAATCAATCTGGCGTGCAGTATCATAAATGAGGACCGGACCGCGCACGCTACACCGTAGATCCGCCGCGTGTGTGGCATCGTCGCGGGGCTTGGCTCTTGGATTCGGCGGCCAGTGCGGCTTGGCGGCAGAGAGTCGTCTCCGTCGCTCTGTCTCTCTCGCACTCATGGGGCGTTCTTTTGAGAGCGAGGGAGACCGACTCTCGGAATCAGCTTGCAGTGGGGCTTGGCGGCGACGACGCCCCCCTCAACGGGACCCCCCGCGACGAGGACCGCGGCGAGGACATCATCGGGGACATCGACGGGGACCACGACGAGGACCGCGACGAGGAGGACTGTCCGCGTCGTGGAGCAGGCGAGCACGGCGGCGAGGCGGCGCGTGGCGACAGGGGCGTAATCAATGACAGCATGTCGCCGGGCTCATTATAATGTAGCGACTCGATAACGCGGTGCTAATTAATAACAATGACAGGGTGGCCGTGCTGAAGGGCATCGCGCCCGGCCCGGACCAAAGGCCGTTATTGAAAACAAGGGCCCTGGTTATCGCTGGACCGAGGCAGGCAGGCAAATGCCGGTTCCGTTGAACCTGAGCCAGCGGCGCAGCGGGCGCCTCAACCTCAAGCCTGCTCAAGCGGCTCAGGCCCGGCCGGCCACGCCCTGCGACAATGTTGCCATGGCTACCACCACACCGCCAGAAAGCCCATGTCCACAAGCCGAAGGGGAAACCAGACGAAACGGAACGGAACGGCGAGGGCCATCGAGACGTCGCGTCGCGTCGCGTCGCGGGGAGGCGGCGGTGGAGGCCGCGGCCGAGACAGCCTCCCTCCGACCGTTCCGACTCGGCGGCCAGGACGCGACGCGACGCGGTGCCGCAGAGGGTCGCCGCCCCGCCGCCCTGCAGACTGATCCCGAGAGTCCTCTTCGTCGCTCTGTCTCTCTCGCACCTAGACGGGACGCCCCATGAGTGCGAGAGAGAGACACAACGACGAAAACGGCCCTCGGAAATCAGTCTACACGCCACTTCGGCAGAGGGAGGGACGCCGCAGAATTATGACGAACATGACAGCAGTGACAAGCGACAAGGAATCCAAATTTTCGAAACAGACTCCAACGTTTGCAAAAAGGCGCACGGCACTGGTAGAGAAAAGAAGTCGCGGCAAAGTGTGAAGAACCCGAGTAAACCCCAAGAAACCCAGAACCTGCAGCCGCCGCCGGGCCGCCAAGAGACACGGCTTCAGGGTTTCAGCGGCCGCATCCACCACACCCTACACCGCACCGGCCGCACCGCGACGAGAGGGGCTTCCACTTGACTTTACGGGCGCATTAACGCGCCAGATTCGGGTCACCGCAGCCATCACGCGGGGAGTCGCTCTCGTCGGCTGTCACTCCCAACTGCAAAAGTTGGTCCCCGTCGACGGATTCCGAGAGTCGTTTTCGTCGCACTGTCTGTCTCCCTCGCACCTGTACGCGGGACGCGCCAGGGGGTGCGAGAGAGAGACAGAGCGACGACTCTCGGCATCAGTCTGCGGGGGGAAAGAAGACGGCCGCATCCTCGGCGAAATGCGCGCATTTTTCGACCCCCGCTCCGCCGCGCCACCCCGCGCACCGCGACGCGCACCGCGCAGGCCGTCGTCGAGGCCTCGCGGAGCAGAGAGAGTAATCGCAGACATAAACGGCCATAAAGAGACGCCGCGACGCCAGCCCGCGCCAGCCGGGGGAACGACTCCATTCGCCGTCACTGCAACTGGAGAAACACACACACACACACACAGCGGGAAAGGCCGGCGATATCTGTGATCTGCGCTCGTTTTTCGACGCGAAACGACGGCGAGGACACGGCGACAGACGATAATACGCGCGGGACGGACGCGCGGGGTCGCGGCGGGTAAGGAGGTAATTTAGCGCAATGTGTGAATTCATTCCGAACAAGATTGCCCACGCGTTTCGGTCGGGCCGTCGCGCGGCGGTCACTTTGGCCGATAACGAGACGAGCACATGTTTCGGGATCGAACGCCAACGAGGAGAAGAAGGAGAAGGAGCTGGAGGTGGACCGAATGAGGTGGTGGTTCCGAAGAAAATAAACGTTGCAGTGACTGTGCGGTTGCTGAGTAATGAATGACATTCTCACACACGCACACACACACACGCGCGCGCGCAGGGACGCATGATTAGATAGGATATGTTTATTCAGATTCGGAGAGGTTTAGAATTGGTGATAAGGCCCAGCAGGACAGGTGAGACGTCTTCCTCCTGGCACGGCTCCTACAGACACACCGCGCCCCGCCGCGCCCCGCCGCGCCCCGCCGCGCCCCGCCGCGCCCCGCCGCGCCCCGCCGCGCCCCGCTGCGCCGCGACGCACTTTGGCTCTCGAGAAGGTGGCGAAACGGCGGGGATTACAGAGAAATACTGCCCATTCCTCATCGCCTCCCCGAGAGAAAAAAAATAAAGCAGACCGTTCGTCTGCGGCCTACCCTGACAAAAGTAAAAAAATTAGAAGAAACTTTTTTTTTTGCAAAGTTTGGTCAACTTGGTCGGATTTGCGAGCGCTGCCGCGCTGACGCCGACACGCGAGGAGGCCTGACGCAAGCGCGGAGCTTTGCGGCCCTTATTGTGTTTACCTTCGTGTTCATTGCGCTTTCGAACGCGGCGGCCGCGGCGATACGACGCGGCAGTATAGCTCACGGGGCACGCGGCACACCGACGAACCACGAACAACGCGCTGCGCGCACGCAACTCGTAAACGCATGATTACTGTATCTCCGTCGGACAGACGGACGGACTCGATGAGCGAACGACTCCATGACTCAATGACCGAACGCATTCGCTGAACGGCCGCACGGCGCTGCACTGCAGGGCGCTGCACTGCACGGGCATCGCTCTGTCCCTCGCAGTCACGGGGCGTCGCGTAAAGGAGCGAGCGAGAGAGACAGCGACGAAAACGCCTCTCGGAATCAGTCTTCTGACCTCACGGCGCGGCTCCACGACTGGACTGCCGCGTCCGCTCCGCGCTCCGCCATTCGGCGCCCCTTAAAGCGTTCACGTCTTACAGCCCGTAGAGCACGGCCAGCAGCGCAGCACGGCGCGTCAGAAAAAGCACTCCTTTCTTTGATCCCGGCACTCCATTTGGGTTATTCGCCCGATTTAAAGTGACCGCGCGGCCCGGCTAATGGGTCCAACAAGCGCCTCAGCCCCGCCCCGCCCCGCCCCGCCCCGCCCCGCCCCGCCCCGCCCCGCCCCGCCCCGCTCGACCCCGCCCCGCCCACGCCCCGCCACGCCCCGCCACGCATTGCCGGCGACATTGTCTCGCACGTGGCCCACGTGGCAGCACGCCAGCGCGGTGCCAACGGCCAAAAAACCGGGGCAAATATGTCCCAACTTTAACGGTGTGCACGGCACGCCGTGGCGGTGGCGCATCCCGCGCTGAGCGTCGAGCGGCAAACGGCGAGGCGCGGCGTAAGTTTCGGCGTTTTGGCGGAAGCGGAGCAAGAGGGGCCAGCGAGGCCAGCGAGGCTAGCGAATAGGCAGTGCAGCAGCCGGTAGCGCGGCCGGCGCCGAAACACCAGCGGGCTAGCGAATAGGCAGCGACCAGAAATAGGCGGGATTCGCGAGCTTGCTCCTGTTGCCGAGCGGAGGGCGGCGACGGCGGCGGCCGCGCGGGGGAAGACCAGGACCGGCCGCGCCCGGCCGCACAGTGGGCCAGAAGACCGGCGCAGGCGGCCACAACTCCAGAGGCCTTTTGAGCTCCAGAGTCGCTAAACAGGACGAGAACCGAGCGTGTGACCCCACGAATGGGTGCCTCGTTCGGAGAGCAATCCATTGGTGGGGTCACACGCCCCGTTCGAGTCCTGCTTAGCGACTCTGGAGCTCAAAACGCGTCTCGAGTTTTGGCCGCCTCCACCGGTCTTCTGGCCCACTGTGGCCCGTCAGCGCGGCAGCGCAGTCACCTTTGGCGCCGGGACGCGACGGGGCGTTGCGACGGGGCGTTGCGACGGGGCGTTGCGACGGGGTCGGCGCTGGCCGAGCCGCGGGCTATAAATTCGATTCAACTCGCCTGCCTTTGCCTTTCGACTCGCTGCGTCTCGATACGACAAACAGGCCGATAAGTCTTCATAAACGGCTGCGGGCCCCGCGGTGCGGTGCGGGGGTGGTGGCGTGGCGGTGGTGGTGGGGGGGTGCATTGCCTCCGCGCGGTCCTCGCCAAGACCACGCCGTTTGTCCGCCGCGGTACCGTGGCGCCCTGACGATACTATACTCGATGGCAACGAAAGTGAAGGTCTTCGCGCCCCAGGCACATGCCAGGCCACACGCGCCCAGACGTGCCGTACAGTGTCACGGAAATTTAACCTCCGCTGAACTAGTTACAACGCCCACACATACAGGCACGCACACATACACACAAGCGACGCAGAATGCGGTAAGAACCGCCCCTGAGGGGCCTCTGAGGGAGAGAGGGGGAATCTGGAGGGGCTACCGCCCCGGCCTCTCGGCCTCGGCAGCCTCACCCAGCCGCACAGACTCTCTTACATCATCCAACAGGTCAAACACCTTGTTGGCTATTTTTGCGCGGCCCTGTGCTCCACGCTCCACGCCCCGGCCGCCGCCTCGGATACACCACCACACTGCAGGGGCTTTACCGGGCTCTGCCGCAGGGCCTGTAGGGCGGCACCTTGATGCACAGTGGGCTAGACGGCCGGTGGAGGCGGTCTAAATCCCGGAAGCGTCTTGAGGTCCAGAGTCGCTAAATGGAACTCGAACCGAACGTGTGATTCCACCAATGGATTGCTCTCTTAACGAGGAATCGATTGGTGGGGTCACACGTTCGGTTCTAGGCCCGTTCAGCGACTCTGGAGCTCGAAACGCATCTAAGTCTTTTGACCAGCTGGGCCGTTCTTCCGGCCCACTGTGACGGGGGCCGAGCTGGGCCTGCACTGCCACGCGGCGGCCCGGCCCGCTCAAAGACTCCCTCGAGAACCCCCTCGCCAATTACACGACGACTGCACTTTGGCACACACGCAGAATGCAACATCGCCAGAGACGCGAGCCGCGCCAGCGTGTCCTGCGGCCCGCCGCCGCCGCGGCCCATGAATGCCGTCTTTCATACGCGCGGCCCCGCCCCGCCCCGCCCCGCCCCGCCCCGCGGCCAAGTTCATGCCGGGCCGGAGAAAGCAGGCGAAAAACGTAAACAGAAGGGATGCGCGCGGGATGGTCTGGTCGGCACACTTCCCACCCCTCCCCGCACCCTTCAGGTGGACGAGGAAGTCCACTACTCGGACCAGCAGGCTGATTCCGAGAGTCGTGCGTTCGTCGCTCTGTCTCTCTCGCACCCAAACGGGACGCGCCATAAATGCGAGAGAGACAGAGCGACGAAAACGACTCTCGGAATCAGTCTGCTGCTCGCCGACGGGGTCCTCGCCACCGCGGAGCCAAGGCCGGCCGCCCGGCGAAACTGAAGGCGGCGGCGGTCTCTAGTGCCTCTAGCCGGACGGGACGGGGCGGGGCGGGGCGGGGCGGGGCGGCGGAACGACGCGGGCCCCGCATTGGAGAGGATTGTCTCTAAGCGGCTCAGCGCGACACGCGATCCACTGCAGCAGGAAGGATCCGCGAGGCCGAGCACGCCGTCGACGCCGTCGACACGGCGGAATACCTCGGGTCCTTTGGAGAAAGAAAAGACAAGAACAGCGGTGCTGCGGCGCGGTGCACGCGTGACGGACGGACAGACAGACGGGCAGGAACGCGTCAGTCCCGAACTGCAAGAAAACATAAAACGACTGTTCGGCGTTTGGCGGCGTTTGGCGGCGGAAGGCGATCGTCGTCGTCGCCAAGGTCACGCGCGGCCACTATGTTATGGCAGAAAGTTTGCGCAAGTCCCGCCGCCGCCCGGCTATTTCCCACTTTTATATTCGCGGCGAAAAGGAAGAAAACGCGCGAGAAAGGGCGTGGCAGCGTGGAGAGGGGAGGGGGGGAGAGGGAGTCTGGCGGGCCGGCGTATGTGAGTGTGCGTGTGTGTGTACGGTTTGGCGAATCTTTTTCGCACGTCGCGGAGAGTGGAGTACTAGGGCCGGCTTGGGCTGGCCCGGTCTATTCTGGTGGCCCTACAGCAATGTCTGACGCTAAGCAGAACACACAACGCGAGGGTCCCGGGGCCGGGGCCGGGGCCGGGCGGGGCGGGGCAAGGGTGCACGCCGTTGTGCGTTGAGCCTCGCAGCATTTTGACTTCCGTGTACTTTGAGGAAGGGCCCCGGCCGTGGCGAAAAGGCAGGCCCTAGAGCGCGTCGCAGAGCAACGCCAGACGGGGCTGGCTAGACGGGGTTGTCGCCGACGGCGCCATCCCGCACAGTGGACGCATTGGACACGGCGAGTTAGCCGCGATGGGATGGCATGGCCGGGCACGGCCGTCGGGCGAAGGGTGGCCGCGTGGACGCGGAGGCAGCAAGCAGCCAGTCGACCGCCGGCCCCAAGATCAGACTGACTGACCGTGTGGCGGCGGGGCGGGGCGGGGCAGGGCGCGGCAGGGCGGGGCGGCGTCTGCAGAAATAGACGCACAAAATGCTCCTCGGCGGTCAGGGCGGGGCGGGGCGGGGCGGGGCGGCTGGGGGGAGGGGGCGGCGGAAAGCGGTACGCCTTCCTTATTGCCCGAGGCGGAGGGGAAAAAAATCTCGCGGATCCGCCCGATCTGATTCTCACACTCCGCAAGGGACTGCGAGGCAGTGCACTGCGAGGGGAGCCCCGCACCGCCGAGTGGCGAGTACTGCCGAGTACGGCAGTACGGCACCGCAGGCCGATGCAGTGCGCTGCGCTGCAGCTGGACGTAAACAAAGGGGCTTAAATTGACTGCAGGGACGTCCAGACGGCCGCGGCGCCCCGCCCCGCCCCGCCCTACGTCTGGAAATGCAAAGGGAGTCAGTGACCCTCCCCAGTCCGACGCGCCAAACGGCGCGGAAGGAAACTTTCAGTGGGGTGGCAGTGGCGGCGCAGGGGGAGCTGCGTGCCTGGACCGAACGGCCACGCGTTTTATTCACTTATCCATCCATTCATTTGCTACGTTTTTGGCAGTGCACACGCTGCGAGTGCACTCACCATGCCGTGGCAGAGGTTGACGGCGACGGCCGACTTGTCGTCGCCGCGGAGGCGTCCCGTGTAGAAGCACCGCGACGAGCGCTGCGAGGCGGGGGCTGCGCTGAGTCGAGTTGTGGGCCATGTGGGTCACCTGAAAAACATGAAGTGATTTCAAGACAATGTCCGGCACGGTTTTACGACTGAGATTACACGCCGCGGACGCGAGCTGAATTCCTCTTAATTGAATTCCAAAGGTTTTCGCGCCTTTATCGTCATTCATAAAACTTGACTTTTTCTCTCTCTCGCACTCGCATACACTAATATACGGGCAGTGTGCTTAGAATGTGTGCGCTACTGTACCGCTGCCAAACCGAGATAGAACGTCCCGGCAGTAACCCACACACGCACACACACACACACACGAGGAAAATAAAATGGCAATCGTCGAAAGGCATTTGAACTCATAAAAGCTTTAATCAGGCCTCGCGATCGTCCGTCTATGATGAGCGACACACACACACACACTGACCAGCATGTTGGGGTCGACGAAGCTGGCGTCGTGAGCGAGTTGGAGTCGGAAGGAGATGCCGAAGGCCGTGAAGGCGTACTGCGGGTGCGGGTCCCACAAGTCGGCCTGCATGTGCCTGAAGTGCCCCGTCGGCCGCAGCGGGGGCGATCCTGCAACACAAGTGTCATCCGTTACTTCGGGGCTGTTTCACCTTCTCACACTGTCACTACACTGTCACGCCGCCCCGGCTAAGTGCGCGCGTGCTGCCAGCGTTTCACCTGCAGACTGGGAGTCGTTCCCTCTCGCTGTCTCTCTCGCTCCCTTACGGGGCGCCCCGTGAGTGCGAGGGAGACAGAGAGAGCCGCCGCTCCGGCGCTCCCGTTACCCGCAGGACGGAGGACCGGGAGGACGACAAGCTTAAAAGGTCGTCCGTCAGCGCGAGCGGAGAGCGCGGCAGCGCAGCATCCGTCAGTGACATTATTCGTCACGAGCGGCCGAGCCATTTCGTCGCTCCGTCTCTGTCGCACTCACGGGGCTCTCGCTGCGAGGGTGCGAGAGAGACAGAGCGACAATCGCTCGGCCGGCAGAGGACGCGCCCGGCCAAACAAAAACACAGACGGAGCCTTCCTCTGGCACATTCAAATGCGGGGAATGTGTGAAACGGATTCCGAGGTGGCGACGCACCCGACGGCCCGACGGACGGACCACCCCGAACCGAAGCGCGTCCAAACGCTGCAGGCTGAATCGTTTCCATCGCTGTCTCTCCCGCGCCCATACGGGACGCCCCATGGGTGCGAGAGAGACAGAGCGACGAGAACGACTCTCGGAATCAGTCTGCTGCTAAAGCATGGCTAAAGGGATCCCGCGAGGCGCGCGGAATTGGCGCGGCCTCTCCGCCTCGCCTCGGCCATTGTGTTGTCCGGCCTGGTGCACTTAAGGCCCTCCACGCCGTGCCCGCCATGCCCGCCATGCCCTAGCCCAAGTGCGTGCCCCGATAATGGGGAACCGCCGGGGCATTGGCGGGGCTCGAACCACCGATCTCACCCTTTAGACTTTACAGCGCGACACGAGACAGTGCTTAAGTTTACGAGTCGATAAGGGGACACGAGCCTTCGGTCCAGGTGTCCGTCACTCTCAGTGTCCACGCCCCCCCCTCTCTCTCTCTCTCTCTCTCTCTCTCTCTCCTCTCTCTCTCTCTCTCTCTCCCTCTCTCTCGCACACGGACCTGTGGTCGGGGCGCCGCCGCTGAGGACGTCCCGCTCGTCCGCGGCCGGCGGCGACACCTTCACGGGCTGGACGTACTCCACCAGGGAGGGCTGCACCGTCGACGGCATGCCTGCAACACGAAACAACACACCACATGACAACCAGGAACCCGCCGAACCTCTCCCTTTCACACTCACTTCACCTCCACGGGCGTTCCTGGCGGTAGGGAGCGCCTGCCGCCGTGCCTGGCTGGCTGCCTGCCTGGCCGTAAACAACAGCTTAATTGGCACATGCCTTTCTCGCCGCGGGGCGGTAAGGGGCGGTGCGGCGGTACGCGATGGGACAGTTCGCCTCGCGGCACTCGCCGGCCGGCCGCGGCCCCACAGGTGTGAAAAGGCTCCTACACTGGCAGTAAAGGGCCGCGCCTCTCTGTCCCAAGACGCACCGCCGCAACCAGGTTGTTGGGTTCGTTTCCCTGCTTGGCCTGCTTGCCCCAAACGCCCCGACGGCAGCACCCTTGCAGTGCTGACGCGGCCCCCCTCCCCCCCCCCCTCCTCGCGCGCGGTCAACGAACGCCCTAGCGAACGCCACGCCGCCAAACGCCAAATCGACGACTGTCACACACTTTAATTTGGTGTCGCTCCAGAGAAACGCGTAGTGCTAATAGAATGCGGGCGACGACGGGCCGCTGTCCCGCCTGAAGGCTCCTTTCGTCGCTCTGTCTCTCTCGCACTTACGGGGCGACTCCATGAGTGCGAGAGAGACAGAGCGATGGAAACGATCCTTGGGAAGTAGGCGGTTGATGCCGGGGGCCGGGAAGGGCCGGGAACCACCAGACGACTAATTGACTAAGACGAGCAGACGGGCAGGGAAAAGGGCGGCAGTGCACTGCCATGGCACTGTGCAGTGGCGGAGCGGCAGTGAGTGGCACTTTGTGGAGGAGCCACATGCAGCGGGGGCACTCCATCATTCCAAAAAAACAACAACAAAAAGCAACAACTAAATAACAGAAACACTGCTGCTGCCAGCCAGATAGAACTCGGAGAAAAATCCAGTAAACCTCGCATTGCTGACAACAATCCACATATACACTTTATTTATCGTCCTATATCATTTTCTGTTCCGAATCGACCGTGAGAAAAGAGTGGTGCACGAGGCGGCGCATCCGTGGCGCCGGGGTGCAATCCGACGTCGGTGCAGCATTGGGGGGGGGGGGGGGGGTGATGGGACAACGGCGGCCACGTGATGAAGGTCCACAATAAGCCCCTCGTGCAATGGAGGGAGCAATCGAGACGCCTTGGTGGACCAGCGGGCTGGCTGCGGACAGTGTTTTCGTCGCGCTGTCTCTCTCGCACCCGTTTGGTGAGAGTTAGAGAGAGAGAGAGAGAGAGAGAGAGAGAGAGAGAGAGAGAGAGAGAGAGAGAGAGAGAGAGAGAGAGAGAGAGAGAGAGAGAGAGAGAGAGAGAGAGACGAATCACCCCTCCGCTCGTCAAGGTCCTCCTCACGAAGCTCACGCGTGAATTTCACCAGGAAAAATAAATAATGAGCCAGTTCTGAGATAATTTCCTATCCACGACACTGCCTCCTCTAGCTGGCTCCTGGCTCGCCGTGGGTTATCGGTGTCCTGGCGGGGCGGGACGGGACAGGTTGGTCCGGGCTGCTGTCTGGAGGCGCGCTGGAAGCACGCTGGAGGCTGTGGGAACGTCATAAAGTACCTCTCGGCGACTGCGCGACCACGGCGCGTCCAAACTCCAGGAAAACAGCTTTCCTCCACGTGCCATCCATCTTCGAAAATTAACCGCGGAATCGCGTCGTCGTCGCGCGACCACCGACCATTCCCCGGCCCGGGTTCGAACACTACTCCGGACGCCAAAAAGTTGCTTTATAGTCATTGTCTTTCGGGTGTATTAATTTCGGACCCGGGACACCAGTTGCCCCGACGTGACTGCCTCTTGCTTGGCCGCGGTTCGACTCCCGGCGGCGGCGCACCGTTTTTCGGACGGCAGTCGCTGCGTCGCCGCGTCGCCGCTCGCTCTTGCAGTGGGTCAGCGCGCTCCTTCCTCTGCCTTCACTCTCGACCGCATTCGGCCGCATTGTGGCCATCAAGGACGGCCGGACACGTAAAAGGAGAGCCGCGGAGGCAAAAAGCCGCGCACCGGTCTGTCTGTCTGTCCGTCCGTCCGTTCGCCCGCTCGGCACCGAGGCGCAGGCAGCAGCCCTTTACGATATGGGACTTGAAAATGATTCAAAGCCAGAGCCGCGGAGAGTTAATTAGGGAAGCCACCCGAAATAAACCCCCAGCCAGTCGCTCTGTCTCTGTCGCACCCCTAACGGCACGCCCCGCGAGTGCGAGAGAGACAGCGTTCGGAAGCAGCCCGCTGCGGCACCGCGCGTACCCGCCTGTCAGACCGCGGAGGCACACAGGCACGCCGGCACGCCCTGGGGCACGCCCTGCGGCACGCCCTCGCCGTCAACCTCGAGTACGCCATACGCCAGTACACCGCGGCCGAGGGCTGGCGTGGGAGGCTCGGCCCGCGGCCTTGGTGAGGGCCTTGGTGAGGGCCTTGGTGAGGGCCTTGGCGAGGGCCTTGGTGAGGGCCTTGGTGAGGGCCTTGGCGAGGGCCTTGGTGAGGGCCTTGGTGAGGGCCTTGGTGAGGGCCTTGGTGAGGGCCTTGGAGAGAGCCTTGGCGATGGCCTTGGCCCGCGGGAAGGTCCACGTCGACGGCTTCGTCCTCGCCATACGCGGCCAGGCAGGTCCGTTTCGCCCCGCGCGAGGACGGCCCGCGAGTGCGACAGAGACGGAGCGACGGCGCTGTTCGGAGTCAGCGCTGCGAGGCGGCTGGCTAACTAGACAGTTGACAACCGCATCGGCATCGCCGCGGAGCCCAGTCAAGCGAAGCGAGTATGCGTGTTTGATTAGCCCGTTCGTATTAAAGCCCCGCGACCACCGGCACGGCGAGCACGGCGAGCACGGCGACGACGACCGCCATGCGAATCGGCTCATTAGCGGCGTCCTTGACGGGGTGCTGGTGGCCGTTGGCGTCCGCGCACCGCGCACCGCGCACGCAAATTGCGTTAACCGATCGCTGCTCGTTTTCGTTTCCTTGACGCCGTGGTCGCCGGCCGCCCGGACACGTCTCTGTTGGTGGCCACAACTGTCTTCGAAAATGCACTCGGGTGTACGAAATGCTCTCGGGTGGAAGAAACGCTCTTGACGGAAAAATGCTCTTGCCCGTCCAAGAACAAGAAGCGCCCGTCTTTTTCCGCGGTGTGGGAAACGCGGCAACGCGCCGCCTCCCGTTGACGTGCAGTGCAGGCCGTGCAGGCCCTGGCGGGGCGGGGCGGGCAGGTCTGCCTCTGCCAGGCTCGTTGCTCTCTGACCCCTCGCCGCGGCACCAGCACCACCAGCACCGCGTTTCAGGATCGCGCGGCGACGCCCACCTCATCTCGGCGCGCTGGCGGTGCCGGCGGCGCGGCCAGGACGATATGCAATCTGAGGGACTCGGCCGCCCCGCCCCGCCCCGCCCCGCCCCGTGCACGTGCGGCACGGCGGGCACGTGCCTCCGCGCTGCACTCCGTGCATGCACGGCGGAAAAGTGCACGCGGCGCGCCTCGGCATTCGAAGCCAACGCCAGAGCCCGGTCGGCCCCGTCCACCCAGTCCACCCAGTCCGCCAGCTGCACGTCGGCGCGCGTCGTCCGCGCCAACGAGGCCGCGTCGCTTCCGCCCCTTCGTCAAACAAACCCTTTCGCCGAGGGCGGGGCGGGGCAGGGCGGGGCGGGGTGGCTTCGCGGACGGCGCCCAGCTGGAGGCGCGCGCGCGGGACGGATGGCTTGTTTGAAAAACACGCCGCGGCCTTTTGTGCTTTTGGGATCGTCGACGCGGAAAAGGGGCGTTTATTTACGACGCGCTAACTCGGCACCCCGCACCCCGCCACGCGGCGAGCAGGTAATTAGGAGACACTGCGAAAAACGGAAAAAGTGTTTTCACAGCGTACAGTGCCGGTGAGATCCCCAACGCCTCTTTACGGCCGACTTGCAGATGGCAAAAGGCTAAATTTAACTAACAGCGAGTCTCTGCGCCCTGCCCGGCCTGCCCGCCCCGCCCGGCCCCGCCCTCCTCACAGCCTTCTCGCGGCAAGGCTCGGCCCGGTGCGGCCGCGGTGCGCAAGTTCCACGCGGCAAAAAATAAAAACAAAAACAAGCGTCCACACGTATTTGAACCCGCGGGTTGAGCAACGTGTCTTGATGCGCCTGCCGAACATGAAGACCTTGTCCAGGCAGGCCGCGCCGGGCCGCCAGGCCGACGACGACGGGTTGCAAGAGTTGCAGAGACTTCACCTCCTTCTAATCCAAGGCAGGGCTGACCCGCGGGCCGCGACGCTCTAGGCAAAGCCCGGACCGGCAGGCTGATGCCGAGAGTCGTTTTCGTCGCTCTGTCTCCCTCGCACCTATGCGGGACGCCCCAGGAGTGCGAGAGAGACAGAGCGACGAAAACGACCCTCGGAAGGCCTCACCTGTTCACTGCACACGCCTTGCGTAAGCCAAATAAAAAGCCGGACATTAATCTCCCCGCTGATGTGAGAGAGACAGAGAGAGAATGACAAAAAAGAATAAGAAGAGAGAGAAACATAACGAAAACCGACGGAGCCACTGCCCGCTGTCTCACAAAGGTCCACGACACTTCAACCAACCGCGCTACACTTTGTAATAGAGATATCGCGAGAGAAAAAATGGGTAAGCGACACGGGGGCGAGGGGAATAAATTCTTCTGGCCGCTATAAATTTTCCCGCGATTCGAACCCCAAGTCGCGCCTGTCCGCCGCGCGCCGCTGACGAAGACACAGGGCGTGATAGCAAACACACACACACACACACACACACACACACACACACACACACACACACACACACACACACACACACACACACACACACACACGCACGCACACAGCACACAGAGGAGCGCGCGACGCACACACATCATTTACTTCCGAACAGACCACCGTAGTGTGGGCCTGAGTTAATATTTCCCCGGGGCAAATAGGATGCGCTTGTAGTAAGCGTTTGTAGTGGAGGGGCGTGCGCGGTGCGGTGCGCGCCTTGGAGCCGCCGCCCGCGCGGACACGGT